AACATGGCCAGGGAAAAACAAGAGTATTTCATGCACATGTTATTCAGAATTAACTGATCTGGATCCTGCTTGCTTGGCATGGTTTCTGCCATTTTTTCTGTGCCCAAATTTCATTTTAGGAAATTGCAAAATCAATCTTCTTAGATATGCGCAATTTTCAACATTAACGCAGACACAGTGTGTTAATGAATGAAGCTGTCCTGGACTTGCCCAGTTCTGATTAGTGCATGGTCTTGGAAAACCATCTTGTTATGACAGAAAATCTTTAGCGCTTCAGAAAGAGGAAGGGCTAGTTTTTTCTCCTCTGCTCTACTGCTAATTAATGCCTATGAGCATAGCTGGAGTTGCTCCATATTGAAGATATCTTGGACACTTGGTTACTTAATATTACACATCAAGGAAGTTTGCTTTTTAGCTGGATTCAGAATCACATTCTTTTATGTTCTGAATTCCAAATTTCCTAATAATAAGTATTTTAAAATTAACTGCATTAATGCATCTATAGATCTGAACTTCTACACCTACCTATTGGCATAACCACTGATTTTAAGAAAACTTAGGAAGGCCCATTTTGGATGACAGCAAAAGATAACTATAATGCCTGTGGGGGTTTTGACCAGGAAACTGCCTAAGAATGCAGGAGATTAGTAAAAACCTTTGCTTGGCTTCCTGTCTCCCACACTTACTCCTACTAAATTTGATCAGAACACTTGATTGAATTGAGTGTTGCTGCCAAAGCCAGCTAAGGAAGGCAACTCAACTGAACAAGACTTTTAGAATTCTTAAATCCTTCAATCTAATAATTAGTAACAGTCATAACTATTATTTTCAACAGTACCATGCCACTTTTGGTGCTACTGTATACACGAGGGGAGTTTTCTCAGGGTTTTTTTCTTAGCTAGTTTGAGTATCTGATAGTCTTTGGCTGGTTTCTGGAGTGTGTGGGTGTACGCATGTATATGTGTGTGCTGAATATTTAACCATATTCAAAGCTTGTGCCCTAAAGCCTGTAGTTCTACTGACAGTACAACAACTATCCAATGAAGACTGGGGGAAAGCCTATCAGTATGGTTGTGAGACCGCTACTGATCAACTTTTCCATTTTGGAAAATACAGTATGACAGTTCTGTCTGTTGTAATGTTCCACTAAAATCGCATCACTATGCAATCAAGCAGCATCGCAGGAAGAATATGCACATCAGAGTAAAGGAGATTTGAAAAGCATGCAAGATACCAAGCCTATTGCAAAGAAGCCTTCTTTAGAAGCAATTTCAAATCAAATCAACTCCTGTTTCTTATGTTGAGGATCTGGTTCATTGCCGTATGAATTCAAACACCACCTTTATTTTATGAACAGCTCATCATAATGGCTGCCAGCAATAAATTTCAGGGTTCCAGAGTTTGTGGAAGTCTTTGCATGTACAGCTACACAAGGCCCTACAGGTGTTCACACTGTTAGCCTAGACTAATGTCTATTAGCCTAATGGAGGGTAGGAGTGGAACTTGGAACATCTGGGCAGGTCTGCTCAAGATGGCCCTATTCTTTGTTCTCATGGGAGCTGGTAATCCCTGAAGATGGATCACCAGCACCTGACATCCTAGCCCCACATCTGCTCTGTTCCACTATCAAGGCAGCAAATAAACATGTTTAAAATTGAATGTGAATTTGAGAAGACACAGGCTGCTCATTCGCCCCTTAAACACAGAGCAAGATTTCAATAGTGCCTTATGATCAGGAATTAACCTTGACAATCCTGTAAAACCTAAGTGCAAACCTAACTTTGGAGTTTACACTGAATATCCTTGTCTTCACAATCAATAGATTAGGAACCTCCACAATAAAAAATGTGAACTCATAGTAAACTCTCTGAATGGTGTTGCATTGCTTATCCTTTTGAGTGGCACTGTCAGCACTGCAGCTCAAATTATGTCTAAAAATGACATAATGAAACACAGCCACGTTTCCATACATGCAAAGAACCATTCCTTTAAAAATGTTCAGATCATTTACCAAATTAAGAAGTTCAATGCACCATAGTTCTAACAATTTTGAGCTTAAATAAAAATTCTCTAAAGAAGGCTGATGAAGTGAAAGGAGCAAGACCAAAGCCAAGCTGTGGGACCAGACCAATTAAAAGGGATAAGAGGTTGATGCAGGAAAGCCCCATAGGCAGCATCGAGACATTCAAGTCGCTCTCCTCCAAGCAGAGACACACATTCCATCAATGCATCCAGCTTAATCTCATTCCAAACTTCAGACTGAACGCAACACACTTGACTGACCATACAGCTCCAAACAATTCTTTACTGCTTCCCCTTCCCCTGACCCCTGAGAATAGCAGCACAACCTGTTAAAATGCATACATACATGCCGAGTTCATGTATAACATTAAATCATAGTTAGAAACAAACACCTGTTTAATGTGAACAAGCAGCATACTGGGGCAGGATTCTCATGAGTGTCCATTTTACTCCTCTCCCACTGCTGCTGTGCTGTTCCACCATTAAACAAAACCAGATGTTGGCTTAGTGCTGTGCAAGAACCATCACTGGTGGCTTACTATGAGGAGTAAGCCAAAAATGAGCATCTAATGTTTGCATTAAACTAATGTTTTAACATCATCTGTGAACTGGGCCGTACCATGCAGAATAACAAAAATGTAGGCTGCTTGATGAATATTTAGTTCTGAAATGGAAGAATGCAGATTTCCCCACAAAATCCCAAGGTGATGTAGGATCTACTCAATATACTGCCCATATCACATACTGGGCTACTGCTGAAGCGAACTTACACCTGAAGTTCTGAGCACATGGTCCATGTTTTCCTCCAAGCGCCCAGAGCCAGTATAGGCACACAGGGCGAGGATAAACAGACAGGTTGTGTGACAAGTTTTATCGAACATGCACGTCTGCTACAGTTAAAAAGTTCTTCTTGTGCCACTAAGGTCTGGAATAGACCACTGCAACACATGGATGGAAAAGCTATAATATCCAGGGGTTGATGGAACAGGAACTATGGTGAAAAACAACCCTTTTTTATCTATTAAGGTTTCTGTAGCTCGTAACAGCTACCGTACTTCCAAAATGGTCCTTTTTTACATAGCAGTGGTATAGGAGTGTGTAGCCCATATGTATATCTAGGGCAACCAACTGTACCTGCTATAATTAATTCCTTCTTTTACACAGCTAATAAAAGTGCAGGCACTCTGCTGTCTTTTGTATCTGACCGCCCTATTGACTCATATATGCCTATTTTACAGCAGGCTCTTGTGGTGGGAAGCCAAATTGGCAATTTCTCTCAGTGGAAGAGATGTGTATATACTATATGTGATTATACACACTTTGAAATTTTAATTAATATTAATGAAGGGAACTACATGTAGCAATAGCCTTAATTGAAGTTACCACACACTTACTTTTCTTTGCAATTGTACTGGGTATAAAAAAGGAAAAACCTCTTGAGCAATATGATGCTGGACTGCAACTCCCACCATCCCTGATCACTGACTGTAACAGTTTGGGGTAATGGGATCTGGAGTTTAACATCATCTGGAGGTCCACAGCTCCCCACCCATTTTAGAAGGAGAACGGGAGCAAATTGAAGTTTTCCAAATTCTGCAATTCACAGCACAATCACCGCTGTGCACATTTCTAAATACACCATTTATATTCTTAGAAGCAGCAACTCCTTGATAAATCGCTAGAAGGCTGTTAAAGCATAGTCAGAGCTGTTTGGAGCTGGAGTCTAAAGACCACACACAAGAATGTTACCAAAAAGCATGTGCACAGCAGTTATACTGAGCTTATGCAAGACAGGCCATCATACCAATAAGGCAAAACAGAATTTTAAAAATAAAGTATCACCACCTTACAATCATCACCAGTGGGAAGGAAGAAACTGACAGAGCAACCAAGAGCTCAAGAGAAAAACCTCCAATTTCAGACACTGGATAAATCAAGGGCAAGAGAAAAGAGAAAGCACCTTTTGATTATGTTTTTGATCATAGCTCAGAACAGCTTCAAGATATAAAGCCAAAGTCAAGAACATTTTTAAGTCAACAGATACAATTAGCTAAGTTTGCATAAAAGACAAATACATCTGAACAATTAGGACCACAAATTAGCGATACTTGCTGTATCACTGTTATAACCACTTCGAAGTATGTTTCTTTACAATTAAATAGCATACAAATTAAATGAGATCAAATAAATAAGTTTCTTTACAATTAAATAGCATACAAATTAAATGAGATCAAATAAATAAGTTGTACAAAAGCAAAACAAATCAGATTATGATCACATGTCAAAGGTTCACTGCATGGATGGAACAGCCTAAGATAAATTTTAAGTCTACTGCATTGTAATCCTGCAGTTTTTCAAAGTGTCTGAGAGAATTAAAAGTTTTTCTCCAAGATTAAATTGTCCCCTTTGAAGCAAAAAGTATTTTTGAGCCAGAATGGGGCTGAAAGCTAAGTAATATGGTCTTATCTTGATAGATAGCCAGAGCCTGGACCATCAGGAAAAGGAATTTAAATGAAATATAAGCTCTTATTTGCAACCTTTTCCATTTTCTTAAGTGAACCCCTCCTGGTCACTGCAAAAAATAAACCAAAAACCAAAAACCTGCAGCTGTGAAGCTTGATGGTTTTATAAATTTTTTTGAAGAAAAGCCTGCAGTAATGAAAAGTATGGCTTTTCTCATCTGGCCAGAACTTAGAGCACAATCGTGGTTGAAGGAGAAGTCATTCAACTCACTTCACTGCGGGAGCACATAATGAGGGTGCACAATAGCAAGGTGCTACCCAGCAACACTGGGACTGCAAATTATGAATTGACAAAGTATCCAAATTAGGCTGAAAAGAACAATCTATGACCCCCACAACAATATATTCTTCTTAGAAGACACAAATATGAACAATATCAGTTGCAGGAAAGGTATGTGAAATGACCAATAACTCATCATTTCCAAATCAGAGCAAAGTGAGACCAGAGTGACGCACCTTTTCTTGTCTTGCTGGCTGGTCCCGGGACTCCGTGGGAGATTTTCTATTTCAACTAAGACTGGCCCAGAAGGAACTGCTGTAACTGAGGGTAGGGCGGGCATTGCACTCCAGTTCTTGAAAGACAAAATACAAAGCAAAAATGTAGTTTTGCCTTCATTGGGTTTTTTTAAGCCTTGAAAATGAGAACACAAGGTTTTCTACTTTGGTTTGTAAATTTTTCATATTAGCCCAAGAGAACCAAATGATCCAACTTTCCATTTACTACAGGTTCTAAATTCTGAGGTCAAGGCAACTGCATTTGAGATTAGTTTACTTTTGATGCAAAGACTTAGAAAAATGTTAAGTAAACAGCTTAGACAAACTTACTTGCTGTGATCCATTATTTTGGCTGAAAACATTATTTGGAAGGCTGAAATGGGGAAAAAAACCAATAGTTTAAAGTTAATTTATCAAAGATCAAACTGTTAGGATTTTAAGGCTTATCTGGGTCTGCCAGCTCCAAGTAGGATCAGCAACAGGGACATTAATAAATAAAACTGAGGCCAAACCAGCATTTTCTGTATTTACATTTGTATGCATCACTTGACTCCAAAGCAGCCCTTACTTTGACTGTTTTACACTAAGATCTCACACATATGCTGGACTTTTTCCTAAGCCATCATAATCCATATGAAGTTCTGGTAGACAGAACTTATCAAGGCAAATCTTATCAATCTGCATGAACAGGGGTAGGAGTGCAATAAATCAAAGCCAAATTTTCAACGATGGTAAGAGTGAAATACTGAGCCCTGATGCCTGGAACCAAAACACATTAATTTATCTTATCTGTGTATGTTTCCAGTTCCATCAAGGCATGGTTGTTGTGGTTTCCACATGAAGCTAACTTGCACAGATCTGTTAAGTCAAACACCACACCATAAAAAGCAGGTATGAAAGAGCACTTCTTTCAACAACAGCAAAAAATTCACTGCTGATCTAATAACTTTCAGTGAAACGACATGCATCTTTTAAAATCAATTTTAATCAGCAATGTTAATTAGCATGCCTAGTCAAACATAGAATTGATTAGCTCTAGGGTGAACATACCATGATATCCTAATACCACCATTAAAAATAAGTAGAGGGAAGATGGCAGGCTCCCATGAGGCTACCTACCTCTTTCACTAACTAAGAAAAGGAGTAAAAAAATAAGTACAGTGAAGCCAAAATTGTGTATAGTCAGAACAAGCCCAGTGTGACCATGCCTACATTTCCAAAGCCAGCACACCAAACAGGCTTTGCGTACTGGGCACTGGGAGGTTGTGGACTCCTGGGAAATCTTGCAGGGTTATCCCAAGGTCTTGTGAGATCTCCAGAGTCTGTGCAAGACCTTCCCAGAGCCTGGTAAGCAAGGCAGAGCTTACAAAGCTCTTTCCATGGCAGGAAAATGTGGCATGGAAAGAGCTTTTAAGCTCTCTGCCTTGCATGAGTTTTACTGTTTAATTTGAATGGTGTCTAATTCATGAAAAAATACGTAAGCAACAGGAAAGGGGCTTTTAACATATTATCAGAGAATATTCCTGATAATCCTATAGAGATGACCAAGACATATTCATGGAATAAATCTTTACTGTGGAAGCCTAATGCCGACAGGTCCTCTTACCTAGTTTCTTCAGATTTATGAGTGTTTCCTGTAATAAAACAAAAAAAATTGTCCAATATATCAATTACACAATATCAAAAAGCTTGCATTATTTTTTTCCAAAGATACTTGTGCAAAGTGTTAGGGACACACTTTAAAACAGACTAAAACTTAGAATGTGCGGGGAAATAGGTATATACTATTTGTAGGGTTACCTATCATGCAGCTTTACCACCTTTCACAGACACTTCCACTAAATACTAGGGCCTTGCATCCAGTCCAGACAAATCCAAGATTCCAAATGGATTCTGGCAGATCCATGATTTGTCTAGTCTGGGTTGAAGCAGCCCCAAGCACCCTAGGTTCACCTGGAGTGGCCTGGGGTTGCCAAAAGGGGAGAGGGTGTTCAGGCAGCAACAGGTGGGGGAGAGAAGATGATGCAGGTAAGAGTCCCCTTGTCATCAAACACATGGTTCATTAGGGTTTCAAATGCTGAATAAACATTAGAACTATGAAAGGCCCCAAGTCCAGCTCGTAGCCCAGATTGAGCATGATCAGGACCACCAATTGGGCCCTGAGCCGAACTGCGGGTGCCTGGCACAGCCCTAGTAAATACAATGGATAAGTCGGAAGACAGGGAAGGAAAGTCCAGGCAATTGCCCCACTAACAATATTGTATGCTGTTCGTAGAACAGGCAAGGATCCAAAGACACTGGCTCTAGGAACTCAAGGGGGTGGATTTGATATTCTGAAACATCAGGCTCTACACTCGTGCCACAATAGTTATTAAGCACCTTTTAGTTTCAAAAACAGTTTAAGCTACAGCATGGGGATCAGGTATTCTGTTAGTTAGTGTAAGTCAAAGTAGTAATTTGGATCAAGTCGAGTGGCACCGCCTACCAATGAGTCAAGCTACCTCTCATTTGTAGCGTTCTCCTTGAGTATCGCTTGCTAGGCCTTCTTTCAAAAGATGCCGATCGTCTGGCTTTGTTGGTCTTTGTTGTCTGGTACTCTGTTTTCCCACTAGATTGAAGTGGAAAGAACAAGAGAAAACATTTATATTTGAAAAGTTGATGTAAGCGACAGCACCCAATTATCCCTGCTCTTCTAAACGCTTAGTTCTTGTGTGCTTTTGTTTTATTTAAAGCCAGTCATATACATACTATTAATTTCTATAATCATATTAAACAGACATGATCCTTACCAGATGATATAGTATAAAATCCAAGAACAAAACAGAGACAAGGAAAAATGGAATGAAACAAGAAACGTGAATAGGATGAAAACCATAGTCCATGTGCACTCAGCTGATAATTACTGCAACTGTATATATTTTGTGCCAAAAATATCAGTTTCACCACAAAAATCTACATCTGTAGAAGCTAAACTTTACCCCCACTTTCATTAAATCATCTCTACACTTTGTGTGCGAGTCAGCCAAAAGACGGGGTGGAGAAAACTCAAGGATTCACTAGTACCTACTAGAGCAGTTTTGTAGAATGGGAGTGCTCTTTGACATAGCCCTTTTCAATACAGTTTCAACTGGTGAGCCAGCTATAACTACTGGAGAAGAGAAATGGCCACAGTTCCACATCCAATGGTTACAACCATCTTAGATCACTGTGTAATGTGTTCCACACTGTGCTTCCTTTGAAAAGCATTTGGGAACTTAATTGGTTCAAAATGAGCAGCTGAACTGCTGACAGGAGCCCAATCAGATCTGAAGACACCAATATTACATTGACTCCCCTGACTACCAATCTGTTCATGGGCTCAGTTTAATGTTTTTTAATGTTTTATCCCCTAAATGGGGGAGGGAAAGTAGGGAAGGATGTATACTCGAGCTGAGTAACTACAGATCCATTTCCTCCAATAAATAAGCATATGCAAAAACAGTTCAGGCTTCTTTCTCTAATCACGAGATCTAGAAATTCAGTCTTTTCTGGATTTGGCCAAGGTGAAAGTTAGGCTTTGGTATTTCGCAGAACACAGCAGCAGAAAGGCTTAACACGCGGCAGATTTTCCATGCCTACAGAATATTTTAACTGAGCTAAGTGCCTCTTTCAATCCTTTCCCTTTATGCCAATAGGAATCTAGAGTAGTGACTACTACAAACAAAACCACGGACCAGCTTTCTTTCCTGTGCCTTATCTGAGAAAAAGTCAGGGAAGAAGGTATTGAACAAAAGAGACTGCTGACCTGTATCTGAACCTTGACCCCAGCCGAATGAAGCTTGACCGACTGGAACCTTTTTGGACGGGTCCACGGAGGCGGAAGAAGGCATGATGCTCGACTGCACATTTCCACAAATGTTTGCAGGCCTTTGGGTGATCCAGCCTAAAGACAAAAGTGTGCTCCTGCTCCTTGCCCTTAGGGGGGGAAAAGGACCACCACAGGAGCATTTAGAAAACTACTATGAATGCTACCTTCAGATTATCGCAGCTACAGTCACGAATTGCAGGCATTCATAGAACCCATAACTCCAAGGTAAGTTCAACCAAGAATGTTATAAAATACTGAAGAGAACAATGTGCTCTCAGTATTTTATAGCATTACTGATATAACAAGTTCTTCCTGTTTCCTTGACACAGAATAAGCCAGAGAGATAAAATATAAATAGCAGAGGATCAGTTTATCTTTTTTGTTACTATGACAGAAAAAAGCATTACAATTATAAAACATGTTATACAGCGCTAGTCACTTAAAGGGAAAACTGCACAACTTCTTTAAAAATGCCAAGCCACAACTGAAGACATGTGACCTTGCTGAGCGATATGTTGCCTTCTTGACATAGGAGCTGCTATACTTTGTGCTGACTGTGGATTGGGAGTGGGGAGGAGAATAATGGTTTTCAACAACTTGAGTAGCCTGACAAGAAGAAGACAAACAGAATGCAAAAGATTGCATTTCTATTTTCCAAGTGGTTTGTTCAAGATAGTTGACATTTATTTATTAAAACCATTTTTTACTACTTTTTAAAGAAGGCTTGGAGTACCAGTGTTTACAATCTACCTTCCCCTAGGCTGATTTTCTAGTTTCTTTACCAAATCAATCAACACACACTAATTAGGCACTTAAAATCCAACCTATTTTTACTTGGAAGTAATACAAAGTCAGCCGAATTTCTCCATACTTAATATAAACAAAGAACGGTAGTGCTGCTTCTGTAGTAATATGCCTTATCAAATGCAAAGAGGAAGAAACCTCACATTACTATTGGTAGAAACTTAAAGATCACTCTTGAAATCCAGTGTATTATTAGTGATTAGAATACTGAACCCTAGCCTGGGAGAAGTAGCCAGGTTAAAATCCTCATTCAGCCATGATGCTCTCACTGAGTGATTGATCTTAGGCTAGTAACTTTCAGCCTATATCTCATTGGACTATTATGAGGATAAAGTTGGAGGGGGTGGCAGATGAACAAACGAGTGCTGGCTTGAGTAACTTGGTGGAAGAATGGAATACAAGAATACTAATACTGTATGTGGAGGAGATCAAGTAACACTGTGTTACTTCAAGAAGATGAACAATGCCTGTTGGTGTTAAAATGATATTATGTTTCAACAATTAGGTAAATGTTTCAACTATCTGTAATAGTTATTCATTATTCATTCTTGGGTAGAAAAATAATTTTTAAGGACAGTCTCTTCAAAATATGACAGGTCACTATTCACTTTCAAGCAATAATTTTCACTAAGTGCCTATTACAATCAATAGGAAAAATGTTTACGTTATCACCCACAACCATCCTAAATTTATTTTGGCTACGATACTTATGCTTAAACTAACTCACAACAATAGAAGCAAGATGAACAAACACTTCCTTCTACCTGTTCATCATCTTCAACCACCACTAGTGTTAATTTATTCTTTCTGAAGTCCAACCTAGTGATCTTTGGCCTGCAATGGGAAAAAGTTAAAATGTAAAAGATGTATGTACTTTACTGCAATTGCACCACAATTCATACAGCACCTAGTAAAAACGTATTTTACAAAAACCTATGTAACGGCAAGAACACCAGCTATTATCTTGTGCTATAAATTAATATTTAAAAATTACAAGTTTAACCATGGGGTGCTTTAACACAAATGTCAATGTTAAATGAGTTTTTTAAAGGGAAATTCTAATTGAATTTTCTGATTTTGAATGCTTATGCTTGATTCATGTAGACCAGTTTCTTAGTTCCTTCCAGTGAATGAGAAGTATACACTCATCCTACTGAATAAATGTCCCATACCCAGACATATCTGCACTCTCAGGAAAAAACCACTCTTTTTTACATATAAACACGCAGCCTAACACAGACATTAATTTCTCAAAAGCCCAAACTAAATAGCTGTACAGCCATTTTCAAGAATCATTCCACCCATTCACAATACACCTAGAGCTCTGTTATGGCAAATCACAGAGAATGCCAACATAGAACCGTGCTTGCTTACAAGACTTACAAATTCTAGCCTAGGGCTAGACTGCAGACTCTAAAATAATTTATTTTATAAATTATTCTGTTTACCAGAAGAACAATCCAATCTTAGTTTCTCCTTCAAACACAAGAACTCCTGTGGGTGTTAGTCCGAGGCTATAATCATTTCCATCTCTTGCCTAAGAGGGATACAAATTAGATTAGAATATTCCAACAGATGTGACTTTATCCTGGTACAAGTTACTTTAATTATACTTTCATTCACTGATAAGATACTGCAGCAAAATTAAAGGCCTTAGTCACAGATGTTATTAACAAGCCCCTTACCAAGCATTTATTCTATTATTATTTTTTGTTTTATCAAATATTTTATCTTTGGATATTATTTTCACTGCTTATAAGGACATTGTCTGCTGCTCTGAGGATTTGATCAAGCCAAGCTGACAGATACGAATTCTAGAAACATACATAGTTACATAGAACATTTCACTTATATTAATCTACACTGAAAGCTACATTTATGCTTTATCATTTGTGGTTTCTTGAGAACTACTTAACATTAGGCTGCAAACCTGGTCCTAAGTCAAACAATATTAAATCTCAGTTTATTTTCAGCACTCATCTCTCAAGACTTCCACGATTTATATTTATTCCGAATATGTTTAACATTATGATTAAGAATTTCAGAGCAATTCATTTCTTAGCTACAAAATACACTGGGATAATAAATTCACTGTGTCTGGTCTAGAGATCCATTGTTGGACTTTGACATGGGAGACCAGGGTTAAAGTCCCCACCCAGCCATGCAGCCCACCTTTGGTAAGCTCACAAATGTGGTTGTTGTTATAGCAGCTGGGTATATAAGCAGTAGCTTCAGATCATAGCCATTTCTGGCAGATGCACAGCAAGATATGTATTAACTAAATTGTCCTCCATAACTTGTATAGGTAAGCAGACTAGGCTATTATAAGAAGCAGATCCCACTCATTGCTACAAAGACTGCAAGTTTAGGTATTTTTATGTTTATAGAAGTACTAAAAATAACGTTCCCAAAAGCACAGCCTACAACCATAAACTTACCTTGACTATATGCATGTCTACTCCATACATTTCCAGCCATTTTGCTTTGTTCAAATAATTTGTTTCTGCCTGAGCTGGTGTTTGCCCCCTGAAATGATTTATATTACACAAAAATCACATGAAGTTAAAAATAACATGCCTTGATAAAAAAGTGAGGTTACAGAAAGAATACAAAAAAGGGGAACTTGATATATGTAGAGCAAGCCAAATAGTGCTCATCTCGACTCGGTTTTAATAATGGCCAACTTGAGTTTTGTTTTGAAATCAAGGGGCTAAGAAAATACTGAACTGCTAAATTAAGCTGTGGAAGCTTACAGAGCTGTATTGATAACATCAAGAAGTGCTAAGGCTGTAGACTACATAAAATGCATACCCTATTGTCCAGATGAAACTATCTGGCCTTAGATGTGTCTTGTAGCTTGCTGTGATTGCTTCAGAAAATGAAGGCAGCTTTTGGACTATGTTCTAGTTTGTCTCAACAGAAATACAACACCAACACTCAGGAAGGTATTCATAGGAATTTAAAGTCCCCTTTCACTCAGCAAAAGAAAGCAATGCATACAATGGTATGCGTTGGATGGATGTGGCAATTTACCATTTGAGATTTTTTACAATGAGTTAAAAAAGGTATTTAGGTATACCTTTCCTAAGAAACCAGAGGCCTTTCTTCTGGGCATTGTCGACCAGAAAGTGTTAAAGAAGGATAGAACTTTGTTTATGTATGCAACCACAGCAGCAAGAATTCTTATTGCAAGGTATTGGAAGACACAAGATTTACCCACACTGGAGGAGTGGCAGACGCAACTGATGGACTATATGGAATTGGCTGAAATGACCGGCAGAATCCGAGATTTGGGAGAAGAGACAATGGAAGAGGACTGGGAAAAATTTAAGGACTATTTGCAGAAACATTATAAATTGTATGAATGCTAAAAATGTGCATGACTTGGAAATTATAGCTTCAGCAAACTGATTTAGTGAATTGGAAATTAAGTCACAAGAAAGACAAGGTGGAAATTTGAAATAATTTTATTATGTTTATTTTAAGATACAAGTAATGGAGAAATAACATTTTGAATTTAGAAACATAATATTTGAAAGATACAGTAAGGTATGAAATAAGGTAACAAATTGCTGATGTTTTTATTGCAAAGAATGCTGGGTTCGGAGGATGTGAGGAAGTCCAGTTGGATTTACAAAATGATTTGAAAGGTTGAATTTTTTACTTTTTATTTTTGCTTTTTTTGTTTTTTTTCTTTCTTTCTATGTCTACAATATGGAATATGTGTGTGAAAATCCAATAAAAAATTATTTTTTAAAAAAAGAAAAAGAGATTTTTTACCTGTATTCCTTCCACTTCTCAAAAATGGCCAGTTCCATGTCTTCAGTTTGCTCGGGCACAAACCTGAACTCTGAAACTATATCAGGGATGTGTTCAGCAGGGTCGTAGTCACCAAGTTCAGCTGGAAAGAGAAGAATACTTCAAGAAAATTCTAGCAAAAGCAAATTTGGAAATGGCAAAATCTGAAGTGCCTACAATGACTCATTTCATTGACACACTCAACATTTATTCAAAGATAATTAAAACTTCATTTAAATATTTACAGTTTAATAGGAAATCAGTATTTTGATCTTAGTACAGGTATGTTAAAACTGAATCTTAAATCAGCTTTGGAAGAACTACAGACACAAACAAAAACTTATATGGAAGAGTATTTTCATTTACTGCTGAAACTGTATGTTGGCGGGGGAACTAGCATTGTTATTTAACTTCTTTCATTCCTCTTTTTTAAAGATACTCAGACTTGCAGATGCTTAGTGAGATCACTTTCTTTTTTTACCATCACAAACATGAAATTTTTAATGCAGTCTTTTAAAATGTAAAAAGAAGCAGCTGGAAATGTAAGAAGAAGCACTGAATAATATAACATGTTTGTTAAATTTTGTGCTATGTAAATATTTTAATAGATTTCTTGGGTCTTGAACACAACTGAGCTTATTGAATAAATATTTTAAGCTGCATTTTCATGAGTCTTTCAATTTGAAGTTAAGGAAGTAAGGAAGTTTCTAAATCCATAATTTACTTGATGCTTGCTTGCTTCCAAAGCTAGGTTAACCTCCAGCTAATTTAAATAGGATCTACTCAGCATTCTACTGAGTACTGGGCACTGTCATCAAAGCCTGGAATCGAACATTTACTGTCATGCAAATTTATAAACAGAATCTATGCCAAAATGGGATCAAGGCATGAATTCTTTAAGGCTTTGCTGCAGCCCTCTTCACAGAGTTGGATCTCTGCATCCCACCACTACAGAAACATGAATACCAACACTTCATTGTTGCATGTTGCAAAATTACTATCTTCTGGGGAATTGATTCAAAAGTGTCTTCTCTTATTACACGGATATATGAGTTGCCTACCCATACCATCAAACCCAGTATCTTCCAACACTATCTTACCAGTGTTACTTGAGTTCTTATCTGTCAACTGAACACTACTATCTATAGATTGTTAGTAGGGAAAAAAAATCAAGAGTTGGGTTTTACCATCCCAACAAACAGCAAATTTATGACTTCCTCTGAAAGATTGTCAGAATACATCGCAAAGTCTGTCCCCCTCTCCTATCTAAGCAATACAGAAAATCACATTTTTTGTGTGTTCCTCGTTGCCTCCTACATTAAAAAAATGATCAACATTAATTTATAAATATTTTCACATATATAACCTTTTGTACCAAGGCTGTGGGGTCATGTGGTCAGCATGACTAAAACACTTCTGGCACAACAGAACACCCTGACGAGTGCCAGAGTGCATGGAAATGCTGTTTACCTTCCTACCGCAACAGTACCTATTTATCTACTTGCACTGGTATGCTTTAGAACTGATGGGTTGGTAGAAGCTAGGACACAGCAACAGGAGCTCACCACCGTTGTGTGGATTTGAACTGCTGACCTTCCGATCAGCAAGCCCAAGAGGCTCAGTGGTTTAGACCACAGTGGCACCCGCTCCTTTTGTGGGGGGGAAGTACCTTTTTGCGACATACTGTTTTACCTGGCAGGCATATATAATACTTTCTAAGATTCTAAGTCCCACAGGAAATATAGATAACTTTAAAAACTACATTTGATACAAGACTAACAGCCACTGATCACTGATTAGGAACTTATGAGTATCTACTTCCAACACAGTTATCTACAATCAGAACTATGAGAATCACAGAAAATTCCTTTTGCTCTGCAGTAACGATCTTGCAATAATGATTCTAGACACACTTACTTAGAGGTTTCATTGAATGAATGTAGTTGGACTTATTTCTATATAAAAGGGTTTTAAAGTCCTCAAATAGGCAAAGGCTGTGCGACTACAACCCATTGTAATGCAATTACTCTTAAAAATGAAATCAGGATTTTGTTGACATAAAGGTGTGCGTGTGCGCACACACGCAGAGAGAGAGAGAGAGAGAGAGAGAGAGAGAGAGAGAGAGAATCATGCAAGGTAATGCAGAAAACACAATTTCTGTTGCAAACTATCCCTAATAAACACTTCCAAGCTGACATCTCTTTCAGTAAGTACAAATGTAGAGGTCAAAGTGCAGAAATTCTGAGCTTGCTTTGCCAAAATAACCAACAAATCTCAATATGAGGTTCACAGTGTTTTTCTGAATGGAACCAAAGCTCTGAGGCATCTATGGAAAAATAATTATTTCACTTAAGCAAGTTAATTCTTCTCACGCCTGCCCTCCTTTTTCCTACACAAGGACTATAAGGTAGTCCACACCCCAGGATTCCACTCATACTTCCCACTCGTGCTAGATTGTACAGTAGCAAGAAAAAGCTAAGATCTTAGTGATAAGCCTCACATGACTGAGCCCTATCAGCTGTTATAATCCTCTGGCTACAAAATATATCCCTAAAGCGAAAAAGCAACAATGCCCAGAAATAGCACAAGTACAGTAATTTATCTGAATCCCTGGCAATTAATGTGACCAGCAGTTTACATAAGGTTTGCTATCTGCAAAGGAAACCTTGTCTTATTCGAATCAGTCCTGCACCTCAAGCAATACACCCACACAAAGGCAGTTCCCTTAAGGCAGCTCACCTTGTAACATGTAAGCTGACAACTGCACAGCTGTTTCAAATGGACACTCCAACCTGCAATGAAGAAAAGAAAAAAAAAAGAACGTCAAGCAAATTTCAACGGCAGTATGAGGAAATGATTATGGGTCAACGATTTGGAAGGGGAAGATGTAGTGAACCGTTTCAGCGAACTTGACATATTACTCAGAAATATACTTAAAGCCCATGTTCCTATAACACTTGGATTTTCAGAAATGTACGCTTTACATTAAAGGAGCAAATAAGCTTGCCTAAGTCAGCCTAGATCCTACAAATATATGGATTGGGGAATCATTAATATATTCTTCAATTACGCCACACCAAATCTGTCCCAAAAAGTCTGCATTTGAATTAAAGGAACCATTAATAATTGACATCACATAGGTTACGCACCACATACAGCAGCACATCCCCATTCTCAACATACCACCTCCCTCCTCTTTTGTACATCCTTGCAGAAACCTGACCATAGTCTTTAGGCCAGTGGTTCTCAAACTTATTTCTCCGGGCCACACCCTTTGAGAACCACTGCTTTAGGTGGTAAAAAATTATGAAGATTTCTAAGATGCAATTGTGGAATTTTAAATACTAAATCTGAGGAAAGAATCTAAACAAATGGCTAATTATAACTACCAGAGTCCATTAATGTTCACTGCTACAAAGCATGGTAAGTAGCTACTAATACTTTCAGCACCTTGGAGATGCACATGTTCTATATTTGTATCCTAAATTTCCTGCACATATTTGATAAGAGACAAGCCCCCTTCATTTAGCGTAATTATCAACAGTACTTACTTGCCACTCAAAATGTCCTGTTTTAGCTGAAGAACAAATAAATATCTATTTCAGGGGGAAAGAGCAAGAAACATCAATGAGTTCGTGAACAATTCCAGCACTGGAGAAGAGCAGCAAATATCAGCAGCTAGACTTAATTATGAGATAACGCACTGTGGTCTCTCACTTCAAGTATGGAAACATGGAGCAGTATATTTCATCGCAAGAGAATGAAATTCTAATTAAAGAATATCCAATTTGTAGTTTCTGTTTTCTCTGATTTCCTAGTGTGCAATACTGAAAGGGGGTGGATGGATTTCCCAAACATGTCTAAAAATATTTCTATCAAAGTTCAGTGTTCCCTCAAAACTACACTTCATTAATGATTTCGTAAAGATTATCAGGACCCAATTTACAGCAAAGGCCGGAGCAGAAGGACTGGGTATAAGGATTACTCACAGCAGAAAGGAAAACGCCCAGCACCAAAGAACTGCCAGTTCCCTGAAGTGTTGGGAACTCCTATTCACTGTACTGTGGGAATGGAACACCTTGAAACTGTGGCAATGTATGTGAGATTCTGCCCAAATGCCTTCCCTGCAATTTTATCATTCAGGGACATTACAGTAGTGAGATACAACCAGGTGGATTGGAATTTTGATTCATCTATGAACGGAAAAAAAGAGAGACCGCCAACAATCATATGCAGATTAGTATGAAAGATATAGCACAAAAAGCAAATGTACTGCAAACAAGCAAGCAATCCTTGTTTTGCACAGGACACTATGTTCTCGACCCTTGCACGCATTGGAGGGGCCCACGTAAAATGTTCCACCCCTCCCCACCCTTTTAGTGATGTTTTAGGGTCACTTCCAGGCTTGGTGCTGTGCATGTGTGTGTGATAGACGCACATAAATTGGTCATTGCCTGTACTGGATTTGAGATCTCCAGTTTGTATCACTGCATACAACGTACCTGGTGAGCTCTTCACGTAGGTTGTTTGGCTCGGAAGAGTAAAACTTTACACGAAGATGTAGACAGTATGGTGGACCAACTACAAAAATGAATATATTAGGTTTCTGACAGCAAGGATATTATTTTGTAAATATATTCACTAATCAGAATTCAAAGGGGGTGGGAATCCCTTCTGTAATACTGAGCACACTAGCAAAAAAAGAGAATGCTAAACAAACAGTAGTAGTAGTTTTATATACCAGAAGCCAACTCAGTCTCATTACATTAAGTTGATTTGTCTTGCCAAGAAGAACAGACAAATCTAGGTTAATCCCAATATTACAAGGCTCTATTCCATGAACTGAGGAATCCATCAATCTCAGCTTTGTACCCCAATCAAATCCTTATAAACTCTGCCCAGGCAGTCTTAAGTTTTGGGGAGTACCTCCTGTTGTTAGTTTGTGTCATAGGAAGATAGCTAGCTAAACATTTTATTGCAGCAGACTCCACACCTCATTTCCTTCCAATGAGAGAAATTATAAACCAGGAATATGATGTTACTCATGCACCTCCTCAACACCCACTGATTCAGGTCACCTGTAATACCAGATCTTCAAAGTTTCTTCCCCCTTTTGATTTACATTACTAGAACAGTTCCTTTTAAAAAAGTCAACGTATATCAGTCACAGAAAAAATACAAATACACATCACAATAAGTCAGCAAAGCAAAGATTACTAAAATATAGTCCACCAAATCCATTTTAGTAATACTCATAAGGCAGAAAGTGCAAAAAGAAATGTGCTACAGAATCTTTAAACAATTGGAGCCCCTTTTTTTCTTTTTGCCCTGTACTGAATTAGCTTTCAATACGTCATGTAGTAAATGTAATGTGAGTCAAAGAACAGTTGTAATGCCAGAAATTTGGCATTACAACACTGTTCTTTGAAAAGTTTCATACTGCCATGGTATGTTTGGGGAAACAAAGCATTCGTCGATACTCAAGTAAATCAGATGTTTTAAAACACAAACTTCACTTACTTTTAACTTGTTTTTTAATACTCTTTGTGTTGTCCAACCAGTGCTGAAAGAAAAATAATTATAAACTTTATGCTTTCAACACAAAAATATAGTATGCAAATTAGAAACTCATAGAACAGAACAAGCCAAAATAGTTCTAAGCAGTATAAAGCATTTTAAGAGCAACACATTCAGTGTGCCTGACTTACAGTTAATTGACTGTAACAGCTTGCTAGAATACGTTTCAAGAGGCAAGTTAATAATTTCTCGAGCACTGAAATCATGATCTGCAATTTGCAGCACAAATGTATCTTTGCAAGTCACAGAGCCAGAAAGCTGCTGGGATTGTCAGAATTCTGACATATGTTTCAATGCGTTTCAGGCTGCCATCTTACCAAAGAGATATGAAAAAGATTATATCTCCCATCTAAGAAAGGAAAAGGCATGCCAATGTAACTTTTCAATTAAAAGTGCATCCTTTCTATTCAAGCACATAAACTTTCTCACAGTTACGCTTAAAAACTAGTATTGTGGAATGCATTGTCTCTTTCAAGTGCTGACACAAGCATTAGCATGAATTGTTTATACAAGTTCCTCTCAGAGAGCTCAGCAGCTGGAATGAAGCAAGCAGTACAAGATAAAAACTTGCAGATCACATTAAGTTCAGAACGTAAGGATGTAGCAGCTAAGTTCACAAAATATGTTAACTACGGGTTGGGTATTTCCTTAAATCTGCCAAGTATTTTTCCTAGGTGATAACATCCTTATATGTAATGATACCATTCCAAGTATAATTCTGTTGAGTTACCACCTGTGGCCTCAGGCTTTCCTTTAAATACCACTGCTATCATTCAGAATACATTACGTGGCTCCCCACCCTATGCTGTAGTCAATAGTGTGCCGGCAGGCATCTTATAATGGAGATGGTTGTCAGATCTGATGCTAGTACAACTTGACATCACCTAATCCTCACTCCCCCAGACTGAGACTGACCCAAAATGGCACATGCAGCCCTGTGATAAATATGGGCTCACCTCTAAACACAGGATGTTCACATTGATAGCAGCTATAGCAACTCTAATCCCACCTGCAGCAAATGTTGATGATACTAATACTAATAGTATACCAAAGCCCCAGGATTGCAATTCAAAATACATTACAAACAGTATGAAACAACATACACCCATCTTACACCATCAAAATTCTAAGCATTTGGAAAACTTGACAAAATTCATCTAAACCAACAAAGACCACATGATTAAACTGTTCCTGAACTATGTCAACGGAGTAGCAGTAGTGGAATCATAATTAAATGACAGCTGTTGTTGTTCCTGTTGTTTTTAGGTAAGTCCATAATTACCACCATTATATTTGTAAGCTTCTTTACATAATAATTTGTGTGTTAACTAATATTATTTGAACTCCAAATAACATTAAACTATTTGTGGTTTAACTGGATTGCTCCTCCCTTCAAAAACCAAAAACCCAGAAGCATGCCAAATAGTTAACGTTTGCCTTTTTAGAACTGTGTTTTAAAGTATTTGACCAACACAAGAGTTTTGCAACTTCAAGAATATATCTGTAACTTAGATAACTGTAGTCTCTTAAAGTCTGAATCAATTTTCCCCATCTGCAGCCACATACAAAAACAGCTAATGTTTCATGGGCAAGTGTCAAACTTCTCATACTGTTTATTTATCCCTGTGGGGAAAACGTTTTCTGTGACCAGCTTAATGTGACCAACATTGCTTGTGACAAGTCACTCACTCACACGCAACCTACAAAACAAGACCTCACTAATATTTATTCCTAACATACCATTTCTTCTCAGGTATCAAAAGCAAAAGTGAAACTACCAATAAAATAACGGGTTGTTAAATGAAATTGAAAAGTATTTAGCTAAAAGATAGTAAAAAAATTAAGAGAAATCCTGAATCATTCGGCATGCCCTGCTTCTGGATGTTTCACTCATGTGTAGAACTGTTGCCAGATAATAAAACTTTGGAAAACTATCTTTAAAAAAGATACATAGCATGCTAACTATATAGGAAGATAAAAAAGGGCCTGTTGGTTGATATTTTCATGGAACTGTCCTACTGCTTTGGAACGAAATAAGATTATTTCATTCAATGCAATCAACCAATTATAGGAAGTTATACCATAAACATGCCTTCTTTGGATAGTTTTCCATCAGTTGTCTGCACCCATCCAACATAAGTTTCCTTTGGTAAGAAAACAAATCCACCAAAGTAGAGTATTACAAGTGCTATGGTGCCGTATACACAACAACAGGGACAGGGAAGAAAAAAGAAAAGAAAAAGAAAAAGAAAAAGAAAAAGAAAAGAAAAGAAAAGAAAAGAAAAGAAAAGAAAAGAAAAGAAAGATGTTCCCAGACTGTAGGGCAAAGTATAAGTTTGCTTCATCTCCAATCTGTTTTCTTTCACCTCCTCCACATTCCACAGAAAGGCAGTTAACAGACCAGAGACAGGCACCGACACCACTTAGTTCAACTCAGTTCCTAACACCAGCGCCATCTCCAAGAGTTCAGCTTGACTGGCACACAGAAGTGGGGGAGGGAATTACTTTTACAGAACAAAGCCTGGGAGACACTGAGACCTGATCTCATGTTGCAGTTGCACTTGGTAACTATACTTTACTCCAAGTAAACTGCAACACAATGCTTGGAAATATTACTTTTCCTACCACAGCTGTCAAATTCAGCAGGGTCAGGCACGAACTCTAATCCTGCACACTTCATGAAACAAGGCAAGGCTACGGTAAGAGTAATGTGTCAAAAGATTAAGCCAGAGGATACTCCCAACTGAAAAATTTACAATCTGAGAAAGTGTCCTGCAAGTTTTTTGGCCTGAGCCAAGCTACTCACAGATCTCCCTATTATTGGGCTGCTAGCCATCCCTGCAAGCCATGAACCTCCGGCTGTAATTCAAAATGAATACATGCAAAAGCCATTTTCCTCCTGGGATGATTTTGATGATTTTTGATGATTTCCTGGGCAGTAGGTTTAAGGTTGAATACATAGCACTAAGGTGAATTATTTGCACTGGTGTTGTTTAGGGTCCCTTCTAACTCAATGTTAACCAAAAAGACAATGGGAGGGGGAAGCGACAGAGGCAATGGAACATAAAAAGTCTCTTGAATTTTAAAGGCAACTCCCAAATTATACTCACAGAATTAACCTGTACTACATCAGCATCATTCAAGATTCAACTATTTGTATAAAAGGCAGAGCTCATTAAAATAAAAAAGACATGGTTTTTAACACCTTTTTTTATATACCTGACAAACATTAGTGCTGCATCACAATAAACAGAAAGCTGAAGCAATTGCATTAGACAAGCAATGCACTCTTCCAAGTGCACAATGACTTCAGCTGAATGCAAACAAATATAAATTGCCTAAAGCAAGTAAATCATACAGTATCAAGTGAGGCTCATGGAACCCTAGGCTATAAGAACAAGTCACAAGAAAATATGACTAAGGTCAGAAGAGTTTTTCATTGCACTGACATGTGAGGTGGTGGAAATGCAATGAAGAACTACCAAAATAATCTTTGTTGTGAAATTCTATGTAATATATACAGACACACTTAATTAACCAAGATCATGACTAAATTGTGTGTGCTTGGTGCATATGCCTTTTGACTGAATCATGAATTTAAGACTGGGTAGAAACAGCCCAGCAACACACACAAAAACCAGAAAGGTTTTGTGCCTGACCAGAACACCAAAAAAGAATTCTAACAATCCTGGAAGATGGGATTACTAGAGCTCTGCATTCTCAGAACACACAGAACTGCAACTGCACTGAAGTCAGATCTGCCGTTTGGAATGATAGTTTTTCTCAGATGACCTTAAAGTAGCGGTGGGGATCCTTTTCTGCCTGGTGGACCAGATCCTTATCTCCCCACCCTCTGGAAGGCCAAATCATAGTGGTGGTAGGTGACACTGAGCTTTGAAGGCAATGCCAAAATTAACCCCCCCCCAATCAACTTATTTCTCCCCCATCAGAGTGATGTCAGTTGACCTGCAGATAAGTGTGGTTTTAAAAGCATGGCCTGGAGGGGCAGAGTTTCGCCACCCCTGTCTTAAAGTTTCTATGATGCTGCATTAAGATTCTATGGGTCAGGTCTGGGGCACTGAGAGGTCATACACACACCTCCACAGAAAGCCCAATGGGTTTTTACCCCCCTCTGACCCTCCTTTCTAATGGTTCTGTCCAAAGCGGCCTTTAAACTATGGCCTTTAAACCAGGACCTTTAAACTATGATCCAATAAACATGTGTGTAACATGAATTACATGCAACAAAGACTCCAAGGCACTAAAAAATACTTTTCATACTATGAAAGTAGTCATGAACTTGTATTATTTTATTGTATTGATTTGTTTGATTTACTTCAAAACAAATTAAAAGGAAAAATAATAATACTAAACATATTCTCATTTTTGAGATTTGAATTAGAACCAACAACTCTCTGATCCATATTTTTATCTATCCAAACCAGGACAGAGGACATGAAAAAGGGAAACTGATTTTATACTGAAGTTCAGGACAATTTCTTAAACTCATCTATAAATTTTGTTGTACCAAGAACGACTTAACACTTGCACAAATCTTGTGTTTGGCCTAGTATGATTTAATTAACTTTACTACTGTAAGAAGAAAAAAATCCCTATGCCACTCACTGCTACTTGTGCAGAATCCATGAATCGTAATCCAAAATAGTCATTTTCAATGAGGTCCAGATGGTACATGATCTGTTCAAACAGCTGCTGTCCTTTGGCTTTTTTCTGAAATTACAAGAGGAACTTGTGTTAGTAAGAGGCTGATTAGTTGATGATTAACCTTATTTTTGAGGGCAATTCTGCATGCACTCAGAAATTCCAGTAAAAAAATAATGCAGTGCTACTCTCTAGACACCAATTCTGTCAACTGCTTATATTACTTCTAATAGCAAACCTGATAGCCTTTGACTATCATTTTGGTAACAAAACAGAAGGCAATGGTTTCTGCATATTCACTTTATACTCTCTCACACATATACACAAAAATAGCCTGAAGAAGACTGAGCATGCTTCTTGCCCTCCAGGAAGCACAAGATTTATTTGATTAATTTCTATGCCATCCTTCATGTGTAGACCCCAGTTTTATAGACAGATATATTAAAACCACAAAAATTACTATAACTACATCAAAATCACAATTAAAATTAAATTGTATCAGTGGAAGGGGGGGGAGTGCTTCTTCCAATTCTGATTAATAACCCCCTGCCCAGTTCAGCAGAAAAATTAACAGCTTAAAACTATCCAGAGATGGAATTAGGGTTCAGAGATACGTACCATGAATATGTGGATCCTGTAAACTCAATTTCCCCACCCCCACTCTCCCCAAAAGTATAGTAGAGGGGAAAGCATCTCCTTCCCAGCACTGTGACAGTCAGGTTCAGGACTACATGAACATCTTTCTTCTCCCCTAAACTCAATCTCACCAATCACTAACTCTAGATTGCTGACCTTAACGAATCAGAAGTTACTGATCTAGCCCTGAAACTCAGCACCCTTATGGAACTGCATGATAACTGTTATTTCCCAACTGTTTTACCTCATCTATAATCTCCCACTGCCCCAACGTCTTTTAATATTCATTACTGAATCCAAAGATACTGAAAAAATAAACACATTAAACATTTACGAACTCATTAGGACAATATGCAGCCTGTAATTCTGGAGGTCCAGAGGCCCTTTCTTCAGCCTATGAACTTCACAGAATTGCGGGTCTCATTTCTGGCCTCTACAGTCACAAATAATGTGAATATGCGTAGGCAAAAAAACCAAACAGAATGATTTGCAGTCCCACACAAATTGTTCAACGTAACCTCACAAACACTCAATAACTTCATTTAGAAACACTTCATCTGAAATGGAATTGAAGAGGAAACCTGAAAATGTCACCAAAGATTTTTTTGTTTCTCAGTGCTCTAACAATGTTCTTAAGTGTCTCAATTCTTGAGACGCTAAGCTTGACAGCAAACTTTACATTGCACTCATGAAAGCCCACAATAGTCAATTAGCTTGTTTCAGGAAGGCTAAGAACCCTATTCCAAAAGTACACGGGTGCTGCAGCTCTGGCTGCCAATTAACTACTGGGCTAGTTTCAAGGTGCTGGTACTGATGCACAAAGTCCTATACAGCTGAGGACCAGGTTATCAAAAATATCATCTCCTTCCCTTATATATCCAACCAACCATTGTGCTCTGCAGGGCAGGGCCTCCTGCAGGTACCATCTTATCAGGCCATATGAGGTACTACTTCTACTGCCCGTTTGATGATCTTCCACTTTCAACAAGCCCTCTGAGAGAAGAGTTTTATCTTAATCAGTATCTGTATTGGATTTGAAATTGTTTTTATAGATGCATTTTAAAATTTGTTTTATTGCATTGTGAAATTGCTTCTAGATGCTTCAAAACGTCTAGCTGGGTGCAGAAAAAATGGTACTGATGTTAACAAGTTATAGGAAAGAAAGAATGTCCCTAAGCATCCATCCACAATGCAGCTACTAGAATTTTCCACTCAGGGTTGCCTTGATCTCTGGCCTGCTCTTTCCCATGCCCAGCCACCCAGAGAGGTTAAATAGCAGAAAGAAAGAAAGAAAGAAAGAAAGAAAGAAAGAAAGAAAGAAAGAAAGAAAGAAAGAAATACTGCAAAGTGAAATCTGTTTGTGGCCAGAAAGTTTAAAGTAATTGACATGGAGAACAGGGCTGCATTTACTGAAAAAAGAAAAGAATAATTCACAATCTCTGCATTCACCACAGTAAGATTTTATGCAAGTGATCTTTTGTGTGTATTGTGCCTCAACTTTTTAAATACAGCAATCCTATGAGTTTTGCAATATAACCCCACCGCACAAGCCTTTGTCTGGCAAAATGGTAACTATACATTCCACAATGTGAGACAAAACAACACACATAATTGTTACCAGTGAAATAATAATAAACAGAACATTTTTCAATGGAACAGGAAAGCAGTGGAAAAATTTCCACACCACATCACTGCTAACAACTCCTGCGGTTTCTGAAAAAAGTAGGTAGTCACAACTAGTACAAAGCAGCCCTCTTTGGTTGATCTATAGCAGGCATGTCCAACAGGTCGATCGCAATCAATAGCCTCACGTTAGTGGTAGATTGCGGGCTAGTAATGACTCCGCCTCCTGCCCCAGGTGCTAGCTATCTGCCTAGCTGCCGTACATGTAAAAGGACGCTAAAAGTGGAAGCAATGTTGTCTGTAGCGCTGCCCTCCAAAAAGCTCAACAACTTTGGCTTGTCCCCCTCCAAAAAAGCTTAACAACTATTAGCAATGACAATGGGTAGATCACTGCCAGCTTTTTTTGTACTGGGAGTAGATTGCATTCTCTTGGGAGTTGGACGTGCCTGCTCTATACAGTGGGTTAAGAACTTAATTCGTTCTGGAGATCTGTTCTTAACCTGAAACTGTTCTTAACCAGAAGCACCACTTTAGCTAACGGGGCCTCACGGTGCCACCACGCCGCCAGAGCACAATTTCTGTTCCCATCCTGAAGCAAAGCTCTTAACCCGAGGTACTATTTCGGGGTTAGCAGAGTCTGTAACCTGAAGCGCCTGTAACCCGAGGTACCACTGTAGCTTACAACACAGGCAAATGGTAATGCACAATCTATACACTTTTCTTCAGAGAGAGAGAAAGAAAGAATTGTACTTATATACAGTGGTACCTCGGGTTACATATGCTTCAGGTTACATACGTTTCATACTCCGCTGACTCTGTAAAGGGAGCGCGGTTCTTGGGGAAACCTTAGCCGCGCGCAGTTGGCTGTCCTGGCTTATGGGATAGCCGCGCGCAGCCTCTCCCGGGCAAGGGGAGCATTCATCCCCTGCCTGGGAGAGGCTGCCCGCAGCTATCCCATAAGCCAGGACAGCAAGCAGGATTGCTGCGCAGCGATCCCACTTGCTGTCCTGGCTTTGGGGATTCAGAATTTTCTTCTTCTTGTTTTCCTCTTCCAAAAACTAGGTGCGCCTTATGGTCTGGTGCGTCTTATAGAGCGAAAAATACGGTATATTAAGCTGGTGTATGTAGCTTGATCAGTAATATTCACTAGTGAATAGTGATCAGAAAGCTGCCTCTTAAGTGGGCAGCCCACTCTCTTATGTGTTGGCTTAAGCAAATATTTCCTAGAGCAAATACTATGCTTCTCCAGTGCAATATTGCTAGGTCAGCTCAGCTTCCTGCCAGATGTTCCAGTTCCAAATCTTGCTGCCAAGAATGACAAATATAGGGTTATGTAACCATCGACTTATCCTCCCCTTTTCCATATACCAGTACAGTGTTGGTATGACTTCATGGTTCACATCACTGCAGTTTCTAAAATCAGACCAAGGAACCAATAAAAATAGACAAGGATATCTATCTATCTATCTATCTATCTATCTATCTAGATATTACACATGGATATATCTTTGTGTGTGTATTAACCCTTCAACTCAAATGTTTCCAGAGTAGAACATGAAAACATTAAAATAATAAAAACCAGAAATTTAAAGGCTGGTCCCTGCGCTTCAATCTCTTACGTTTGTCAAAGTGCTTTTAAACTGGTGTCCTTTGTACATAGTAAACAGTGAAATTATGAAATTAACTGTGTCCCTTGAATGGAGCTATGCCATATTTTCCTTGTTAATTTCAGTTAGGCTGGAAATCAAAGTTCATAGAGTGGAATGTCCAGGCTTTGGATTGAGAAATTGAGCACAAATTGAAAGGTGTAAATTTCAATCTGCTAGTGTGTTGCACATTAACTACATAAAATGTATATCCTGTTACAATTACAGTGGTACCTCGGGTTAAGTACTTAATTCGTTCCAGAGGTCCGTACTTAACCTGAAACTGTTTTTAACCTGAGGTACCACTTTAGCTAATGGGGCCTCCCGCTGCCGCTGTGCCGCCGGAGCACGATTTCTGTTCTCATCTTGAAGCAAAGTTCTTAACCCGAGGTACTATTTCTGGGTTAGCAGAGTCTGTAACCTCAAGCGTCTGTAACCTGAAGTGTATGTAACCCGAGGTACCACTGTATAAGCACTTTGAATTTAGCAAACTGGCAGTCCCAAACTACTATTAGTATCTTTCCAGCAGTCTGCACCATACAGCAGTCTAGCTGTCACGTTTTGCACTAACTGCTGCTCAAGGGCATCCCCACGTTCAGCACATTACAGTAATCCAACCTTGAGGACAGTAATACACAGCTCACTGTGGCTACTATGGCTGAAAACCATGACATGAGCACAATGATCCAATTCAACTCTGAGATAAAGAAGAACACAATCATTCTCTCAAACATGAGTCAACCATGTTGAAAAAGTAATGTAATTATCATACCGGCAAGTCCACACTGACATCAGTTCCATCCAGCAAAGAGACACGGCATGTAATTATGGATTTCTCATCTCCAGCAGCAGGGATGTGAGTTGCAGCTCGCTGGGCCTCTCTTAGCCGTTCCTTCTCAGCATGTTTGCGCATAGACCTGCGCCCAAGCGTTCGTCGAAAGAAACTCAGCATCGTTACTAAACAGGCCAATAAAAAGTTGTGAATGTTTCAAAAGGAAAAAGTCTAACGACTTTCAAATGAACTATTTCAAAATCAAGGCAGGTAAATATTCACATCTCACTAAATTTCTAAGTAATTATGCACTATAGAAAAGAAGCACAAAAGCAGATATTTGTAATGCTCCTGAAAAGGGTCAGTTCCCCTGCCAAGAGAACTTAGCAGCCCTACAGCAATTAGAAGTGCTGCTTTCAGACACCACCTGGAAATAAGACATCTCAAGAACTCAGCTGTCAACTTGCAGGTGCTTGATTCAAAAGCATGCCCATATCCTTCTGAGGCTGCAGCACCCATGCAATTAATGACTGCAAAACATTAGCAATAGGACTAGGGACAAAGAAGAAGGAAGTTCAGATTTACAACAGAATCCCATAAGGCAGAGAGGGAGAGAAAGAATGTAGGTAGGTCACAGTGTCTCTCATACTTTTATGGCACTAGGAAATCATTTAAGGGCTACTTAAGGAGGCTCCGCTTTAAATACATGTTTTAGAATACAACTTTTTGACAAGTAAGATAGAGCTACACCCTACACAGTGAGAAGACAAATATACCTCTCAGTAGCATGGTACATAGTTGTTTAAATAGTTCAACATTTGTTCTTGAATACTTTGGAATTCACAGCTTACTGGACACAACGGGCCTAGAGGCTTCAAAATCAGCCTCCACATTCACTTTTCTGTTTCAAGAACAAAGAGCATGCTCACACATGTTAGGTTCTGCTTGGTACAAAACAGATTTTGTCTGCATAAAGATTACAGGAAGGTTTCGAGGAAGGACAAGGGAAGCTAGCCCACCCACATACAGTACACATTAAGGGCACTCAAAAGTTTGCACCTTGCATGACTCATAGCTGAATCCAAACAATCTGCACCCTTGACAGAAGTTTCAGTCTCCACTATGAGCCAAAAAGGATAAACTGGCACATACGCCTTCCACCTTCTGTCTGTCTGGGCTTGCCTGCCACATGCTATCACCGTGAGAGGCTGGAATTCTTAAAAGGTTAAATTAGCACAACTGGAAGATTAAAATTTTAAACTACTCCAGATTTATTGACTATGGCATAAGCCCCTAGTAATATCAATATAATCCAATAAGATCTACTTCTATTCAGAATGTTAATTCTGCCCAAAGAGAAGCATTTATCTCCTTTAATTCTGGGTTTGTTCCTTGGCTTTTAAATAACTCTAGCTTAGAAAATAGCATCTCTGAATTCTTATACATATACAGAGCGGTCTCATACTGAAACTGGTTCACCTGCTTCTATATTGTCTACTTTGACTTGCAAAGCTTTGAGAGGTCTCAGACAGAGATCATTTCTAGCTAAGTTCTTTCATTCAAGCTTCTGAAGCTGAACTGAAGCTGGCATTTATGTATGCTTGCTACCTGCTGTATCACTGAACTATTGTCCCTCCCATATAGGATAGCTAGTGGAAGGTTTGGAGAACAAGAACATATATTTATTCTAAGGTGTTTCATTGTTCAAAGCCCTTTATTGTGCAACCTCCCACATCATACAACCTGAGGCTGACAAGTACTCACTACCAGATACTAGAATGCCTGACCCACTTTCATTGCCACACCTGTTTGCTGAGCCACCTTGTACCCCTTTCCATAAACACATAGACTGAAGATGATGTGGAACTCACACCTGCCGAGAGCATCTTTTCACCTCGAGGTAGATGCACATATCCTACAGTATGATCTCTTATGTGATATGTAAAGCTGATAAAGAGCAGCTCAGAAAACCAGTAAAACACATGCAAGGAATTTTGTTCAACATGTGAACAAGCTAAAGCTGAAATGACATAGTCATTGTAGTAACCAGTTGTGCAACTGGTGTGTTTATTAAATAAAAACACATGTGTCTGACTGATATGGAACTTCAGAGGGGCTCTTAAAGGCCAATAATGAGAACTGAACAAAATTTGGAATTAGGTCTGGGGTCTGCCAGTCAGTGCAACATCATACTGCAAAGCCACCTCATACAGTGGTACCTCGGGTTAAGTACTTAATTTGTTCCGGAGGTCCGTACTTAACCTGAACCACCACTTTAGCTAATGGAGCCTCCTGCTGCTGCCACGCCGCCGGAGCATGATTTCTGTTCTCATCCTGAAGCAAAGTTCTTAACCTGAAGCACTATTTTTGGGTTAGCGGAGTCTGTAACCTGAAGCATATGTAACCTGAAGTGTATGTAACCCAAGGTACCACTGTATCTCCCTATTTTATTATTTTTTTTTAAAAAAATGTACCCCCCAAATCTCAAGCACAATAACCTCAACACTCCCCAAGATTTAGAATTGTACATCACTTTCCACTGAGAAAGTTCCAAGGTGATTTATAATAAAAACTAAGACCTCTTCTGTGGTTTGTCTGTTTTTTAAAGAAACTGAACAACACTGCCAATTTATTTCAAGGTTAGGCAACCAACAAATCAGTTTTGTTTTGTGACGCCTGCAAATATTAGAACTGGCAAGCATACAGTATGTTATTGTTTCTGAACAAGCCCTCAACAAATATTCAAAACAGAGAACAGCTTGCACTGCAACTATTTGAACTGTTCAAGCTTAAATTTCCTTTCCTGACAAGATGTTTCATGATGTCTAAAGTAAAAGAGGAAACCCACATAACAGCAATGAGTGGTATTCAACTAAGTTTCACACAGAGTTAGACCAACTGAAATTAATGAACATTACTAAATTAGGTTCATTAATTTCAACAGGTCTACTCTGAGCAAAACTTGGTTGAATAACACACAATATTTTTACTATTGTGGCATAACCATGGACAGCATATCTATGATATGTATAGAATGCTAAAGTAGTACTGGAAAAAGGACCACTTCCCCAATACCCAACAGATAATAGCAGGACAGGTCAAAAGGTAGAGGTAAGAATAACAAACAATACAGTTTAGGGAAGAGGCTCAATATATAGCTTGAGACTATAGTTAGTCTCTCCAAACATTAACTATAACCAGACAAGAAGGGTTCAGAGTGTATTTTTGTTTCAGGCACAGGGCTGCTCTCTAGAAAAGGGGAAAAGATCACTCTGAACCAGGTTTCAAGAAGAGGGTTTTTTAAAAATTATTTGCAAAACTGAGCATTTTAAAGGGGGGTGGCAGTATTGCCTCTGCATCATTTGTCAATAAAACAAAGGGGTTGCCTCAGAGCTGTCTATATTATGACTGGAAACTGGGAAGAAGTGTTCTATGCTTTACCTCCTTGCACATTCAAGTAATCAGTAAGAACTGAGTCATGATGAACTCCACGCCCCACAAAAAAACCTGTTCAGCTCCACATAGGGGCTCATTTCATATTTTGAGGATCCTAGTTTTAAGTAAGTGGAAATTCCTTTGGCTATGACAAAGGAAATGAATATACATGAGAAGCAGGGTGGGGTAGGAGGTGGCAAGTGTTGCATACTACATGGTTAATGGCTTACCGTGAACAAGAACTCACTGCATGATCACAGCTGCTTCACTCTTTTCCTTGCACGAACAAGCAGCCATGAAGTTTGGCTTGTTGCTATGCCCAAACCAGGGATTGTGGTTTATTTCACCAGCAAGCCAAATTTTGTTTATGACTTGCTGACTATAGTGGGGAGGACCACACATTCATAATGTGGTCATAGCATCCTGAGACCAGAAAGAAAATAGATATGGGACCATGTGAAGAAAATAATGCCCAAGAAGGTACAGAGTACCTTTCCATCATAACTAACTACATCCACGTCCATTCAAAGAAATAAATGCTTTCAGGTCTCACAGTGCTGGGATTGAACTAATGGCACCTCTTTGTTTAGACACTAAGGTGATGAAACATCTTCCATTATTCCCCTCCACAGTTAAAAGATGGGGAATTTGAAGCAAATGAGTATGGTTGCTATGAACTAATGGAAATTGGGTGGATGGGGGGAATGCAAAGGGATTAATACCTCCCTTATATTAAGGATTGTAGCGTTGTCAGGGGGGGGGGGGAAAGTAAACTAAAGTATCACTCCCAAACAACATGAAGGGAACAAAGGTAAGAAGCTTGAGGGCACCGTCAAAACACAGATGAGATACCTAAACACGCAGCCGATGAAAACACAGTGCTTGATAATAGGGGAATTAAGACACAGGGAAAGGTAAACAGGAAGCCAGTCCATGAAAAAGGTCACTTTTTAACCCTTCCTGACAGATTTCTGCCCCCGCCTCCCATTTCAACCCATCCTTAATCCCACCTTTGTCGGGATTTGACGCCCGCCACCCCCCCCCCCTTGGTCGTCGCTTCCTATGGCTGTGATAATTAGGTCGCAGAAACTTGCAACTGGTCGGGGGAGGCGGATGGACGGGAGGGAGGGAAAAGGTGAGGACGGAGGGGCTGGGAAAAGGCATGGCAGCGTCAGCACGTCGTCGCCCCACACTCGGAAAGGCATAGCTACTTCTGGGGCGGGCGCTAAAGGCTGGAGAGCCACGGGAACGCCTGGGAAGTACGAGGCGTCGCTTTGGGGGCAAGGAGACCCTGAGAGAAAGAGAGAGAGGGCTGGATGTTGCTTTTAAATAGATATTTCGGAAAGCGCCAGGCAAGCAACAGGCGAGACGCAACAGGGAGGCGAGGGAGAGAGAGAGAGAGAGAGACGCACCTTCTCAGCGCACATCCCCCCCGGCCCCCCTCCAACCTGGACATTATTTTCCCGCCTTTCCCCTCCAGATAACAGTCGACAGCCTCCGCGAGACCCAGACGCCCAAAGCCACCTACCAGCCTCCCTCTTCTTCTTCTTCTCCTCGCCCAGCTGCGCCTTTTCCCGACCGGCGCGTCGCCTCCGAAGGGAAGGACTCCCGGCTAAAGCGACGAGGGGCGGAGGCAAATGGCCGCTGAGTAAGGCCAAGGAGCCGCCTCTTTCCTCCTCCTCCTCCACCTCGCCCTGTGTTTCTTTTTTTCCCTCCCCTCCCTTGCTCGGGCCTCCTCCTCTCCCAGCTCCCGCCGCGAGAGAGAGAGAGAGAGCGGAGGGAAAGGCAGCAACAAAACAAACAGGTCAACAGCCACCTCTCGTTTCCAGAAAGCACGAGGCAGCCTGGCTGCATCACACGAACCCGCCCCCCCCCCGGCCACATTTTTAAAAATCCAAATGCATTTGTTTAAGACACTCTGCCGGCTCCGAACAGGTCCCGATATTTTACCCATAAGGAAACAGCGCCTCCCTTGCTTATATTATAATATTCCCAAGTATAGGGGTGCTAAACCCGTGTTCTGTGAACCGCCCTGAGACCTCTGTATATAGGGCGGTATATAAATTCAGTCAATCAACTGGGGAGGCGAGTTGAGAAAGTCCGGGGTTAAATATTCCCTTGCAAGACCCGATCGCTGATATATTCTACTTTAAATCAGCAGGAAGAAGCAACACTGTCCGAGTCAGCTCTCGCAGCCAACGATTTATATTAAAATGCTAAGCAGTGCGCCCAGGATAACACGAACAAGTGGGAAACGCGGTCCAACTCCGTGCATCTCGAATACATCGTGCAAAAAACGCAGGTAAAGACGCATACAGTATATTGCATGTATAGAAGGCTGACTTCCCTGGCGGATAATCCGTGACGGTGCATCCTGGTGGTAGGTAGGCAGGGCCATCCCTCCTCTTCCCGCCCCTCGTCCAGCAGCCGCTGCGGGTGAAGAACTGGGAGGAGGGGGGACAGATCCCTTTTGCCAGAAGCCTGACCTCATAGCTGGCAGAGGGCTCTTTCCGCTCCTTCCATTTGCTTAAGGCCCGTCCCGTGCCCCCCTTCTCCTCCCTAGGGTCCCTAAATCACTTAGAAATAGGTTGAGGAAGCAACATTCCCTTAGCCCAGAAGTTCCTTGCCCCAGCATATGTGATCAAAAAATATTTACAGCACAATCCTATGCCTATTTACTTAGAAGTTCAAGGGGGCTTATTCTCCCACAGGTAAATGTGCATAGGATTACCACATTCACACCCACTCAGCTATATATGATACCATAAAGACAATGTTAAGGAGCAATGAACCCACATTAAGCAAAATTTATTAGGAGCGCTTCCAAGCGTTCCGTTTTGCTGCTCCGATTCATTTGTATACTGGCAAATTCAGGTTGTCCATTGAGGGTGACTTTGGTGCTATTGTGCAACAAACCCACTTCCACAAAAACCCAGGCTTCTGTGATGAATGACAGGAAAGTGCGCAGGACAATTGCTTGACATGGCATTGTATAACAGCCCGGCACCTGATAAAACAGGTGTCTTACAAGCTCCCTGCAAACAAATTAGGATGTTCAACAAACAGGTTGTTTGGAAGCAACCTAGAAAAGTAGGGGCATACTCACTATTTCAGCTGAACCCCCCAGGCTCTCCATCCCTGATCACTCAGAGATTTAGGATTGGCCCTCCTCACTTTTTTTAATGTACATTCATTGGTAAAGGTGGGTTTGCTGCCATGTATGGTGTAGAAGACCCTCACACATGCCACATACATGCAGCAGTTCCATACACCTACTACCTAAATCCAAAGACAATTTTCAGCAAATAGTAATGTTGCTTCTTATGCTAGCAGATACCAGTCAAAAAGGTGTGTTCAGCCTAACATTCAATTAAACCATTTGAAGGTAAGCAAGGCAGCAGAGTGTGCCTTATGCTGTAGGGAAAGTCATATGCATGTCAGCATTTCTGGCACTTTCCTTTTTCTCAGTGATACAGAGCCTGAAGTCCAAGCTAATCACCTGTGCCCTTTACCTGAGACTTAAAAGGCAGGTATAATTAAATTTCTCTCATTAATACATGTGGAGGTCTTTTGGGCTGCCCGAGAGGCATCGCAAAATCTTTTACATCTCTTTTACAGACACCTGCCTACCTTGGCTGTGCACCAGCCTTCCTCTGCAGTGTTAGGATTGCAGTGGGAATAAAGAAGTGACATGATAGAAGTTTATAAAATTATGCACGGCATGGAGAAATTGGATAAAGAGAAGTTTTTCTCCTCTCCCTAACACTAGAACTAGTGGACATCTGAATGGAGCTGAATCAGTTGCATAGTTAACACAAGTTTCTGTGGGCATCTGGCTGGGCATTGTGAGATCAAGGTCAAATCTGCACTAGTTCTACACATTGTAAACACAATGAAAGAATATTTTTAAAGTATTTGAACATGTAACTAAGGTGAAAGTGTCAGTCTGAAGACTTGTAGGGAGAAATGAAGGGGGGGGGAGATAAAACAAGAAATAATTGAAGAACTGGATGACAAAAGAGAAATACAGTGGTAAAGATAAGGTATTAAAAGGTTGATTATACCAATTTAGCAGAATACCTGGAAGAACTGTTTGAAACAATTTCAGGCCTAGATTGCACGGAACCTATTTCTATTGAGAAGGGATACAGAATTAAGATGTGGCAAAATATACATACAGTGGTACCTCGGGTTACATACGCTTCAGGTTACAGACTCCACTAACCCAGAAATAGTACCTGGGGTTAAGAACTTTGCTTCAGGATGAGAACAGAAATCGCACGGCAGTGGTGCAGCGGCAGCAGGAGGCCCCATTAGCTAAAGTGCTTCAGGTTAAGAACAGTTTCAGGTTTAGAACAGACCTCCGGAACGAATTAAGTACTTAACCCGAGGTACCACTGTATAGAAACTAGGGTAAGAGATGTGAGATTTTTTCTTGAAATATTAAGATAAAAATAATTGGCAAATTACACATGATTCACCAAGTAAGGCAATGGAGTCTTCCATCCCCTGCTCAAATATTTCCCCAGTTATCCTGAAGAAGCAGAAACCTGTGATTTGTAGAAGGCAAATGGAACACCAAGGTAGAGAAACTGATTTGTCACATTGTTTGGCCTTGTCTAGCTGATTTTTAATTATAGTAGCCAGTATGCCCTCATCATCACACATGAATAGAAACACGGCATGGGGGGAAGGGAATTTAACCCTGCTGTGGTCATCTGATATTTCTCTGTAGTTAATGCCAGTATGGTATAGTGGTTAGTGTTCGAATTCCCACTCAGCCATGAAGCTCACTGGGTGACCTTGGCCAGTCACTGCCTCTCAGCCTAACCTACCTCACAGAGTTGTTGTGGGGATTAAATGAGAGGGAGGGACATACGCCACCTTGAGCTTGGGGATGGAAAATAAATGCAAACAAGCAAGCAAACAAACACATTAAGAGTTTCCAAAACAGAATAAACTCATTGTTAACATAGCCTTGGCTTTTCACTATTTTCAACCTAATTCTGTCTTTATCTGTGATATGCCAAACTAGTATTACTATTCCTCATTAGGATAAATGTGCATGATCAAACAGCAAAGTGGACAGCAGTAGCATGTTATACAGGAGACTCTTCTATCACTACTGAGGTGTGTGTGTGTGTGTGTGTGTGTGCGCGCACACACACACACACACAAAAATAACCCCAAGGTTAGATCACCTCTAGTATTAACTCTGGTAAGGGCAGCATGTTCACAATGGGATCAACAATGCTTAAGTATCACTGAATTTCCATATACTGTAAGTTTACAACCAAATGAAGCATCAATTCCCTCGCTGTTTGCGTGCAAAAAAAATCTGTCCAAAGACCAAGATCAAAAAACCCATTGATAATTATCAGTACTGCAGCATAACTAGCAACTTTCAGTAATAAAAAAAATCTCCAAACTTTAAATTACTAAAGCACATCTTTATTTTGCAATTAAACAATTAAGATCCACAAGTAAACTATGTTTTTTTCTTCAAGTTTGTACCTAGACAACTATTTGTCAATCAAAATTAAATATATCCACAAAATATGTATAACAGCATATATTTCACATAATGAAGTTGCTCTTAAGACTAAAAACAAGATTTGTTAAATGTTATATTTCTCTTATTTCTGGGGAGCTGCTGGTATAGTATGTAAAACATTAGTGTACTTTATTAATGGCAAGAACTCTCATTTTACCCCAATGCAGGCAAGATACATAAGGCCCTTTTAAAGCATACAGTAGCTGCAGTGATGAATGCTGAATTCTTTTCATTGTCCAGTGTTGACCAAATTCAAGTGCATGTCATTTTCAACGGAGCACATTTCCTGCTGCTTAGCATAGAGGTTCTTAGCTAAATAGTGTTTCCCCCCCCTTAAAAATAAAATAAACACATAAATTCAAAAGACAAATCTATATCAGATAAACTTGTGTAGTAAACAGAAGATGCACAATTGTATTAGAGATGACCTACTGAGATGCTCAAAGCCAGCTCACTGGGCAGCGCAACACCCAACTGAATTGGACAATGCAATGTCACCAGGGGGGAGGGGAGAATGCAAATTCATTACCACTAGCAACAAAAATAAATAAATTTGGGCACCCAAAAGGATTGTGGATTATGATCGAGACACAGTATTAGGTTTACATTTACACATATACTATAGCACCTGTGACAGGAAAGGGGGGTGGGGAAACTAGACAAATCACTTTTTCTTTTTTTTTAGTATTTGCTATGACGACCAGAGCCATATAAATTCATGTTAAATTTGAAGCCCAGCCCCTTCAAATTGCACCGGGAAGTTTGTGGACATACTCCTATAGAGGAATACAAAGGAACTTAGTGCCAATTGTTTTAACTGCTCCAACCATATTATAGCCTTTGTGTATAAGGAATTGCAACTTTTTCCCTTTAAAAACTATTTTTGTGCATTATCTATTCTTTATAATTTACAACTTAAATACCCACCCCCACCCCCGGTTTCCAGAGTTTTATGCAAATATTAGTAATGCTAAGCAGCTATAAATATATAAGCCAGGATTCAGAGAGCTCCCTGGATTCACAGAAGTACTTCCAAGTATGCACTGATGTTCCCCCTAACCACAACTCCCTATTCTCCCTCACAGGTTACTCCCAAAGGTCTTTAAAGTCTGGAAGCAACAAGGATGGAGCCAAAAAGCAGCACATGGAAAAACTCTCTGCCCAACCCAGGAGACTCTAGGCACAGTAAACTACTAAATTAAATGAAATCCACCGAGAAAAAACAATCAGAACTTGTAAGCAGCTACATTGTGGGGGTTACTTTTAGTATCATTATTATGATGCTTAAGGTTTTAAAACCTAAACCAGAAATATGTTTATCAACAATTGCACTGCTATAATACCACAAAACAGGATGCTGTACGAGAACTACAGAATGGTACTCAGGCCTTGATATTTAAGGTCCGTATGCTGTGTGGTAGTGTACACAGTGTTTAGCTTACTAGAATGCATTTTAAAACAGATGAAAACATGTCAGAAGCATAGCGCACTGATAAAACAATTCACATGAGGAACAATCCCAATCAACTCTGCACAGGAAAGAATTAAGTATCTCTCTCTCCAACCTGGTAGCAAATTTTATTTTCTCCAAAACTTCTGTCAGTAGTAAAGCATTAGATAAAGTGCTACTATATGAAATTCAAGAAATTTAGGCAAAAAGTAAATATTTTAAAATGTGTTAAATATCAAGTAATTCCACCAAATAATGTCCGTCAAGGTCTCTTCATTTCCATACTATTAACATTGTTTCCAAAGAGCCATTTCCAAAGCGTTAACATAGTGGTCTTCAAATCTCTCATAGGCCAGAACATTTGGTTTGAGGCAGGGGCGGCTAACCTGTTCCCCTCCGCATGTTGCTGAATTACAACGCTCATCATTTCTGACAGCTGGCCACAATGGCCGAGGCTGTTGGGAGTTAAGAGTCCCAACATCATCTTGGAGGGCAACAGATTAGTCACCTCTGCTTTAAAGGCAATACAAATTCACCACTTGCCCTCCGATGATTGAAAGCAAATACTTTCTAAACTTTCTTTAAAACTCAGATTGCAACTGATGTGAAAGCCTATAGGTTGTTAAAGTTAAGCATTCAAAGTTCCAGATAGGCAAAGAATTTCTCCAAATCTTTTTACTATACCATTCCGAAGACTGAGAAGCAACCATTTTAACTTTGGTTTGTATTTCTTCTAATTTGGCGGCATTGACTAAATCAAAGCGAACATATTGATTTTCCTGTATGTCACTTCCAGTATTGCCATACTTGGCTCAGCAATTTTAAGAAATCAATATACTGCCTTGTTATACAATGAACTTGTTGGTTACAATTTAACATCTGTACCCAAAATTCCTTTCCTCCACTGCAAGTGGTAATAGCGCAAACTGAAAGTTAGTGTTGCATAATGATGGAAACAAAGGCTTGTGTTTGTTTCTACATGGCAGCTGGGTATTAAAATTAGGAAGAGCATGCATGCACACACATACACACAAGCTACTACAAGAGACCCAAGGGATATCTGCAGGAAATCTAGGACACATAATTTAAGATGATTCCCAGATTGTAAGTTACAAGACTTTTAATTATCAGCTTGCATCCAAAGATATGGGCTTTCCCACCATTCCTCTTCACTAAAGCCTCCAAATTATACTCCTGAGGGTCAAGGGACCTTCTAGCATGGCAAGTGATGTGGTACAGGGTCTGGAGGAGGAGGAGGAGAGAAATCAGCAGAAATTGTGGTCAAGGGCTTTCCACTTGCACAAGAATGCCTTTGGATCTAAGCCACTGTATTCATATAAGGCATGTTACTTCACTTGGTTGAAGCTTCCCCCCCCCCACACCCTAATCAGCTTCTCAGCCCAACAAGGACTGCAGTGAAGAATATCAACTGCTTACAGTTGCACTGCAAAAAGGGAAGGGGACACAATTCATTGAACCCTCTGGTCAACATACAACTTCATTTTAACACCCCAAGAGCCTTGTGGATATCATCCAGAGGCTTATTTTAATAACCAGTGCAATGGGCAATTCCCCTGCACATCCCAAGCTGCTTTCTCGGGCTGCTTCTCTCCCCCTCTCTCTGCGCATGAATATTTACAATGCCATGGGTTCAGTCTGTATTTTGTTACGTGTTGGGACATAAAAATAGGAGAGACTGCATAATATGCTGAACTTTCTCTTGCACAGCATATGCTGATCTAAGTGATCTGTGAATCTAACTATACAGGTAAGTTTAAGGCCAGAAATTTAAAAAGTGCAGGTGGTGCCAGGTGTCTCCACTGCTTTCCAACAGCCAAGTCAAAGACTGAGGAACAGCACCTGCAAGATACAGTATATGGCAAGAACTCCTAGGACTTTCAGGAGCTTGGGTAACCATCCATTGCCAACCACGCACTGCCTATTCTTAGTTACACTCTAGTAATTCTGCCCCCTATCAAGCAGCCCCTTCCCCCAAAAATTATAGAGTTCTGCTCCACCAGATGGAAAAAAACTGCTGAGATTCTACAATACGACATTTCCTTCTTCTGGGCTTTCATGCACAGCTGCAACTGAAGCATTTCTGCTGCTTTTCAACCTTCCACAGATGCAACAAACCTAAATCTGCACATCACTTGTGGCAAGGTGCAAGCCATACTACTTTCATCAAAAACCTCTCCCCAGCTCTCTGCACTTGCATTTTGTGCTTTCTGTGATAGGACAGCGTTTCTAAATTGGGAGCTGTGAGATACTGCTACGCTATAAGATATTACTTCTCTAGTATGTTAATAGGCTGGATTACAATGTATTAATATGATAGGCTTTATTACATCAGTGAAGATGTCTTATATTTTAGACTTAATTTGTGGCCTTATGCTGATCTTGGTTTCAAATGATGCATGTTTGGGTATAGGAAAACCACTAAGGGACAACCAGAAATCCTGTTCTTCTGTTAACACAGGGACATTACTGCAGCACTGGAAGTGGATGTCTACTACTCCAATGATTTGGAGGGACTATGCTCTAAGTGGCATGATTAGCTGGCACACTTAAAGTCATGCTGCTCAGAGAATGACTGACACTGAGGGTACTTAATATTTAACTTTCTCCAAGGTATACCTCTACCACCCCAAAAGCCACACACCTAAAAAGGCAAAAAAGCAATTTTAAGAAGTTTCTCAAGAGTCCTAGATTTCTGCATTAGAAACCTTCAAAAGTACTTTAAATAATCATAGTTTTCAGTCCTTAAGATAAAAAACAAAAACACAAAAAACATACATCGGAAACATACATTGGCACTAAACCATTTCCCTATGGCTCTTATTTACAATTAAAACAACCTGAATTAAAACAACAACAACAACGATAACAACAGGAAGTGTTACATATGATTCTTTTCTCTCCCATCTTTTTTTAGCAAATAGTAAGAAAATAATTATTCATAAAATCCAACATCCATAACACCCATCATTTTATATGTCATTATTCCTGAAACATACATTCATGTTTTGTACAGAATGAAAAAACATACAAAAAATATTTTTTCCCTTTTCTTTTTAGCTTGATACAGATCTTCATAACCCAATGCAAAGCAATGAACAGTATTAACTTTTAGGCCATATAAAAATACTTGTAAAAGGCTATTTATACCACTATGGGAAGATGCATGTTGTGAAGATCCACTTTTATGGCATGATGATGCTTTAATTTGTTATCCTTTCTTTACTATGTGTGCATTTGAGGGAAATTCCTGTGGCTTTTTGATCTGCTGCTTACCCTACCAAACTAATCTCTTTCCATATTTCTTCATTGCCACTAACCAGCAAGCCCTAAACCAGCTTATATCAGGGGAGATGGAGGCCTGAAGGCAGCTAATGTTTCTGCCTATATGTCAGATCAACATCCTAAGTACCAAAAATATATGCCAACAAAACTATACATTGTGGTATAAATGTTTCTCATGGATTCAAATTGCTTTGGCAACCTCACATAAGAAAATCAGCGTATTTAAAATATCAATGATATACAACTCTCTAGTAATTTCCCTTGTATAAGTTTATAAAATGGGCAATGCTGTTTTCATTTATATGTTGGCAACAGTAACATACATTGGCAATAGTAACACATGTTTCACTAGAATGGATGCAGTAATTTAGTATTTACTTTAATGTGCTACAAATGCTTAAATTAGTCCTGCAAATAACCAACACTATGGCACAGAACAATTTCCCAATTAAAAGCAGGAAAGCCTTCTCTAGGTATTAAACCATTTTTGAAGTAAGTGGTTCAAAATAGAATATAATATGCAGTATATAGCATTATTTATATTCCTATTTGCCACCTGACTGGTTGGTAGAACTACTGGAGGCTTTCTATAAAAAGGATTTTACATTGCTTGCACTAACATCTAAGGATGGTTTAGAGTGCAATGCAATATCGTTAGCAGTTACTCACATTGTGCTGGGTAATCTGAAACTGTTTGAAACATAGTTTAAAAATGCATTTCAGCCTTTCATTTTGTGTTGAACAGAAACAAACTATTAAAAGCCACTGGATCCTTCAATTATCAATTGATGTAGAACATTTGAACCCACTATCCCGCTTCAATTTCAAAGCTGTCAAAAGTAGCAGTTTATCAAGCACTCATTCCAATTTGTGAAAGCAGACAAAAGTGTATTCCTACACCCTGGACAAATGCTCAGTTAGAGACTGAGGGGTGTGTGTGTGTGTTTTAAAAAGAAGCCCATTACACCTCATCCTACTGAAACTACAGTTTGGGTGAAAGGAATTGACACTAGCATTCATTTCTACACTGACTCAAGAAGTTATATTAAAAGGATAATAATGCAATAATTTCAAAACCAGAAATGGAGACTACTGGATTTGCTTTGAAAATAAATAAACAGGCCAGCAGATGAGGTTTTTTTTTTTTTTTTTTTGAAAAAAATAAAGTTTCTCTTTCATTTGGTATCATGATGAAGAGCTGCTACAACATTGCACCACCAATTTCAGGGCATTGGGTACAAACTTTATACAGCAGATTTGCAGCCCCTTCCAGTACATATAGAGGAGAATAAATGTGTGTGTGTTTGTTTTTTTTAAAAAGAAAAGACAAACCTCATATTGTCATCCATAGTCTGCATATTCTGCTTTTTAAAAAATTCAGTAATTATTCAAACCTCTTTAATACAGGGCAGTGTAGGTTTTCATAAAGAAACAACTGAATCCTAAATGCATATTGTGCAAGAAGCTGTCTCAGATCTTCTTCTTCTTCTTCTTCTTCTTCTTTAATAAAAAGGAGACAAAAACCTTTACATGACCCTAGAATGAGTTCAGATTCTGTATCAATTAAGTGCCTCCAACTGCATACATGCTAATGACCTCAAAAAAAGAGGCACACAAATTAAAAAGCACAAAAGTACACAGAGATCCCAAAGAACATATGGAAAGCATAAATGTTTTGGGAACAAGCTGATGGCATTTTATGCACCTTCCTCCCCTTTTGTCTTGTCATAACACAGTATAGCACAAACATGACTCAAGAAAGCACAAATGTGGACTCAGGAAATGTAACTGGCAAGCAGGTCATGGGGAAAGCTTACCTTGAAGTTTTAAAACAGTTATCAGAACTATCAAAAAGGTATAGCATACTCAATTACAAAGCTTTTTTTTCTCAGTGGAAGGCTAAAAGAAATAAATTCTAAAACTATCTACTGGCTTTACATTTGATGTTGCAAATATTTTACCAGTTGAAAGGAATGTGTCAGATTTCCCACTTCAATTCATAGCAGTAAACAATTATTACTTATTTAATAGGCTGGGGTGCTCTTGCTACCCATAGTAGCATGCAGGTACTTGTAGAAAGAGAAGGAATGGTATTTCTGTGACCCCCTATCGTATTCTAAGTACCATATTCTAAGCACCAAGGGCCATGCTTTAAAGTGTGAACCTGCTAAAGTAAATGTTACAATGATGATACTTCCCCCTTTAGGGCCAATACAAGTGCCTTGCCATTAAAGACATACACTGTAAGTCTCAAGGCACTTAAGGGGTTAAGACAAAACACATGCATTCATTCCCATTAGGTAATGTCGTCAGATGTTACAAAACACACCAATGTTGTGACATGCTGAGAAACAGAGCTACCAGGTCAAAAATAAATGCCCCTCCTATCCCACCCTAAATAAGATGCTGGTTAAACGGGCCTTTATGCAGCTACTGCCGAGTTAGACGAAAATGTAGCTTTCCACTATTAATCAGGTTAGATCCTTAGAACGACATTGGGCAAAATGTGCTGCTTCAGTAGGCAGTGTCTAGTAGTAGTAATATTGCTAATGTTTCACCAAAATAAAAAACAAAACAAAACAGCAAGGATCTTAACACAGCAAAATTTAGCATTGGAAGAAATGGCTTTGTGTGTATTGTTGTTGCTTTAAAAAGACATAGGTGTCAACCAAAGAGTGAAAAGTGTTCCAAGCCTTTTTTTTTTTTGTAGCAGTTCAAACAAAAAGGGACTGTATGGCACCACAATGATGTCTGGAAAGTCATGGAGTTCCTTAAGTCTGGTTTGTTCGAAGCAAAGCATGAAGAAAGAGTCTTCCAACACAGAAAAATCATAGTGTTTTAGAGACCAATTTTCAGTTTCAACATAAAGTGCAATAGTGCTGAAGTTTTTTCCATGTCCTTTTCATTTCTTCATTGTTTTCAGACACCATTTCTTGCAAGTAATGTTATGGCACACCAGTGTCTTGTATGGATTCTTCTGAAAGGTATCTTTTGTTTTCTATTAATGCAGCGAAGTCGTTAAAGGTCTAACAAGTTCTTCTTCATACACTTTCAAAATAGCCTCACAAACGAATCTGTATTGACTCTAGAAAGAACAGTGCAATAATTTTTAAGTCACAGAAAAACAAGCTGGAGAAACTAACAATGAACGATCAGGATAAACTTAAAAGACTTTTGTGCTGAAAATACTACAGGATGGATCCAGTGACCAGCATGCTGCAGGAGAGGCTTCAGGGGGTAGGATGGGGGGGGGGATTAGCTTTCCTCTGTGCTTTTCTCCGACTCCAATCCTGTGGGACAACTGATGGTAAGGCATCCATCAGCAAACAATTGTTAAAAATCTCCCTTATTCTCCTCTCACCCGTCCTAAATCTGCTCTGGAAAACCTTAGGGGGGGCTAAGGGGATTCATTAAAAACTGCTTCCCTCTCCATTTTGCTGATGGAAGTCTTCAGTACTTGAGTGACACTGTTTGATACAACAGTTTAAAAGTTTTCATATACAAATATATAAACTTACATTTCAAGGGCTGCAAATTAAAAACAAAAAACAAAGAATGAATGTGGAATTTATATTTAAGTAGCAGCCTTGAGATTTTATCCCACTTTAAATATTGTTCAAGTTGCTCACTCTGATCATTAGAATAAATACAAATTCTAGGTTCTATAACATCCTATAATCTATAATATCCGTAGGCTACTTTTTCAGATTTTTATTAGCATATAATCAGTCTTTAGTGCATCTAGAGAAACAAAGGTCTAAAAAGAAATTTGTGTTCGCACAAGACAATAGCTACGTAATTTCTAATATATAGGGTGAATCTAAATTCACATTTAAAACATGAAACCTAGGACAATGCCACCTTGTGGATAACATGTGGAAGTATGAACATTTACAGGGGAAACGGAAAGATTCAGATACCAGTTTTAGGATGGCAATAACAAAACACTAAATCACTTTTCCTATGTGTGTTTTAATTTCCTTCTTGAACTTAAAAGCAAACCTTCACTTCATTTCAGGATCTCTAAATAAACTTGCGTATGGTTAACTGCTTGTTCTGCATCAAATATGTGCACCTTGATCCAGAAAAAGATATATGTAAGCAGAAACATTCTTGCAAGTACATTTTTCCTACTCCATGCATGGAAGTGTGCTATGAAGAGGGGAGGAAACATCTGGAGTCCACAGATGGTGTTCCTGTACTGTGTGCACATAAGATGAATAGCATCAGCTCTGACCTTGCTAATCATTTCCTTTGTTGTTTGATAGAGGGAGGGGAAAAGCAGGTGTTGGACACCAGACACAACGGCTGGGGTCAGGCTAGCATAAGCCAATACAAGTGAATGTTTTAGCTCCACGCATAGGCCCTTTGCTCCTCTTATAACGCAAATGAATGAGCAATCAACAAAGTCTTACATTAACTATAGTTTCTCATTTTGGACAAAATGAAAAAAACAACCCTATGGTTTATAGGCTTCAGAAAATGCCAGGATATTAGGCCAACTTCAGACTATGGCTTTAACCATGGCTTCCCAGCATGCATGACATTAGAAACTATAATTAATGGAAGAGTTCCTGGTTTGTTTGCTCTCTCATGCAAGGGGACTATATGCATGGCTAAAAGTTTTGTATCTTTTTCTCTCATAACTGTCTACCACTACCAGCAACAAACATCTGTTTGGCAAAGCAGATGCTGCAAGTTACATACAAATCAATACTTAAATTTTAAATTGGTTCTTTCTTTAAAATTCAGTTAAGTGTCACCTATTTAAAAGTCATTGTTAGGCATCTGTGATACTGGAAGCAGTTTGTTTTAATGTATCAATAACTTACAGGAGTTTGGATCATCATGGCCCTTTGATCTCTCATAGTTCTCACAATATCCAAGGGAAAAACAGGCTGATTGCACTCAATGAGACACATAGCTGTTTCCATAGTGATAAGAACTCCTGTTCGTCCAATCCCGGCACTGTAAAATAAAAAGGACTACTTCTTATCACATTTAATATTTTAAAGCACTTAGGAGATATATATAATTAAGTGGCCTAAGTCAAACTTTTCTGAGTTAGCTGACAATATACAGAAGCAGCATTTTCCACTGAACGAACACATTTTTTCCATAACAAAGATAGATTTAATGAGAAATAATATATATGTACTTATAACTGTCGTTCTTTGGGAAGCAGCCACATCACACAAATAGGCAAACAGCCAGGTTTGAACTTGTTAGGAAACCCTTCAAAGGCAGTGCTTTAGAGTGAAGGTATGCTAACTTCAGACTTATGTAGTTTATTTGGGTGTTATGCTTACTAGAACCCATGTGATCCATCAACATGTTTAGAATGTACAGAGTAACAGTATATATTCAAGATCTCTTAATATTCAAGAAATAGCCAGGAGCTGCTCTTTCTGGCTCCATCCAACATGGTTTGAGTAACAAGGTCTTCCTGAGCTCTGGTGCGCTCCTGCATCCATAATTATCCTTTAGTGCTTAGTTTGTCTCTTAGAATTCTATGTAACTTTTTTCTTTTGTGGTAGCAAACACTGAAGACAGGATAAAGAGAAAAATAGGGCATAATTCCCAGGATTATCAGCCCAGATACAGTCAAACTTTGATTGCTGAATGTAATCCGTTCTGGAAGACTGTTCGACTTCCAAAATGTTCGACAACCGAGGCGCGACTTCCGTTTGGTTGCAAGAGCTTCTTGCACTCAAGCAGAAGCCACATCGGATGTTCGGCTTCTGAAAATCATTTGAAAACCGCAGCATTTACTTCCTTCCGGGTTTTTGGCGTTCAGGAGCCGAAACGTATGATAACAGAGGTGTTCAGGAACAGTGGTTTGACTGTACCCATTTCCATTCCAGAGCTCAGCAAGAGAATACTAGATGGAATTCAGCATTGCACTGGAATGAATGTTCTGTCTGTGCAGTCATTCAGCTTCCCCCTTGTGTGTGCTGCTCTGGGAGTTCACTGAATAACCCTAGAGCCAATTTCAGGGGCACGGGGGGGGGGGGGAGCCCCATTGCATTCCGCTGATCGCTCATTAGGTAGATCCCACCCATGATGTTTTATGTGCCAGGTCTCAACTAGATGGCAGTCAGTTATTACTGATTTATCAACATTAATCAAAGCCAATCCACATACACATAGGAAGGGGAGAAAAGGAATATGGACCAGACAATGTGGTATTGATACATTTCAATAAATGTCATTTTTGTAATGAGGCATGACTGATATTGATTTTGACCTCAGACCTTGTGATGACGCTGAAATCCAAAGCTGAATATGAAAACAGTTAGAACTTCAAACAAGAATTAAAGAATTCTAGTCTGGTATCTATGCTTTCTGACCTACAGTGTAATGGGAGAACCAACTTATACAGTCTCCAGCAGCTGATGTTTAGTTAATGAAGCTCCTGAAACTGAGCCCTAGCCTATTTACCTGTTCTGAGTGAAAACCACTTGTAGGTGACCAGAAACAGCTTAGAAGCACAGCAGCAGCATGGGACAGAACTGCTGTAGCTGCTGTACAAATAAAAAAGCTACAGAAACTGAAGAACTGGCTATTAGGCCAGAAGGAAGAATAAAGAAGCCATGCATGCCGCTGGCAACATGTATTAAACGATACAATGCACAATTACCAGTACGATGTACATTACTAGTAAGGTACCCCTTTTTAAGACAGTTCAGCCATTTCTATTTTAGCCTCATAGTTTACATGGTTAATACAGCTTCCTAAATTAGTTTCCTATCCAGTTCTGGCACATAAAGACATCATAGCTTTATGAAGCATGAAAACATGTTTCCAGACAATTAGGTAAAGCTATTCTCATTCAAAACCAGAAGGTCAAAAGAACACAGTAAGTAACTGTTTCTGTTAATTTAACAGAAACAAGAATTCAGCTCTATATTTGAAAATGAAGGTAGCTACAAAATGAAATAAGGTTTTTGGTTGAAATCTTGAGAGGGGAAACGCAGTGAGTTTTCCCTACAAGTTAAATACCTGCAGTGAACAACAACTGGCTCTTCTCTGCCAGCTCTTTTTTTCCTGATGAGACACACAAAATCCAGGAAGTCACTGGAATCATCAGGAACCCCATGATCAGGCCATGCTATGTACTGGATTTGAGTAAGCTGACGGTCCTCATTTTTCTAGCAAAACAAAATTTGTTCAAATGCAATAGATCATTTCAGTGTTTTCCTATAACAAGTTTAATTGTCAAAGTCAACCTATCTCGGTTTAAAATTTCTACTTTCACGTGTCACAAAATAAATATCTAGATGCTTCATGCCATTTAAATGAAGTGCAAGATCATTAAAAAGTGTCCTGTGGATTTTCGAAAATAGACCCCATGGGCCATATGCTGTGCTGATTTGAGGTTAAAGGTAAGATAATCCTTAAAACAGGTATGGGGGAACCTGTGGTCCTTCAGATGTGGGCAGACAATTCCCATAATCTTGGACTGTTATTGATCATGGCTGGGACTGAGAAGTGGATTCCAACAGCACCTGGGCGATCACAAGTCCCCCACACCCTTTTAAAGATACAAAACAGGTAAATTTACATATTTTATTGAGCCACTTTATGTAGACGTAAGTGCATACAAGATTTTGTGTTTCACATGCATCAGGCAGAAGTCTGTTTCTCCTGAGGAAAAGCACTAGTCTACCATTTCACCTAATTTCTGCCTTGTATCTTTATTTCCATAGGGGTAGCCATATTAAGTCTGCTGCAGGAAAAACAACAGAGAGTCTCTTACAGCACCTTTAAAGTCTTAAATTTATTACGGCATAAGTTTTCATGGACTAGAGTCCACTTCAATTGATGTGTGAAGTGTTTTCCTGAGCTGCTAGTGTATAACTAGTCACAAGCTAATGGTATAATAAATTTGTTAGTCTTTGAAATGCCACAAAAATATGTTGCTGTATTCGACACAAATAAGTATGCGGAGAATCAACAGATCCACAAGACAGCTGTGCTAGCTCCATGAGCAACATCAAAATTGGAATAAAACTTACATTTTTCTTATGTTACAGTTCACAGTGATAAATGTTTAAGCCAGCAGTAGCAAACATGTGCTATTGGACTTGGACTCCCATCCACCCCAGCCAGCATTTCCGTTTTTTTATGACAGCCTTGCAAATCATAAAAAGAGCATCAATTTCATTATCTTAAACAAAATGTATTTATGATAGCTAATTAGCATACAGTCTCATGGATTTCTGCCCACCCCCAAGCTTAATACGTTGGATCAAATGGAATGTAACAAAAGTTTGACCCGGCAACAAAAGGTAACAAGGAATAGTGACACAGTGGGCCATTTCTCTAGGGAGTCTAAAAAGAACAATCAAAAGATTAATGTTGCCGTGAACTTTTTGCAGTGAGATGGTTTTAGTTTTAAAGGGCTTCACAAAATTACATAAATAGCCAGTGAATGGTCTCTCTCACCTCCAGATGAGACATTGTCATCTCTCTGAAGACATAGGCAGGATTTCCTTCTTCTGAATGACAAGTGATCTGAAAATTCCCATACAAGGAGCTTCCGGTGGGCTCTGGCCAGTACTGATGGCATTTCACCTGTCAACAGGTTTTTGTTTAAAAAATAAAAGTTTCTGCTTAGATTCCAAAAGTTGCATTTGGATCAATTTTAGCTACTTCTCACTGTTATCTGAAACATGCAATAAGATGATTTCTTGTACACTGTTTTAAGGAAATAATAAAAGCCCTTAAAAAAAGTCAAAGAAAGATTTTAGCTAGGATACTTCCTTTGTTTCTATTCATATTTAAACCCATGGAAATAGATACTCCATGATTACTATAAAAAGTAGAACCACATAACTTAGCCTGAGAAGACTCTGTTTTTTATTTCATAACATTTGTTTATTTTAGTACTTTGCAATGCAGTATGCAAATGCAAGAAATAAAATATATTTAAATTTATTCCCACCCCCCAAAAAAAATCTTATCTAAACTAGAACTGCTAAAGTAGACTCCCTAACAACACAAGAACAAACAGGGACTCTCTCAGCACATACAACTTTTCTCTTTCCAGTTCACTAGGCTGTTCCTAGTACAGGTTAGTCTATGAATAGTGTTATCCTTTGAAACTGATTGACAATCCTCTTGAATAATATTTAGTTCACATATTGGTTTAGGAAGTTAGATTGGTTAAAACATGGGCCACATTAATGTCTTCCTGATGCATTGCATTGGAATTACAAGCTTTAAGAGTTAAAATTACAGACTGACTTACTCTTCCCCGTTCCACTTGAGTAGTTAGCATTACAACCATAGATGAGCCTTGTTCCCAAATCATCTGCCAAAAATCAGGGCAAGTGTTTGGTAAAGGACCTTGGCAAGCAATGTATTTATTTATTATACTGGAAGAAGGGATTTCCATCTAAAAATAAAATTGCAGAATGTGTTTAGTAACTTCACAACTTTGTGTACTCTTGCCTAAATCATATGTAATCTTCAGCAGGTGCCTTCTATTTTAATCTTTAAATGCTTGTTGAAAGCTTTTCTATGCCACAAGACTTATGATGACGATTAAGGAAACCTATTCTATAAATAGTCAACTGATGATCTGTGAATTTATTTTTTTTAATGTGGTTTGTATTGTAAAGATATAATCAATATAAACAGCTTTAAAGTGCTTTATGAAATTGCAGCATATAAGAATATTTGGAAATAAACAGAAAGCTAGAAATTTGTTTTACTGCATAATTAACAGTCAACTGCTACTCTAAAACAGTTTGATCAAACATCAAGATATTCTCCTCTTTAACCACTATTTTAATTGGAAGTTCATTCAATGACTTTTTAACACCTGGGGAAGGAATACCCAGAAAAATTATTAACTTTTCTGTTTCCAACAGACATGAGGAACTACATGAGCAGGATTCCCTCCATCTATGTTACAACTGCATTAATCAACTACAATATATCTAAGCAATATCAAATGAAATTTTAAAATAAATCTTTGTGCATCTTTAAAATCCAAAGGGCTAATTGTTTCACTGCTGAATCCAAACATGGAATTAACATGAAGAGAAATGGTAATCTCCAACTCACATTTATATAATTTGCATTGATGTAATCATCATTACTCTTTAAAATAACCCGTGTAGCATCATCTGAGAAAAAAACAAAACAAACACTTATGTAAAATTCTCCAAATGGTAACCAATGAAATGCATTAACTGATATCCATGTAAGCACTTACAAGGCGAAATGTCTCTGTATCTATTTTTGGAAATGTTTTGAGGTAATTTGGCACAAGACATTGTCATCCCAGGCTTCTTCCTGTAAAGTTGCTGAACAGAAACAAAAATGGCAGGTTGTAACAAGCAGAATCTGAGTAATCATGAGACATGGTACAAAAACAAAACAAAACAAAACACATTTATCACGAACATATTGTTCCCAGCTTGGAAAAGAGAAGCATCACATGCATTTTACACTTTTGCAGTTTTTTCCAGTAAGCTAACTTTACCCCTAAAATGTGCATCAAATAACATGTCTGAAGACTGGCATGTATAGCAACTGCATAATCCTTGCTTTAAGGGGAAAAGCCACGAGCAAAAGGCAATGTGGAATCACCTACCTGAAATGACAAGATATATATAGACCTGGTTCACATGGCACAGTAGGCCAAACTGTGGCTTACTGAGAACTGTATGAATGGGAGAGGAGTTTGCAGCCACTTTGCTCCTCTTCAGTCCTTTTTACTGCCACACCAATGTTTGGCTTGCTGTGTCTTTCAAACGAAAGGTTACGGTTACTCTATCTCTGCACCAGCTACAAGCTGCCGTTCTTGGTTTATATAGTTAACGATCCTGATGCCTAGATTCAGTGGTGTGCTGGATGAAGGACAATAAACTCACTCAATCCTGGCAAAACAGAGGCACTGTGGTTGGGAAGTTCCAAAGTCAGGATAATTTGTCAACTGGACGGGGACATGCTCTCCTAAAGCTTCACAGACTGAGGCTGCTCATGGACACACCTCCTTTGCTAGAGTGACCTCGCTAGCTAGGAGTTCCTTTTACCAGTTTGGACTGGTAAAAGAGCTATGGCAGTTTCTGGACTGGGATAGGCTGACCATTGTCATCCATGTGCTGGTAACCTCCGCACTGTAGTACTGCAATCTGCTCTATGTGACCTATGATCGGGAAGCTACAGTTAATGTAAAATGTAGCGGCTTGACTGCTCACTGGGGTGTAATACTGCCATCCTTTATGCCATTCCTGAAAGAATTGCACTGGCTGCCGGTTAGCTAGTAAAGGTAAAGGTACCTCTGACCGTTAGGTCCAGCTGTGGACGACTCTGGGGTTGCGCGCTCATCTTGCTCTATAGGCCGAGGGAGCCGGCGTTTGAATGCAGACAGCTTCCGGGTCATGTGACCAGCATGACTAAGCCGCTTCTGGCGAACCAGAGCAGCGCATGGAAATGCTGTTTACCTTCCCGCTGGAGCAGTACCTATTTATCTACTTGCACTTTGACATGCTTTCAAACCGATAGGCGGGCAGGAGCTGGGACCGAACAATGGGAGCTCACCCCGTTGTGGGGATTCGAACCGCCAACCTTTTGATCGGCAAGCCCTAGGCTCTGTGGTTTAGACCACAGTGCCACCAGCGTCCCTGCTGGTTAGCTACTGGTGTGCAAAGGGGCCAGGCTACTGAAAATACCACCTGCTCCCCTACATACCCAGTCACTATGTTCTGCAAGAGACAGCATCCTGCATCCTATCAGGGGGTCCATTCTGCACAGTATTGAAATTGGACCTTTAGTGAGGCAGCACCTACCTTTTGGAACTCATTCTCATGGTGTATCACACAGATGGATAGCTCAGTTGGTTAGAGCATGGTGCTAATAACGCCAAGGTTGCAAGTTCAATCCCTGTATCGGACAGCTGCATATTCCTGCATTGCAGGGGGTTGGACTAGATGATCCTCGGGGTCCCTTTCAACTCTACCACTCTCTGATTTTATGATTCTATGCCCTTAGCTATATTTATTGTCTTTTAAGATCCTGCTAAAGATGTTTCTCTCTTTACAAACCTTCTAAAACCTATATCCCAGTTGGTAGAGCTGTCTTGAACTTTGAATTGATTTTATGTAAGTGCTGCTGTTGTTTTAAACTGTTTTTAAAAAAATATTTATAAATATTTTAAATTGTTTTTGTATAACTGCTTTATGTATGTTATTAGCTTGTAAACCACTTTGGGGAGCCAAATAAATGAATAAATATTAAGTCAAACCTAGATTAACTCTATGTGGCACAGCAGCAAAGTGGCAGTGAGCTCCTCTCCAGGAGGCCACACACTTGCAGTGTCTCCATAACCCATGGTTTGCTTTATCATGCCATGCAAATGAGACCACAAAAGTGATGGTTCCCTAAGTTGAAAGAAGAATATAAGGAGAATATAAGAAATAGCATATTTCGTCCAAATAATAGCCCACCTAGTCATGAGAATTGTGACAGCACCCAGTACAAGATGCTTCAAAAAAGCATGAAAGATGTTTTCTTCCATTCCACACACAAATTGAAAGTAACACCCTATTTTGTGGGTTTATACAGTCATAGGAAGAAGCCTGAATGAGAGACAGTCGAGTCCCTATGCAGCATAAAGCAGAACATAAACCATATTGTTTATTCCTCTTAATGCCTTAGGGCTACTGGAGAAGAGAAATGCATTACTAAAGTAATCAAAATGAGCAATATGCTCTGAAGGTAAAGGAATTATATACTCAGTTGTGTTTCTGAAACAAAAGAATGGCAGCAGCTGGAGAAAAGCAATATACACCCAATTCACTTCCTCTACTTACTTAGCGACAAAAGAAAAAAACTCACCAGCAAAATTAGGAATAACCTGAAAGTCAACAACTACTATTTTCATTTTTGTTTCTTTATAAAATTAGAGTGTAGTGCCTAATCGGTATATGCATGTGTTGATGCAAAAAAGAAACAATACTTGAAATGAAATTACAGTGGTACCTCTGGTTACGTACTTTATGCATTCCGGAGGTCCGTTCTTAACCTGAAACTGTTCTTAACCTGAAGCACCACTTTAGCTAATGGGGCCTCCTGCTGCTGCTGCGCCGCCGCCACACGATTTCTGTTCTCATCCTGAAGCAAAGTTCTTAACCCGAGGTACTATTTCTGGGTTAGCGGAGTCTGTAACCTGAAGCGTATGTAACCCGAGGTACCACTGTAATTTCCTTAAATCAATTATTTTAATAGATCTACAGAAAATGAAGCTCACTGATGCTGACAACATTCTAGTAATCTTTGCTGAAAGAACTATTGTCTTAAATCACACATTTTAGATTAGACAGAAAAATGAGAGGCAGACCAAAATTTGACCTACATTTGTACATATTTCAATCTATCGTGTAATGGTGTGTATTATGTAATGCTAAATGTTTAATATTTCATTCACAACAGATTAGACTGAAAACCTGGCATAGTTTACAAAGAGAGTCAATTAACTAGTTATTTCCATATGGGAACCTTCACCAATCTGCTGCTCTCCAGATTTTCGGACAATATGGCAATGCTGGCTGGGATTAATAGGAGTTGTACTCCAAAACTTCTGGAGGGCATCATGTTGACAAAAAGCTGTCCCTGAGCAAAAGAAAAGCGTTCGTCTAAAGCAGGCTTCCTCAACCTTGGCCCTCCAGATGTTTTGAGACTACAATTCCCATCATCCCTGACCACTGGTCCTGCTAGCTAGGGATCATGGGAGTTGTAGGCAAAAAACATCTGGAGGGCTGAGGTTGAGGAAGCCTGGTCTAAAGCAAAGACTTGAACCAGATCTCTCCATATGCACCTTCCAAGCATATGGTCAGTGCCATCTCTGACCATGCCAACAGTCTATTCATGAGTACTGAGGGAGAGCATCACTGCCAAAAGCTATCTAGTGCGTTTGGGATTACAGCTCTGGCTATACGGTTGGCACTACACACATTTTAGAAATGGAAGCTGTACATAATAGTAATTGAGCGTTTTACCCCACATACTCTTATTGGGCCATGGTACTGAAGGGAAACAGATGCAATAGCTGATCAGGAAGCACTAAGAAGGAGTTTGCCTATAGCTATTAAGAAAGGCTCAACTTCACTCAGAAGAAACAGATATTAGATAATAACACTGATTTTTAAATGGAGCCCACAAATGTTTATGAGGGAAGGAAGAAAAGAGGCAAGGGAGGAATGCAAACTGTTTGCCATTATACTGCTTGACCTAATCAAAGTAATGTGGATCTAGCTATAGGTTATCTCCTAGCCCCAAGAGCAAAGGATTTTCAGCTGGAAAGCAAACCAAGAAGCACACACTCCCCAGGAAATACATTACTTACATCAAACTGAGCCAGGACAGTTCCCGTGATAAGCCCCTCTGCCAGCTGAAACATGGATTCCCTCAGAGCAATATCATCCTGGTGGGCACCATCTAGTGGGGACTTCTCAGGGATGTACTGAAAGTCTGGCTCACTCTCCAGCTTTTCTTCTACCACATCATAAACAGCTGCAATAAACAAGAAGTAGCATAATTACTGAGGAAGAGAACTCTGCAAAACTGCGGACAGCTGCTTCATCCATTAATTAACATTAATATTAATAAATTAATAATAATAATAATAATAATAATAATTTATTATTCATACCCCACCCATCTGGCTGGGTTCCCCCAGTCATTCTGGGTGGCTTACAGCACATATAAAAAATTGTAAAACATCAGACATAAAAAAAATCCTGATGCAGGGCTGCCTTCAGATGTCTTCTAAAAGTCACATACAGTGGTACCTTGCAAGACGAATGCCTCGCAAGACAAAAAACTCGCAAGACGAAAGGGTTTTTGGTTTTTTGAGTTGCTTCGCAAGACGATTTTCCCTATGGGCTTGCTTCGCAAGATGGAAACGTCTTGCAAGTTTGTTTCCTTTTTCTTAACACCGTTAATACAGTTGCGACTTGACTTCGAGGAGCAACTCATAGCACGCGGTGTGGTAGCCTTTTTTGAGGTTTTTGAAGACTTTGGTGATTTTTGAAGCTTTTCCAAAACTTTTCCGAAACCGTGCTTCGCAAGACGAAAAAAATCGCAAGACGACAAAACTCGCGGAACGAATTAATTTCGTCTTGCGAGGCACCACTGTAGTTGTTTATTTCCTTGACACCTGATGGGAGGGTGTTCCACAGGGTGCCCTCTGCCTAGTTCCCTGGAACCTCACATTCTTGCAGTGAGGGAACCCGCAGAAGACCCTCGGAGCTAGATCTCAGTGTCCAGGCTAAATGATGAGAGTGGAGATGCTCCTTCAGGTATACAGAGCCAAGACAGTTTGGGGCTTTAAAGATCAGCAGCAACACTTTGAATTGTGCTCAGAAAAATACTGGGGGCCAATGCAGGTCTTTCAGGACCAGTGTTATATAGTCTTGGCAGCCACTCCCAGTCACCAGTCTAGCTGCCGCATTCTGGATTAGTTGTAGTTTCCAAGTCACCTTCAAAGGTAGCCCCAGGTAGTATGCATTGCAATAGTCCAAGCAGGAGATAACCAGAGCATGCACCAGTATGCCACTGCCAGACAGTATTTGCCAGATGGAGCTGGTAGACAGCTGCCCTGGACACAGAATTGACCTGTGCCTCCAAAATGACTCCAAGGCTGCACACCTGGTCATTCAGGGGCACGGTTGCCCCGATTCAGGACCAGGGAGAGCACATGAAGGAAACACGCATGCATGGATCTTTTCTGCGTGATAGGGTGTGCTTGAGTGCAAAAATTCCAAGCAACTGATCTAGCTGGTTGCTTTCTTCTCCCACTACTGTGCGATCGCATCATGGGAAAGGAACTCCTGTCAAAACACCCTGCACCAGAGAGATAAAACCCCAAGCTAGCTACAATTTTAACAAGAGGTTTATTGATACAAAATGTATTAGACTGAATTTGTTTATGTAATATCAATGCACACATTTAAATCAATTAAAAAAACTCTGGTATCCTTCTCCTTTGTACCTGGAAAACATTTGGCTTTACATTTTATTATCCAGTGGTGTGATTGTTAATTAAGGATAGAAGAGGCCTTTTTTTTTTTTTTTTTACTAGAATGCATGCTGTTATCACTTAACAACCACCCTGCATTCATTTCTTGCCTGGAAACAACATGTGTTATATACATACATGCCAGACAGTATTTGCCGAATACAAACATATTTTATTAGTAATGCTTGTAACTAAAATAAATCTGCAAAAAAATTGGAGGAGGAAATCATGGCTGCCTGCTAAATTCTCAATTTCAATGTCTTTTACTTAAACTAATACGACAATCAAAAAAATGAATAAGGTTTTTATGTCAGTTTCAACTGTTCTGCTTAAGAGCTTTTATTTATCCTATTTCTTTGCTACATGGTTCTTATGCTGCACTTGCACAGTGACCTGTGCAAATACCTCCATAATAAACGTTTACTGATTGCATGCAAAAACAGATAAGAGTTGGAGCTTGAGCACCATCCCACAGAAGTAGCTGAAAGATTACTTTCCCACCTCATCCTTTCCAATCAGCCCTCCAAAACGTCTCTTCTAAGGTTCAGCGAAAATCCCTGAAAATCATCAGGCAGAGGCGTCTTCCATAAATGTAGAACACACCTCAGTGTCTGATTTTGGGTAGCTTCCATGAGCTTTTCCTCAGTTTCTTGCACCACATTCCATAAAACAAGGTTTCCCAACCCTCAGGAGAGGCTTGTAAGAAAGCTACAACTGTGACACCTACAGCCAGATCCAATTCATCATTTCCTTGTTAGTACAAGCCCCACTAAGGTAAATGAGACCAATTCCCCCAAAGAAGTGTGCCTAGGACTGCTAGTTTTAGAACACGAGTTAATAAACAGAGACCAAGATACTATATAAAAAGGCATGCTTTAAAAAGTTTTGCCCACGATAGAAAAATTAAGGACTACAAACTTTGGTAAGAATAATTCCAAGTTGATAAGACAATCAAAAATATGTTGAAGATTATATTGCTACAAAAACATTACAGCAAAAAATCTATAAATACATCAGAAGCAGGAAATGAGCAAGAGAGGAAGTCAGACCATTAGATGACAATGTGTGAAATGATTTATCATGGAGAGAACAGAAAGACTGCAGAGACGCTAAATGAACTTTATGCTGTTCTTCACTGTGAATAAGTTAAGACAGACACACCCAAATGATTTTTTTTGGTAGGGGAGGGAATCTGAAGAACTAAGTCAAATACAAGGCGACACTAGGGGATAACTGAATACTTAAAAACCAACCTGTCTCTGAGTGTGGGTGACAAAAATTCAAGGGTTCTCTAGAACCTGAATGGGGGAAATATGCTACTCACTAAAATCAGTAACTATGCCAGAAATCTGAAACCCAGGAAATTACAGGTTCACTAGTTTAATCTGTCCCACATAAATTGGTGAACAACATTGTTAAGAGTTCACATGATTAAGAAATACAGAACTAAGGTTGCTAATTGAGAATACCTCTGACAACTACAAAAGACTTCTCTTACTACACCAAGCTTTTCAGAATGTTCTGAGTGTATCAAACTACTATTAGACTTTGGCAGACATTATATATTTGGACCTCCAAACAGTTGTTTTTTTAAGTTGCTCACAAAGGGCCCTGAGTAAACGACTATGTCGTAGGATATGAGGACAATTCCTCTTAGGAATCTAACTGGTTGAAGAGCTACAAGCAAAATTCAGGAATTTTCACAATACAGTGGTACCTCGGTTTAAGAACAGTCCTGTTTATGACCGATTCGGTTTACGAACTCTGCAAAACTGGTAGTAGTGTCCCAGTTTGAGAACTTTACCTTGGCCTAAGAATGGAATCCGAACGGTGGAAGGGCACCGGCGGCGGGAGGCTTCATTAAGGAAAGCGAGCCTCGGTTTAAGAGTTTGGTTTCAGTTTAAGAACAGACTTCCGGAACGGATTAAGTTCGTAAACTGAGGTATCACTGTAGAGGGAAATGGGGTTCCTTGTGCTATTTAGCCTCTTGAAAAGTGATTTGAAGACAGGATGGCCAAGTACGAAGATGACACCAAGGTATTATTGCTGCTGAAAACCCAGGTGGAGTTACTCCAATAGAATCTCTACAGAGTAGTTAAATAGGCAACAAAATAGCAAATCAGATTCAATATAAGTTAAGCGTAGAAAGATAAAGGGGGAGGTCAGGAGAAACATTAGTTTCATATACACAGGTGGAGTCTGAATTAGTAGTGACTAACCAGAAAATGATGACTGAAATAAATTGGCAAAGGAAAGAAATTAAGAATGAATGAAAATAAGTCTACTAGTATCCTAAATCCGTGGCGTGCTTGAATTTGAAATTTTGTGTTTTGGCCATCCAATTAAAATAAAAACTAATTATCTGAGTAAGAAAAGAAACAGAAGAGGGAACTCAACTGATTAATGATGTTGAAACAATTTCCCTATGAGGAAAAGCTAAAATGTTTGGCTTTCTTCGCTTAGGAAAAAGGTGAGTAACAAAATACATGACAAGACACGTATAACACCCTGAGCAGCACAGAGAAAGCAGACAGAAAAATATTACTTCCTCTTTCGTAATACTGGAATTTAAGGTCAGCCAATGAAATTCCATATGGTATATGAGGCTATGTCACTTGTGTACCCCTGTTATACCTAACAAGAGTGATAAGGGCATTGGGGAAGGGAAGCAATGAAATGTATGGCACACCTGGAAGTGAGGAAATAATTACTGGATTCTTGTTGTTAGTACAGGGAAACTTTGTATTTTATCACTGACTACATTTTTAAAATCTCATTACCACTCAATGCCCACCTTACAATCTTCTTCTTAACGTACATGTTAACTAAGATTGCACTTCATGCATCTGATGAAGTGGGCTTGAGTCCACAAAAGCTTGTGTCATACAATGTTTGTTAAAACATGCCAAAAGATGCTTTGACTGCTTTCATTTAACACGACCCTCTCTCTGGTATTTTACACAGTTGTAGAAAATGCATAGCCAATATAAGGATAGTAGGAGACACAACAAACGCCCTGAAAGGAACGTGGTAAAACAGCAAAAAGCAGGCATGCTTTCCACTGATAAAATTACTCACCATTGGGTCGAACTAGGAGCACAAGCTCCCCTGAGTGCCGCTCACAGCTAGCTTTAATAAACATAACAACTTGATCATGGGTATGTTCCGATATATCCCTGCCATTGATCAGTACAACCTGATCTCCTTCATTCAAACGAGGAACACAAACATCTGCCTGCAACATGAAACAAGTGTTTAATGCAGTGGATATTACAAATAGGGCTTGCTGTCTTATTTTTAAGTAATGAAGAACTCAGTATCAATATACTGTGGTGGTTCTGATCTGAAGATTTAATCACTAGGGTCTGAATATATATAAAAGAAAGAGTCAGACCTGATAAATAATTTATGAACCTTGGTTTAACCAGAATTCTGGCAGTGCAAGCATTTTGTCGTTGGTAAGATAAAGTTTAATTTTCCATTTTTTTATCCTATAAACAATTATTATCTCTGCGAATTAAAACATCTCATTTTTCAATTTAAACTAAGCTTTAAATATGCCAATATACACTTTTTGTGAAGCAGAGCACAACACACACAAACAGGATTTTTCAACCTCTACATTATATATTGTAGGAGAAAAGTGAAGGATAGGAAAATTATCTTTGATCAGATATATACTACAGCAAATCATGAATTCTTCTATATTAAAGCACTGGAGATTCTCTATTAGAGTCCTTTTCTAAGACCATTTATGACAGCGGCATGTTTTGAACATTGGATTGCTACATACAGCCAGGGGATAAGCAAAATGAATAAAAAGCACTCTGAAATAATATATCTAAGTAGACATCACTGCAAACTTTCTCTGACAACTTACAGGTGTTCCTGGAGCCACTCTGGACACTATGACAGGCATCTTCTGATCATATCCACCCTTTAAAGGAAAGGGCAATAATTAAAGAACGTACAGCTCAAGCTGTATTCAAAAATATATTAAAAGGGTAGGTCTTAATACCTTTACATTGAAACCAAATCTTCCATTTTCATCTGGTCTCATTCTGATCAGAACGAGATTGTCATGGGGAATCCCACCATTGGGCTGTAAATGAAAACATAGCGTTATTCTCTATACCTGAATTTCTTTAGACGCTACTGAAACCCCAAGCAATCCGTAATTCATCATCTATTGCATAGCTAGTTAATGTCTCTCATTAACAATGAGCACATAACTGTTTAAGACTGAAAGAAAAGAAAGGTGTTACAGCAAGTCGGGGAGGGGGGACAGACAGACTAGAAATTTATAGCTAATCCTAAAACACATTTACTTGAAAACCAGTATTCATATAAGAAGATATTTTCAAGTTTCAATTTCCATGAGACATTGTTGGAATTTTCTTCAAAGTTAATGGTTTTACTATTGACTTGTTTGATGCAAAAATGACCAAAGTACCAGTGGTGCATTCATTACCAGGAAGTGTGCTCCAAGTATCTACCATCTTGGTTTGCGTAAGTATAATGAAAGTTGCGTGGCTCACTGAAAGGGTATGTGGTGTGTGAAAATAAGGGAATTATATTGTGTACTATAAAGCTACAGTTTGGGAATATGATTTATGCAAATATTTTGAAAAGACATCTCATAACTATTATACTGCCTAAAGGTTTTTCAGATGGAAAATAAATAGATCAAATAAATAAATACCATTCCAAATTAATACATGCTATAAAACATCCCAGAGCTACAACTATGAAAATGTTACACAGGATTTGCTTTCCATTGTGTCTACACTTTTAGCTCTATTAGAAATAAGAGTTATATTAAAAGCGGTTTTTTGGACTCACGTTCCATTTCACCAAGAGCATGATGGACTGGGGTAGGGAACCTGAGGACCATTATTTATATGTTATTAATTCACTCTAGTTGAATCTACTTCCATCAGACCTACTGATACTGATTAATTTCCCCCCTCCCTCCAAGAAGAATATTGACTCAAACTAGACAAACAAATTTAAAGCAGCTTCTTACTGTAGATTTTTCAGGCGATGAAGAAGAATCATCATCATACGTTTCATTGATATGGTTATCCAATTCTTGCTGAGAAAGTGAATAATGAATTTGGTTCCAACTATTCTTTTTAGATTGTTTAGGTGGCAGTGCAGGTGGTTGCCCATCTACAGCGGTCTCTTGAGATCTACAAACAAAATGAAAAGAATTCTCATTAAAACTCCAAACTGCATGCTAAATAAAGAGAAACTATCACTAAAAAGACTTTGGAATTTTGGTGCGTTGGACATCATTGGCTTGCAACCTCAATTATGGTTCCCCGACTATATTTTTTTTTTTGTACTTCTGCAAAAGTTGGGGTTTTCCCAAGCCTGCTATTACTCTTTGACAGGAGAGTTGTCTTTTGGCAAGGTTCACATTTGAGAGAATGAATTTGCTATTAATATATAGGATCATTTCAAAAAGAATGTTATGCACCTCTCCCTTAAGTATTTAATTCACAAGGCCTCCAAATTAAATCCAAGATGACAAATTAAGGATGACAAAGGAGATCTCAATAATTTGTTGCTTTGATCTTCTTAAAAACATAGAGCAGTACTATGTAAGGGATTTCATTCTAAAATTTCAATTCTCCCACTTACTAGTTGGCACAAATTTTACAGATAAGAAAGGAGGAGATCCTCAATCAAGATGTGGAAGCAGGAAGCCCACTTTTATTGCATGTTTGAACACCTGATTTTTATTGCATGTTTGAACACCTGATGTTGCTTAAACCCATGTGCACTGGTCATTGACTTATTCAAGTGGATAATCAATTTACAGTACATGAATTTAATTGGGTACTTATCCATACTAGAAATTTCTACAGAACTTTTGCAAATGTGACAGATTTGATATATTATTACTTTGTTTTTTGAATAAAAATTAATAGTAACTGCAGCTGTCATTGAATCACTGTCAAACATTTCAAATCAGCATTAGTTCACCATTGGGACGTTGAAATCCACAAACATACAAAACTAAATGACTAATGATAAATGACTAATGGTTCTCATTCACGCAAAACAGGTCAGTGTTACCTAAGAAAGTCCTAGCTTCATCTGTGGTCTGTCCAACTCCTGATCAGTACCCACTTTTGTTATAACACAATGTGCATGACTAAAGTCAAAATAAAGTTATTTCTTTTTTAAAAATGCAATAAAGGAACTATGCATTTGTTTATAAACAGACTATGTGAAGTAATAAGCTACCATTGAAACTAGGTAAAGTAACACACTGGTTGTGAGTGTAACACACTGTAATGTGTTACCATAATGAATTGTGAGAACTAGGGATGAAGCTTTGGGCAAAACCTTGCCTGCTTTATATTTGCCCAGTCAGCTTTGAATTTCCTTATGAATGCTTAGACAATAGATGTGAAAGCAGACTATTTTGCAGTCAAAGCAGCCCTCTGTATTACTGCATCCAGCAATTTGCATAATCAAATAAAAAAGGAAAAACCCCTACTCTAATAAGCTCTGTTTGTGTTAAATATATCTAAACTGCTGTGTAAAATAACATAGTTTCATATTTGACAGAGAGAGAGAAAAAGGATTCTTAAAAACACATTTGGATTGCTTGCTATGCATGTGTTTTTTTTCCTACTGCCACTTTCATGAATAAAAAATTACAGACACTACACATACCTTTCAATTGACAAAAATCATTTGGAATGGCCACACAACTATTTGTACACATAGGGCATATGATTTTTAATGTGAACTAGGGCCGAATTAAACTCCCTTCCACTGGAGATGCCAGGAACTGAATGCAGGAACCTCTAACAAACTGACACTGGTTATGGCCAACTATATTGTCATGAGTCAGGATGGACAATAGTTATAAAAAATAATAAGTATTACTCACTGCATGTTTAACATGTATATAGTGTAAGGAACACAAGGTTTCATGTACATTACTGAGCTCCTTACAGCATGCCAGTTTAAGTCAGATTAGCATTATTCTTCCCATATTACCAATGGTGTAATATGTACTAATGGCAGCAGGTATGCGTGTGTTTGTTGCAGCTAAAAGAATTGCTTGCCTAAGGCCACCTGACAGCCTAGGTGAAATATGAACAAGCAACTCCCGATTTGTTGCCAAGTCTTTGTCAACATGTTGTTTATTTATATTATGCTTCTCTTAAAAATGCTACAATTGTGCTACATCAGTTTTCATTTGCAAAGCAATCACTAAAGAACGGGGCTGTCAACCTACTAAAAATTATTATTATTATTAATAAAAATAATTTATTTATACCCTGCCCTCCCCAGCCAGGACCGGGCTCAGGGCAGCTAACATCAAAACACACAATACATTAAAAACACAAAATGTAGATTATTTTTAGGTGTAGCCTTTAAAAACCTTTTTTTGTTGTTCTGGTATAAAATAAAGCATTATAAAAACTATGCTTACGGTGATGATTCCAGAATGATACTGTTGGCTTGGGTGGAAGAAGGAGATCGGTGATTTGCAAAAACCTCACTTGGTGAAGGATGAACCACATGGTCTACTAGATGCCCAACTGAAGATGGCCGTAAACGGTTTCCCTCTTGAGTAAATGCAGAGTTGCGACTAATCAGGAAAAGAACACTTTGTTCAATAATTCCAGGTATGCTTGTCAAGACGTAGATGCTTCTAAAACTTATCTATTCCTCTCATTTCTTGTGTTTTGGACACAGTACCCCTGGCAGGAACATTCCCCAAATGTTTAGAAGACATTATCACTGGCAGAAGGGAGATGAGGAAAGAGGTGATTTTTACCCATTCCCCCAGCAGTTGCTCCCCCCTCCCCATTTTGTCAGCATGACCCCCCACTAGAGGATCTAAAGCTTTCTGTAGACAGAAAAAATCCTTCCATTCCATAAAGGCCAGGCTTGGATCAAAGCCACTGCCTGTAATCCTAAATGCATGAATTAAACAGTTTCCTTTGATTTAGATGGAATATATTCCCATTAGTGTTTACTAGCAAAGCACCATAGAAATATATTACACCGATTATAGATTTCCATGGAAGAAAGAAAAAATATGCATCAACAAATAAGCCACCATCACAAATCCTGACTATTACCACTGTTGCTCCAACAAGTCAACTTTAGTGAGTAGTAGGTATAACTACAGTTTTTTAAAACTTTGTATATTTGTCTATTAAGAAGCTCACAAATATCAGCATAAAGGCTTCTAATAAAAATTCATTTGGTTAATCCAGTGCTAGTCCTATATAGAATAGACCTATTGAATTTCATGTATCCAAGTTAGTTATCATCAGTTTATTTCTATACCACTTTGTGGTCAAGGCCCCCAAAACACTGAACAGATTAGTACTAAAGAACACACAATAAAACTACAGCAAATACAAATACAAAAGTATAATAAAATAAACCAGGGAAAATTGAAATATGAAGTAACGCAGGCACACCATGAATCACACTTTCTACAGTCATGAGCTGCATTTGTGTCCTCCCCATAGACACAGCTGCCCTTCACAAACAACTGCTTACACAGTAGCTTCCTCCTTAGAAACAGCAACAGCCAAAGCAAAGTTCTTACAGTTGCTCTCCAGGGCAGGGCTAGCTGGCTCAGATTCCTGACTCCTCAACAGGCAGCAGTTCTCCAGGTGCAGGAACAGGAGCAAGGATAAAGTTGGCATTCACCTTCAAGCCACCAATGGTCCTATTATTGCTATCTGCTGCCTCTAAACCCACAGCAGCCTTCAAATAAATAGGCGTCTCCCTGGAAACAGCAACAGGGTGGGGCTACCTGGCTCAAACCTTCAGGTCAATTAACTTCAATGGGTCTACTCTGAGCAGGACTAGCATTGGATACAGCACCCTGCCTTCTCTTCCTGTAGGAACCCAGCAATCCAGATATAAATGGGAGGCAAAAGGCCAGTATACGTCAGGAAAAAAATGTTATTTCCTCTTTTGACACAACCTGACTTTCCACCTATGCGGAAAGGTCCCCACTGTTGCTTAGTTTTTTTATAAAAGAAGTCATATGTACACACACACAGCACTTAACTCAGAAACATGACTTCCCTCTAATTTGGGTCACATTAGATTTCCTACACACACATTCAAGTTGTAGAGAGCTAGAGGTTTCATTGCAACAGTAACAAAGGCTGATGTAAACCATAGTGTTGTGCTATGTAAATGGCTGGCCACACATCCCTCTCCTTCAGAACCGCCACAAGAAGGAGATATAGCAAGCATCCACCTCCCGATTTAAACAAGTAACAATTTGTATTACATCCGAAATGCAAATTACAGTGCATTTTATATACGGTTTATGAAATTAGCAAGGATCAGAAACAAAGCTTAAACTAACCGTAGTCTGTGATGTGGAAATGAATGTTTCCAATCCCTTCCTCATGGCAATGAGGAAGAAGGAGAGATAGGCATGCTAGTTCAAGCCTCACTCAGGCCATTCAATAGCCATAAACTATGGTTTAGAACCAGGCCTGTTTTTCTGATGCAATGAAAATAGTGTCTGGGTGAAGGTAGAACCAGTGCAGGGCTCAATCTCGGAGCACATCCTGAAATTCATAACTGCTTTTTCTTCAATATAATTTAATTTAAGGTTTGTTTGTTTTTCTTTATATGTGATTATTATAACATACACTTTGGTCAATCTGCCTCTGTGTTGCCTCACAATTTCTTTTTAAATGCTTAGTATGGAAATAACTATGGTTCAACACACATCCCTCCCAAAAAAAAGGATCTCAAGTACTTTCCCTTCCTTAATAAAATAAAAATAAGAGGTAACTAGTGGCTCAGGGACTATTCAATTTTACTTACTGATTAGGGGTTCCAGGTGGAGAGCGGGATGGTAAACTTTGAGTTTCTAACCTGTCATCAGACACTGAATTCCTGCTGACAACCTCCCAGTCCATCCCGCTTATCAATCTGCGAGCCAGAGGTTTACTTGGGGATCTAAAACAATACAAAAATTACCAATATGCATCTGGAAGTTCTCTGAAGAAATTAATTGGGAATTGAAGTGAACAAGAAAATAGCATTAGCTTTCCCCTATACAGGGGCCGATACACTGACTTGTTATTTAAATATTTCTTCCAAATAGTGCAAGGGGTTTCAGAGCACCTAAAGAAACGTGATGCAGAACACTAAATTCATGCATATAAACAACCAAATCATAGCTTGTGCTGTGGCAAAGTCTTTCTCACTACAATACTGATTCACTATGAATTCAGATATGCCACTTTATTTATCATTGCTATTCGATTTATATAGCTGCCCATCAATGAACATTTGGTAGGCAAAAAATTAAAAACACAGTGTACAATAACAATTAAAGCCAACAACAATTAATAAAAGGCAGCAAAAAAACATCCATGCACTGAAGCAGTGTAAGATTGTTTTAAATTTTGGGCTGTAAATTCAGCTGAAAAGCTTAGATAATTAAAAGATCTTCACTTGACACTGGAAAAAGACCATAAAGGAAGTAGACAAACCTTTCCGGAAAGGCTATTCTATAACCAGTTCACTACCAATAAGGCCCTTTCTTTGGTAGCCACCTGCCCCACTTCACTTCACAGACACTTGGAGCAGGGCCCGCAAGGAGAGGTTCCAGTAGGAAAACATCTCTCTCTCTCTCTCTCTCTCTCTCTCTCTCTCTCTCTCTCTCTCTCTCTCTCCCTCTCTCTCCCCTCTCTCTCTCTCTCTCTCTCTCTCTCTCTCTCTGTGTGTGTGTGTGTGTGTGTAGGAGAAGTGTTTGTGGAAGTGGTATTACAGTGAAACACAGGCAAGCAGAAAAGTATTGCCCTCTTTCCCGGCTGCATTTTTTTGCTTTTCCTCAAAAACGGCGATCAGATTTTGTCACACACAACTACTATGTTTTATGCAATTATGTGTACTAGTCCATAGTTTCTGACGTTAAACTAAACAGCTGCATTAAAGTACTTTTCTTATCAAAAGAGAAACACAACCAGGCTAATGAAACAAACAACCATCTCTACAGCAAACCGTGTGAGAGACGAGAGAGAGAGAGAGAGAGAGAGAGAGGTACATCTATATGAAATTTAAATAGGCAAGACTTCTCTGTGACTTGGCCAGATGATTTCTAGATTAAAATGAACAAAATAATTTGCAAATATAACATGATTCTAACTGCAAGATGCAATACACTTTTCACAGGCTTTTAAAGAAAAGATATTGGGAACAGAATTAAAAAGGTGTATGATAGACAACTTTAGCAAATACTTTGCCAACTATATCTATTGTAGTCTAGGAAAGAATTAATCCTGTAAGGATTAATAAGACTTTATAAGAATGCAAACATCCAAATGCTGATGGCTTTAGACGTGTTGCATTTAAAAGGGATTTCTGTAGGTTGAATGAGCTTGAATTCTCTTTCTAGGAACATTGCAACTCCTAGAAACACTCACCTTAATTACCAAGTGAAAAGTTGTATTTGTAGTAGTGCCCCTCAGCAGCCAACACAGCAGAAACATTTAACTGTCAAACTGTATTTTGAACATTTGATTATTAACTGTTTTAACCTTGGAGACCCACCCACTTACGCATGTTACCTAAGCTTCCTGTTCTTTGTGGCAATTCAAAGAAACGTTCACCACATTGCAGCAATACACTTCCCAGGGCTTCCTCTTCTAATAAGTGCCCAAGTCAAAAAAATACTAACTGCTTCATTTCTATGGTTTACTTTTAGGTAACTCAAAACATTGCAGAGATTTTAATTTCAATTCCATCTCACATTAACTGGGTTATGGGAAATTATCTAACAAGTACAGGGGGCAAAATAAATTTCCAAACAACTCGGGACACCAGTCTTGGCTTTGAAATTTCAACTGTATTTTAGAGGATTAATAGATTTAAGATAGAGATGCACTATTAGTGAAGAGGTACACTCAACTAAGAGGTAGCTTTGCTCACCAAGGGTTAAGGTGTGCTAAAAACATACTTCTCATGTGTCAGGTGGTGGTGTGGTTGCTCGAGAGCAAACAGGCAAGACTCCAACCTGTCTTTTCCAGGCTTTATTATTAGGGCAAACTATTTACAGTGAAGAGCGTCGCAAGTTCATGTCCGGCTCAGTCGCTAGCAGAATCTGGGAGTGGGCGGTCCTTGTACCTCCTCCAGCATAACAGTCACGTGACCCCCAGCCTTCTCCTCCCTTCCTTGCGCCGAAACCTACTGCGCAGACTGGGCGCTGGCAAAGGGGTGCTTCCCTCCTCTCCGGCTTGCTCAGCCTCGGCGTTGAGGCTCTCCCTAGCATCCCCTGGTCCCACCACCTCCTCTCCACTGGAGGTGGGGCTTTCCTCCTCACCAGAGGAGGAGCTGCTTCGCAAGATCTTCGGAGGTTCCCTATAACACAACTGCCCTTCCCCCTCTCGCCTCTGACCTGATGGCAGTTCCCTGACATCCTGTATCAAAAGCCAGGGTGAAGAGGTGTGTCTTCAGAATGTACCTAAGGTTGTATATTGATGTTGCAAGACACATCTCTGTGGGCAGCTTCTACTACAAAGAATGCTCCCTCCTGGGACATCACCACCACCTGAGCTTCTGAGGGCTGTGGAACTACCAAGAGGCTCTCTTCTGCTGCTCTTAGCACCCAAGAGGGACTGTAGGGAAGGAGATGGTCTTTCAGGTATTTAGGAATTTAATCACTAATGTGAGCACCTTTGGGCCCAGAAATTAATTGGCAACCAATGCAGTTATTCTAAAACAGGGGTTATGTGAGATGTAAATGGAACCACAGCTCGTAATCTAGCCATTGCATTTTGTACCAATGGAAATTTCTGCGTTGTCTTCAAGGACACCCCCACATAAAGCACACTGCAATAATCCAATCTGGAAGTTACCCGAGCATTGAGTATGGTGGTGAAGTCATTTCTGCCTTTTAGCTGGTGGACCAGCTGAAGCTACAAAATGGCACTCCTGGCCACCTGAGCCTCCACTGACAGTGCTGAATCCAGGAGCACTCACAAACTGCAGGCCTGCTCCTTCCATGGGAGTACAACCTGTTCCAGAATATGGCATCTCCCTAATTTCTAGATGTGAGAACTTGGGATACACAACACTTTTATCTCTTCAGGATTCAGTTTATTCTCCTTTATTCCTTTTTTTTTTTTTTTTGCCCCATTCAGTCCAATACCTCCAAGCACCAGTCTAACATTTGCTTAAGCCAGTGTTTCCCAACCTTGTGCCTCCAGCTGTTTTTGGCCTACAATTCCATCATCCCTTGCCACTGGTCTTGCTAGTCAGGGATGATGGGAGTTGTAGGCCAAAAACATCTGGAGGCACAAGGTTGGGAAACACTGGCTTAAGCACCAAAAAGTTGCAAAGGTACAAACAGCAGAATGCTTGAAAACTGAAGAAGCAAGTTCATGCTGTCATTCTGTTTACCATCCTAAACACTTTTAAGGAGTTAAATAATTTTTCCCTTTGAACTGTTGATTAAGCATGCTTTAGATGCATCCAAAGTTTGTGTGAAGATGACATTTAATAGTGCCTGCAGTTCACAGACTGGTGCTTGAGTGAAATGGGCCTTTGTTGCCATATCAGTTCCATTTTGTCCCTCAGCTTCTTTTTTGTCTGTTTACAGTTGCTAAGCAGGCAAGGTCTGTCAAACAAAATGAAAACAATCTAACCCAAACTAGCCTCCATCCTCCACAGAAATGGAAAAGTATAATAATATTACTAATAATAGTAATTTATATGCTGCCCATCTGACTGGGTTGCCCCAGCCACTCTGGGCAGCTCCCAACAAAAAATAACCATTAAATGCCCTGGGTTATGAGCTGCTTGGACATGCAAAAGTCAATTTCCCTTGCATCCTAATGAAACCTAATGCAATCAAGGCAACACCTTGCCACCCCCTGAGCCTTGAGTGCTTTTGTGATCTTCTACCTAGTACCAAAACACAGCATAAAGCACCTATTGCCCCCTTTTCAGGAAGTAGCCTTGACATCTCTAGTCCTTTTCTCCTTCTGGGAAACTTATTTCAGCAGACACCCAGGTTTTCTGTTTTCCAATCTTGTAGGCAGACACTATGCTCAACTTCAATTCAATTCAATTCAATTATTCATTTGCTGCCCATCTGACTCTGGGCAGCTCCGAACAAAATATTAAAAACACAATAAAACATAAAACTTTCCCAATACGGGGCTGCCTTCAGATGTCTTCTAAAAATCAAATAGTTGTTTATTTCCTTGACATTGGATAGGAGAGAATTCCACAAGGCGGTCACCACTACTAAGAAGGTCCTCTGCCTGGTTCCCTGTAACGTCAGTTTTCGAAGTAAGGGAACCAGCAGAAGACCCTCGGAGCTAGATCTCAGTGTCCAGACTAAATGGTGGAGGTGGAGACGCTCCTTCAGGTATACAGAGCCAAAGCAGTTGAGGGCTTTAAAGAGCAACAGAAACACTTAATGTGCTCGGAAGCCTACAGGGAACCAATGTAGATCTTTTTGGAAGCTCCCAATCTGCTGACTGTTTCCATACCTTTGCATTCTGCCCAGAGACGTTGTTTGGGAAAACCCACTTTCCCCAACTCTTGGATTTATCCTGCTGAGGATCCATTTCACCCTTCCTTCCCCCTTGCATCTCTCTCAAACTGAAGGACAAACTCTCATTCTTTTATTTGCTCTCTACTACCCCTTCACTCTCTCAATGCTCTGCCTCGGCCTGTTGTTGCTCCCTGTTGTAGCTGGACCAAAGACTCCAAAGTTATCCACTCTTGTTTCTATTGAACTGAAAATCATGTTAGTTCTATGGAACTAACCATGGCCTGTCCTTCGGCTAGAACAATACTAGTGGCCACAGAGACATGAAATCCCCCTAGCACAAGACTAAATTTCCCATTCATCTGCTGTTCTCAAGGAGCTGACTCCACCAAACACAGAAAATAGGTTCAGATGTGTGTAGAGACATGTGTTTACAGTTCCACTGTGTGATCCAGAAACCTAGCTGATCAGATTTTCAGACCATTCACTGTAACAGATTCAGTATACCGATGAATGCACAGACACCAAGGAAGGCCTATTACAACAAGCATAGCCTGTCTTCACACTTTACATATTCAAAGTATGCATAAAAAGGGGAATTTGCATTAAGGTAATATGTATTATGATGATACAATATGAAAACATATTAATGTATTTCACTTTGGTACAGAATTAATTTGCAGTATGTTGCACCATACATTAAAATCTGCACAGTAATTTCTGCACAAAGCTATTGTAATTTGTTGATTTTGAGGGAAGAAGAGAATTCAAAACAGGTAAAATAAGCTACTGTAACAATCCACAGACAATAGTACAGGATGCAAATAACTTGAAATTGCTTACCTGGCAAATACCCTGTCCTTATTTGCCTTTTCTTTACCATACTGTACAGACTGGACTTCTGTTCTTCCCACTGAAATAAAATTTTGAGATTGTCAAGAAAATAGTGGTGAAAGTGTGGGGAAAAATATTTTGCCTAAATATGAGCACACCGGTGCATCCAAGTCCAACAGTAAAATTACTAGACTAACAGTGAATGCATGTTAGACCTGATGAAACCAGGGGCTTTCCGTATTCTAGGATACTTTTACTAATTGCTAAGCAATTCTTACCTGAACTGACACTATTATCAGATACTGAAGGATACTACATTGGCCACAAAATTTCTCCAAGTCTTTAAAATGTCAAATAGTAATACATTGTAATCAGGGAGATTTTCTGTCTGTTGAATACATAAAGATGAGAAAAACTGTGCTTGATTAGGCCAAAGTTCCATCTAGTCCAGCACCCTGTTTTAACAGCAGCAATTAGTTGTACTAGTGCTTCCTGCTCTTGGGATTACCAGCAACTAATATTCAAAGGCAGAACACTGCCATCCTGGCTAGTTGTCATGAGCTTTGAGCTCATGCAGTCCTGTCCCCCCATCACCTTGAGGCTTTTGCATCTGCTTCAGACTAATTACAACTTGTTACAACATCCAAACCCAGGGGAAAAAATTGCATTTAGTCTTAATGCAAACAAGCCAAATTCAAAGCAGAATTTTGGAAGCTGACTTGCTTTCACTAATCCTAGTAAGATTAGCCACGGTTTCGGGCTGAGATGTATTCTTATACTGTGGTTAATTTAAAATGGAGGTGGAAGCTTCTGCTCTCCTCTTCAGTGCTGTGCCAAAGGAAAGCAGGGAACCTGCAAGAATAGCATTATAGAAGATGCTGCGGTTTTCTCTAGTCCTTTTCTTGTTTCTTCACAATCATGCCCTGTGTTCCTTTATTTTATTTTCCTCAGTTTCACTTTTCTCTCACTGTGCACCAGGAAATTGGTTTGACTGTCCTTTATAAAAGGAAAGGTGTGCCATCTGGGACCCTTTCTACATGTTCGCCTCAATCTGTATGGAGTTGGTGCATTTCTATATCTGCCCCCAAATATTAGTAGAACTTAGCATTTTAAGCCTTTAAAAAAAATTATGGGAGGCAGGGATATACTTCAAACAACAGTTTTATAGTGAAAAACACACATTTTCAAAATAAAATTGGCACAGTGCAGTGTAAAGAAAGCTAACTTAACCAGACGCCTATGCAGGCTGTAGAGCAACATAAAAATCTGGAGTATTAAAATATTTTAAAATCAACAGGCGTTTCATCTGATCTATCAGTAAGTTATTCTTTAGCAATATGCTGATATCCCTCCCTCTTTTTACATATGGCCCAAACTTACCAGTACCGGTACTTTGAACCCAAAGTAAAGTAGTGTGCAAAAAAGTTCTTCTGAGGGGGCAGTGGTCTGTCTAGCCGGAAAAAAGTGTGGTGTTCTACACAAGCTTTCCATAAATTTTTACACGCTCGATAATTCACCATGTTGAATCCTAGTAACGTTTCTCTAGATTCATGCTGGGACAAAAAGATTTAAATTTAATAAAATTAGCCTTGCATTCTGAAATGTAGTTGAGGCTACAGTTCTTATGAAACGGTTCTCTTTCAAAAAACACACACAAATATTCCAGGAAAAAGGACCTTCTAGTTTTCTAGGGAACACTGTCATTAGGGATCTATTCCTTCTCTCTCCTGGCTGATAAATCAACTCCCAGTCATTAAAAAACAAGAACTCATGACAATATTCTTAACCATGGTGGTTCTCAAACCCTGTGCCTTAAATAAAGCCTTTTCATATTGGTTTATTTGCTATAGAACACCTGCATGTCTGTCATAAAAATCCTGTGTCCAAGGACACATACTCAGTTCATATATGACACTGACCAAATCTGTTGAATTTACCTTCTTCCTTAAGCTACTCATTACAGGAGATCAGTAGTGTTAGGAAATCCACATTTGAGAGAAATATGTCCACTATTGCTGATATTCGGCTTCCAAGTGAACAAAAGGGTTTCCCACCAGTTTGACAAAACCTATAATATGCAATCAGGATATGCCAGGCTCCTTCATTGCCCTTTCTCTTTATAAAACCTTGTTTATCCCCATCTTTGCCTTTCTTCTCTTGCAATTTCTTATACTCCACACCTTGTCTCAACTTTCCCTCCAAAAACCTGGATTGCATTCCTCAGTGTCCCATGCTCCACATTCAAGAGTTCTCCCATCTATTCTGGCATTTTTCTATATAAAATTAGCTTGTTTTATTATCTGGGTAGTCACACAGTGTGTGCATCTTCTCCCTAACATTTCCATCCGTCTGTATCTTGTGATTAACTTACGGCATGACAAAATGTGTACAGTTGCAATGAGATTATGATGCTCTACACTACAGTTTTTCAATCTTTATAGCAGTCCTGCCAAACTTCGCTCCAGCCCTTTCACACTGACTCTGTGGTAAGTGGATTGCAAGGCAGAAAGCAGCAGCACAGTCTATGTTTCTTAAGGAATCAATACTCTCTGTGCTTCAATCTCACCCCCAGGGCTAAGGCAGGATTGGCTGATGCACACTAACCCAGAATATTCTACCTGCTCAGCTCCAGAAAAGTAAATAAAGCTGAATTTAGACATTGGCTAGTGCTCTTTGTGCTTGCTAACTCTCTTACATCATGCAGTTTATTCTTTCATGGTTGCACCTTATTTGCCAAGGGCAACTTGTTAAGCCACTCACTGAAGGGGTGGGAAGCTGTTTTACTTGACTGGCAGCTAAGAACCAGAGTTTTGCCTTTCTCATAGCAAAGAATGATGGTAGGAACCTGTTTGTTATTGGCATCTGAATCGCACTTGCAAATCGATGGAGGTGAGCAGACAAGCAACTCATCCCTGCTTAATGCAGCTTTCCCCCTTTCCCTTCCCACCAGATGCAGACACAGACAAAGACACGTGAGGATCTGTGCTCATGCAACCCTATATTAAGAACTTTTAAGAAAGAGAATTTGCACCTCCCATTTTCAGTCTGCAAAAGTGACTATCAGTCAGACTACAACTCTAACTTTAAAATATCTAATATACTATTTCATAAAATAGGGACCATTTAAACTGTAGTATCTGCCACTAGATAATTCTATAATGAACAACACACTACTGAAGTAGTGTTATCATGTATGAAGCTCCAAAGACGTAACTTGCATGAAACCATCTCTGTCAACAGTGAAGCACTTTGCAACTTCAGATAAAAATGTTAATATCAGTACTCACCAATTCTTTTCTAAGCTGAATAAAAAACTGCTTGCACTTAAAAGAAATTTTAACAATCTTCAACCTAAGTGAAATAAAAAATCAAAATGATGTAATATTTCTTTAAAATGCACAAAAGGTAATTACCAAAAGGGATCTGGACAGGTTATGACAAACATATTTGTTGCCCAATGCCACTATGATCCATGGGAGAGGGTAAAGATCAGTTCTGCTCATGATGAAGTTCCCCAAAACAGCCACCAGAAAGGCAAAACAATCAGAAAGTGATATTCCTTGAACATCAATGATCCCAATATATGATTGCTACAATTTATGAAGTGAATGAAGTGGAGGGAGGTTCAAACTCACTAGAGCCTGGTTGGGGAGGAATGGGTAATTGATCTCAGCAAATGGCCAAAGGATATTTCCCTTATCCTTTGTAAAACATAACAACCTTAGCTTTTGAGTATTTGTTTCATAAAAATCGAATAAAATGCTGCAAAACTAGCTCCTGTCTGGCTTTTATCAGAATGAGGGTGATTTCAGCCATGCAAGCAAGAGTAATATTCTTTCTCCTCCAGCACATGATTTGCATATGATAAGATCACATACAAGAATCCTCGAGTATCAGAATGCAACTTCTGGAAGAGGTTCAAGGAATTGATTAAGCACTGCCAGTACTGAAATGCACCTGTAAGACAATTGGCACTTTCCACATACAGTTAGGAGAGTTGTCTGTAAGCAAGATGACAATATTGGTTGTTACTGCTGCGACATTACTTTTAACATATTTATTGTGCTGTTGCTGTCAAGGAAGGATAAGATACTGATGAGCATGGATGATGAAAGTGGTGTGGCTGCAATCAAGCAGGCATGATTATAGAATCAAGTTGTTCAATTAAAGCAAGTCTCTGTGTAGTATGCATTCCTTATTTTAAGCACATTTGCTGTGCTATTAATGAATGACAACACATCAAAGTATCAAATTATTGTTGGGATCCAGAGTTGTTCTTACTACATGTGTGGCCAACAAGACAGCTTAGGTAGCATCACACCTATCCAAATATTGACTCCCTTGTAAGATTGTATCACTTCCCAGGGACATCAAATAAAATAAGTAGGCCAAACCAATCCACCCTGAAGGACTGTTCTAACCTCCCAAGGAGAAGCTATATTCCCACACTGTTCTGTGAATAACCAAGTTATGAAAATATTTAGTATGATTTGTTTCAATCACAGAATCAGCTGGAAGTGTTGGAACCATGCGGGACATCTTGTCCAACCCCCTGCAATGCAGGAATCTTTTGTCCAACATGGAGCTCAAACCCACAACTCTGGGATTAAGAGTCTCAGGTTCTACTAACTGAGCTATCCTCCACACTGCCTAGGGTTGCCATACATCCGGACATACCCAGAATACTGCTATCGAAAGCAGTGTTTTGGGTTGAAATAATCGAGACGCACAGCAATGCATGCTGGCAGTGTTGTTTTGGGCGATTTTACTTAAAAAAAGAAGAAAGAAAGCTCAACAACTTTTGTCCAACCCTAACACTGCCCTGAAATATTATCTGAAAGGTTAGGAGAAAACCTAAAGCACATGTGGGGGAGGGGGAACGGGAAGGAGGAGAGAGAGGCACATTCTCTTATGCTTGCTGGAGATATCCCACAAAAATTCTAAGCTGAGGTGAAAATTGAAGCATTTATTACTTTGAATCACATTTTTCTCTGGCTCCATCCTCTATTTGCTCTAGCTCCACTCACTGCCAGTAAGCAGCCCCCAATAATTACCCGTGTGAGAATGTGGTCCTCAATAGAAAAAGGTTGCCCACCCCCATCCTAAATGCTGCTGCTTCTCTTTCTTTTCAAATCTTCCCCCAAATTCCGCTTTTCTGTGAACCTTTGGCTCAACAAACCACTTAGGCCTTGAAAACCAACTTAAGTATGCGCAACTGCTCTGACTGCATAGGTCTTCTCCTTATCAAATTCTAGATTGTAATCTCCTTGGTACCTGGGCTCTGCTTTTTGTCACACTGTAAAAGTATCAGTGCTGCTAAATAAACACTGTTCATGATAAACCTCACCCCATTCGAATTATTTCATCAGCAAAACATATGCATTCTTAAATAGGATTCCATGCATGGGTGTAACTGTAACTTTGTATGCTAATGAGAACTTCAGACAAGTGCTTCCCAGCCTCTGTTGGTTGAGCAAGTAAGTTTCTGCAGGGAATACATGTTACTTTCCCCCTAACTAAAAAAATATGAGTTTGTGGCATGTAAGTAAGAAAGCACCATAAAATTAGATACATCACTGTGGCTCACACACAAGACATTCTCAGTCTAATATTCAAATGCCATAGTTAAAATCAATTAAAGAAGACAAAGTTTTGCAAGATTCAGGGCTTTTGAAATAAGACTGCATGGTAAACAGTGTTCTTTCACCTGTGAAAGTTGGCCTCTGGAGTGGGATACATAAATGTAAAAACCAGACCCTGAGCATTTACTGGTTCCTAATTCTTTTCTGTTCAGTACTTAGGAGCCTGTTGTTTTATTATATTTTTATTGAACTTTAATGTACTTGATCTTACATTGTGACTGTCTTGATGCCGGTGTGAAAGACGGTATGTAGACTTTGCAATTTATGATGAAGTTATTCAGATTTAAGAAAGTGTGTGACAAACAAAATGTTTCCCTTAAACACATCCTTACCATGGAAAGGTGTTAATTCGTACCCTGTTCTTATAAATTATTATTCCTCCCGACATTACTCCAATCATAATTTCATTGTTACTTTGATCCTATAAAAAAGAACAGGGGGAAAAATGAATGCTTATGTGTCTTCTGTTCTCTCATATCGCCGTCTTGCAGATCTTATTGCCCAAAACATGCAAGATGAAGTTCTAGAATATTTACAGGAAGGAAACATTGTTTCCTCAACAATCACTTCCTGTCTCTTTACTTTGCTTCACCTTGCATCCTGATCCTTCCATCAACATCCCTGAGGCCCTCCCACAATCCCTCCTCAGTACAGAAACTCTACTATACAACAGAGCAACAAAGGGAGACTAGACAGACTAGAGCAACGGCTGGAATGGATGAGAAGTAATTGTTAATCAAAAGGGGTGTAGCAGACACCCATGTGAAGATTTCTCATGACCCTATTTCAGTACCCCAACCTTGACGAGCAATCTTATGCAACAAAGCAACTTGAATTAAGAACCTCAGCACTCTGTGGGTGGTTGAGGAACAAGAACTAATGGCAACAGAGGTGTGGAGTCTCAGGGACAGAGAAAGAAGGGCTGAGTAAAATGAGACATGGGCTCTGCTGTGACAGGCTAGCTCCATGAGGCCTCCTCGCCCTTCAGCTGTCCCCTGCAGGCAGCCATTCCATCAGACTGCCTCAGTGGGAGAGACAGGAAGCGGAAGGCTCATTCCATTCACTCTGCTGAGGTCCAGCAACATCAGGCACCTTCTGCACCTGAATTGTGCCAGCTGGTTAGTATAGGAAGAACTGTTTAGAAACTAGTGCCTAAATTTTGCTTTTGGTTTTCGTCTTCCCTGCCTGTCCCTTTCCCCTATACAGATTGTATGCCCAGGGACTGACTTGTTTTGACTGTATGTAAGCAGCTCTGAACAGCAGGGTACAAATGCTTGAAATACATTTTTAAATAAAAAAAACTTAGAAGGGAAGGGAAATGGGTCCAATTAATTAGGGCTAAGACGGCTGGATGGTGCCTTGTACGCCACTTTCTGGCAGGTCTTGCAGCCAAGCTGGTGCCTTTTGTATTGCTCTGCTTTTCCTTTGGACCACATCAGCGAGGCCAAGAGTCTTGTCGTCTGGGCAGCCCAGGACCTCCATAGACACTGCCCAGGCTTGCACCCCAGAGAGCTCACTTCAGTGCTGCTAACACAGCAAAAAGAACATGGAAGGCAGCATTTATGAGTTACTGGTCTCTGCAGCCATAGCAGGTGCTGTGATGCTCCAGTGGTTTGACTTCACCCCGGGAGCCACACCTCAAGACATACAGATACCACCACCACCATCAACAACAACAACATTAAATAGAGAACTATCTATTATTTTCAAAGTAACGTTATGGAAATCAGATTTACTTTAATTTTGTTGAATATTATGATACATTTAAAAAATTAATTTCTAAGAAGAGAACTATTGACCATTCAGACAATGCTATGTTTTGTTTTGGGTTTATTTGCATGATTAATACTAATCAATTGACGCTTACCCTTGCATAGTGCAATTCAACTCCATAGAGTTCTAAGGTCCGGGCTGTGCTGAGATAACTAAATTCTGCTTCAGCAGGAGACAGACCTCTGTAATGACAAAATAAGAACATAAAATAGCTTAAAATATATTTAAGGTAACCTGAGGGTTCTTATTTAAAAACTATTTTTACTGGAGCCCAAAGAGCAAGAGGGAGTTACATCGGCTTTAGGGCAATTAGCATTTTAACTGCCCCTGCTTCCTTGCCTGGTTTTTCTCTCACTAAAGAGGAGCAGTCACACCACACCTCCAAGCATATAGTTTTAATATTCAAAATACAATTATGATTGTAAAAGTGTATTTTCAGATGCATGTACCAGAAGCATGCATTCATTTTAGTCTAAAACCTAAACAGTATTAGTGATCTTTCACCACTAGTTCTCTCTGTAGCAGTTACCTGATCTTAAATGAGTTATTTCTCCACAAAAGTATTGGATGAGACACACATGCAGTAACCTGGGGTTATAATGTAAGGAGCTACTTTTAATTAACACACACAGAAGCAGCTCAGGGTGGATTAAATTAGTTATGCAGTTCTTCAGACTGCAACCTTATTTTTTCTTTCTTTTACGCTTACATATGCTGCTGATGTAGTTTGGACACTTCTTTTTCAAACTCTTGAGGCTGGCCGGGGATAAAGGAATAGTCTGAGAGGTAGCCTGGGAAGTTCTCTGAAAGGTTGTAGTCTCCCAGTTCAGCTGAAAGTTAAGAGATACATTTAGCAACAGCCCCATTTCAGCACCCTGCAATCCATGCAGTGTAAGAAAGGGTAAAAAAAAATTAATCCACCAGCCTTTAACTACATATGAAACAAGTTCAGTCTAAAACTGTACAAAAGCACCTAATGTTGTTTGTATGAACTGAAAGCACTCTAGTTTCAAAATTAGAAAACTAAATAGTTACACAAGATTGACTACAAGAAACATAACAACTAGGGGCTGCTGACCCTGCTTGCTTTACTCTTCAACCCCACCTACCACCTCCTCTCACCAAAGCCACCTTCTCCCCAAAACCACACACATCCTTACTCCATACCACTACCCCCCTTATAGTTTGCCAAACCTCTCTACCCCCATCTTCCCCTTAGACTGGGATGAAGAAGCTTTTCTAGCCCTAAGGCCAGATCTTTGGCCTGCCAGGGAAGATAAAAGTTGTCAGGTAGGCTCCTATTGGCGGTCACACAAACTGCAGTGTGATTACACCTGTACCATTTTATTATATACGGATAATTTTGTTGATGTGATTTACTTCTGGAAAGGGAATTTTATTTTTGTACTGGTGATATATTTTTATGTGAAGCAATGCATTTTCTACAAAAATAAAAATAAAAATCAGGTTCTGTGACATAGCAGTATGCCAGATTTCTCAGCTGTTTTTCCAAAAACCCTTGCAAACTCTTGCTAAACTGTGGAAACAGTTACCACTTTAATGGTTGTACAGAGGCACTCAGGGCTGACAAAATACAAAATCTTATCAAAAACTGTTCAGAAGCAACAATATGCATCACTTCTTTAAAAAGGGGGTGGGGGCAAAGGCACCCTAACCTTACAATCCTATGGTCCCTGGGAGGGTGTAAGCTTGGATGCCTCCTCCCTGTCGCCACAGAAGCTTCCACAGTCCTTGCCCTGTTGACACTGGAGCTCCAACATGGGTAGGGTCAACAGGAAACACCTCAATCCCCCACCACACACCCCAAATCAGGGAGGAAGCTATGTCATCTCTGGAGCTGGCATGGTTAATTTTGCTCCCACTGTTCATGAGAATAGGAAAAAAGTTAAAGCAAGAAAAATAAAAAGGACAGAGGAGCAGAAATATGCTGCTGTGCCTTTACCTACACCCTGCCAGAGCAAGTCCAGCAGGTTGCTGGATGTGATGGAATAACCACTTTGAGCACTCTTTCCCTCTCCCCTTTAGAACTGCAGCTTTAGAGGTTGTTAAATTCCCATCTTAGCAATAATAGTTCACAAAGCATGTTAATTTGATAGTAATAAGCTAACATAACCAAGAGAAAAATGTTTTTCAAGGTATATACATTTATCGTAACTCTGTTTATTACTAATTTAGGTGGGAAATCCACTCAATCTTTACATTAACAGCCACACATATTTTGATGACAAATGCCATGATAAACTCTGCCAATGTATTTATCTTGTCATATGTTTTACATGTTAGGTATAAGAACAGTTTCATATTTTCAATGTACATTTCAGAGGTAATATTATGGCTGCAAACCTATACTACCTTAGCTGGGAATAAGCCTCAATGAACTCAGCAGGGCTTACTTCTAGGTAGATATGCATAGAATTGTACTGTACATGGGTAAGATACAAACTGTTTTTATACATTTATTGGCTTTACACAACACAGTCTATTCAAATATTTTTCCTGAAGGTTTAGTGTATCTTAACACAAAAGAAAAGTAACAACATCAGGAAAATTAGAAGCATAATGTAAGAACATATTTTTTTTATATTTTACTTACACTGAACAGCATAGGAAGCCAAGAGTGCAGCAGTATTATAAGGGCAGAGCAATCTATGAGGGAAAATAACCAACACACTTCAATACAGTAATCTTTAGAGCCAATTAGGTTTACCAATTTATTTGAATTACATAACAAAAAAACACTTAAGCATCAAATAGACAAGATTTCCCCTTTAAGGCAGGCAAATATGTAATAACACAACTAAAAACACACCAGCTGTTATTTTTACATATTTGCTTTAAAAAGGAAACCATGCTTCTAGATTAGTATCCAAAGAGATTTAAACACCTGGATACCAACCTAGAGGTATGCGATCACAAAAGCTTACATAAATGGCTGGCACTGTCAGCTTTGACTCCACTAATCACCTGTTTAAGATGGATGGGAGGCAGATCCAAATCTCATTTGGCATTGCATGCATAGTTCCTGATTCATTGATAAAATATTGCACGCACAACCCCTAGCACTGCAACCATACCTATAACACCTTTTTCTATAGGCTTTATTATAGGATTGCCAATTACCATGGGATGCATGTGGGATTTCAGCAGCCACATACATATTTTCATAACTTGATTGAGGCATTCGATCACACTATCTCCACCCTCTCCCTGAATTACTAAATAATTTTGCATAACTGTCTGCAAGGGTTCCCAAGTCTTCATGGCAAGCAAATCTTACCTTCCAGTAAGAATGTCTTGTTTAATTTGCAAAAAATATTGGTACCTTAAAGAAAAAGTAAACACAGTACAACAGGTTGACAAAGTTACTATTGTATTTTTAATTAACAAAATTAAGGTCACCTTTTGACTTCAGCATCTGCATTTCACCATATACCATTATTTCAGGCTAGCAAGACACAGAAATTAAACTGAGTTCAAAGTCATATAAACATAAGAAATCCAAATATTTTGGTGCTGCTGTAACACATGCAGTTTACATTAGAATTTATATAATCAATAAAAGGTTAGGATCCATTAATTGCACTCAGGTACATCTACATCATATTTTCATGCCTCAATTGACAAATGTTGTTCTGTGTGGTATTTTGAAAGCCAAACTAATGGGATAGGACGCATTTAAAAATTAATAGAAAACAATTTCTGATTGTTATCTCTTCATCCCTCCCTATTGCAACATTTGTTGCAAGTTCCATTTTGCCATCTCTAACCCATGCCAAAAGAATGTGATTAGCCACACTGGCATGCCTCCAACAATAATAATACCCATGAATACCAACAATCTATTGAAATGTACTTCCAAGCAAATAGGCCTTGTGAGATGAGTGTGTATTAATTCTGGCCCTTCCATCTCAGATGTCTTACCTGAAGTGACGGTTTGAAATTGGTTTAGAATTCTAATCTACCTTTAAAGTATTTCTAGTCACTAATAAAATCATGAATTTCCATGTAGCAAACATTTTGGTATGACACTGCAGTGTTTTTATCTTATGGGCCTTTACAGAGACTTCCTTCTACTTCCATAAGGGAAGCTAAATCAAGGGTTGTGGAATGACACACTTTATTGCAATTACCCACAAACACAGCCATGTTATTTTATTTCTCTTTCTCTGTGAATTGCTCTTAAGCGATGCATTTATAATGTACTTTTATATAGTAGTTTGTGCCCACCCCCTGCATAAACTTGTATGGATTAAGCATATCCTCGTTTCACACTTGGGATTCATAGGCATGGATCCAAAATGTTTCCTTCAGGAGTGCTTCTCAATAGTGAACAGGAGATGGCAGCAGATACATTAAGGCTGGATTTCAGGTCAGAAGTCCAAGGCTCACAGTCCAGGGGATCCCCAAATGACCTTTTAAACACTTTTTTTTTAAGTATAGGACAGCCAGGTGTGCTATGAAGTGAAACAAGCTCCAGCCATCTTTACATCCAGAGAGTGCCCCTCAGCCACAAGTGGGGTGAAAAGGCTTTCTCAATAAAGAAGGATGAAGAGCCTGAAGCAAGCCTTGCTTTTCAATGTGCCCTACTTTTCTTTTTTTGAATAATTTTTATTGGAATTTTATTTACAATGTGCCCTACTTTTCTTTGCCATTCAAACTTGCAAAGGATGACGCAAGTGGACTGAGCCTGGTAAGGCAGAGATCCTATGAGTAAGTGGTTCCTAGGCCACAGGAATTCTGTTCACCTGTTCTGAACAGACACGGACACTCTCGAGAGGAGCAGGTACTTAATCTGAGGGTATTCTTGGGGTATTACAACTCCACTTGACCTTGGTGGAATGAAGCACCCACCACCAACTTCAATTGGTTCAGCAACTACACCCTGCCCACTGAGGTCAATGCACTGCAATGTGCTTTAGGTGAGGCGACCTTAGGAAGTTGTAGCTAGTACACAGCACAGGAGCTAGCATGATGAGTGGGGTATCTAGCTATAGATCTATTATACCTGTGTTGAAAGAACTGGACTGGCTGCCCATTAGCTACCAAGGCACATTCTAGGTTCTGTTAACATATAAAGCCCTGAACAACTTAGGAGCAAGGTATGCAGCAGACTGTCTTCCCTGTATAGATTAACCACCACCAAAGGAAGCCCTGCACATTGCACCATGGCTAGTATCAACATGGTCTTTTCTGCAGTAGATGGGGAACCTTTGGCCTTCCAGATGCTGTTGGACTGCAACTCCCATCAGTCTTGACCTTCAGTCATGCTGGTTAAGGCTGATGGGAGCTGTAGTTCAGCAACATCTGGAGGACCAAAGTGCGAGAACACCCTCCTCCATGGAAGCCAAGGGGAGTCAACTGTGACACATTGATTATGCCTATTAAATACATTTGCTTGTCTGGACATTTACTTATTTTTTACATTGCACTGCTCAGTGTTATGTTTCTGGACTTCTATTGACACTATTATCTTCATTTTCATTTGTATTCTATTGATTTTTATGGTTTTTACTTTTAAACCACTTAGGTATAAGCAGTCTAAAAAATATTAAACAAACCAATAACAAATGATCAAGTCATGTTGAAGACTTCAGGTTTTGCTATGAAGCATGGAAGTCTTTGGAACTTGATCCAAACCAGCCAAGGCTCTCTAGTGCTGCTAGTAACTCTCCCTGGGTCTCTTTTGGCCTCTGCCTCTAGTTGTGGCACTCATCAGCCCCTTGCTCCTTATCTTTCTCCCACTGCTTCGTATTGCATGCACAACACTTTCTCCTCTGTCCTAGCCAGGCTGCTCTCTTCTTTTCTTCTTCCATCTGACATATGGATGAGGGTAGCTTGGTGGGCGTGCATGACAAATAGCTCAACTGATAGTTAAAGAGCAGATTCTCAGAGCCAAAGCTCAGTCCAGGAGTATTAAGTTAGGAAGCCCTACCCTGGCACCCCTACTGATTCATTTCAGGGTTTGGCAGATGGAACAATCCACCCCCTCTTTATTCTATCTCTGTATGTCTGCGTGTGCACACACACATGTGCTGAAAAGCAGAAAAGAGGGGAGCAGGAAATTTGCAAAGTATTTTTTTCCAGCAGTTTTCTGGCAGAGGTGAATGGCAGTGCAGCATTAGGCTGGCCAGATCAAAGTTTCCAGCAACAGTTCTGAGTGATTTTCCAAGGGACAGAGATGACAATCCTGTCAAAGGCCTGATCTTGCCATGGAATTGTGAGATGCAGCAGGCTATCAATAAGATCGTATCTAAGGGCATTCTCTGTTGCTGCAGGGCCTGGTTTGTTCTTTGGCATTCTGAGGAGTTTTGGGTGACAAACAAGTTTGACAATTACTAGAGCACAGGTTGCTGTGAGGACAAGCAAACATATACTAGAGTACATAATAGTACCAGTTGCATGGCAATGAGGAAAGTGAAGAGAGCTTTCTCCCCTCTGCCTTCTTTCCAAGTAGCAATCCACCAGAGTTAAAGCATCTTAAAGCACTTGACAAAAGTGCCCTTTGAAGCAACTTCCACTCCATCCTTTAAAGAATGGAATGGATGTTGCTTCAAAGGGCACTTTGCAAATCTCCCCATGCTCCTCTTTTAAACCTCTGACATTGGGTTTGAAGGGGAAGCATGGGAAGACTTGCAAAGCGGCAGGAGGGATTTTGACAGGTGGGTGCCCCTATGTGGTGTGATTTCTAGCTACATTAAAATAGCACTCGAGTAACACATAAATCAGTCCTCCCAATCATTCTGCATTACTCAAACTCCCCAGGATGTAAATGAAAATAAACTGACAATTTAAAAAAAGTTATACCCAAATCCCCAACTTCTTGTTTCATGATGATGGAAGTTGAACTCGGGAAATTATATACCAATTTCATCAACTATATCAACATTGATTTGCAGAGTGATTTTTGTACTGCTAAAACCCAAACTGTATTCTTCAATACCGCTTCTCTATTTGCAGTGCTGTTATTTATAACTTAAAAATATTAGGGGTGCTTTTTAAAGTGTAGCATTACACTTTTGCAGGGACTTAATTTAGAGCTGCTCTGTATGTAGACTGTTTGGTTGTAGTCATAGGCTGAAAGACGCTGCTGCCTGGGAGATATTTTTGTGGGGCAAGGGGAGGATAGGGTCAGATGAAGTGAATGCAGCTCTGTGTGTGTTCAAATACAAAAGGAGCTTAATTAGTTGTTGCCTGAACTTCACTTACAACGTAGATTGCAAACCACTTCTGCATTGGAAAACCAATTGATTTTAAAGCAGCGTTCGCAAAACTGCTGCAACAGCCCTCTGAACTCTTCAGTGAACAAAGAGTTCAAGAAAAATAACCTTTTGTCTACATATGTTAAAAACAGATTAATTAAAATGTAAAAATATGGTTTTCATTAGCAAGGCACTTGAGTATAGTATTGAAGTATGCCTTTGGACACATATTTATCTACACTAAAATAATTAACTTGCAATTTGAGGACAAAATCAGATGTAAGCCCATTTTTAATAAAGTGTAGGAATAGTGGGGGTTAACTTTTCATGCTAGGAGCGTGGGAGGCAAAGAATAAAACCTGTAAAGCAAGAAAGCACCATAAGATAAAGTGGGGAAGTAGAAGATTTCACTACTTCCTTGCACTCTCCACCCTGCTTTATAAATGAATGGTTAAACCCATGTTTAACAAACATGCATACATCTGGTTAGTCCCTTAAACAACAGCTTTCCCTAATATATAGATATTAAAGAGCACGAAGAGTTGGGAGGGATGAGTGGGTAAGGATCAGACTATATTCAACACAATGCAACTTAAAACACTGTGCCTTTTTGTCAAATTGTGGCATGACTTGGGTTCAAGAGCATGCATAAGTTCTAAATCCAGATATAGGAATGAACTACACAACTGAATTGTTTTCAAGTATGTTCAGAATATATGCTACACAGAATACATGCTAATCAAGAATAATTTTCAGTTTTGGATAGGCTGGTAATAAAAAATCCCTAAATTCCTCAGATGAAATCAAAATGTATACACATTTTTGTATCAACTGCAGACACTCCTATGCAATGAACATCAAAGTATCTTATTAAAATAAGAGAGAGACTGATACCGTGTGTATTCTTCTTGAAGCTTATTAGGATCGCTTACAAAAAATTTGACTCTGAAGTTCAAGCTGTGAGGAGATCCTCCTAAAATTAACCAAAATATCATATTAGATTTTTACAACTTTAATTTAGTAATTATTTATCATTGTTTAATGAACATTTGCATTCAAAATAGATGAAAAATATTTTTGCTCACTCTTTAACTGCTTCCTGATTGGCTTGTTTGGATCCAGCCACCTCTGGGGGAATGAAAAGATTACTTCATTATGTGTTTTTCTAAAGTAACACAAAGCATTATTGCAACACGTCTCTTAACAAAACAAATGTACATATGTATGTTTTTACCGTATGTCACAATTGCTAGATACAAAACACACTTTTCCTTGATGACTAGTGCAAGGTCGGCTCTTTGGACCCTGTTCCAAGTCCTTAAATACATTTATAGACTTCTATTTAGAGTACTACACCTTTTTAGTACACCCTATAGCAGTGACGATTGTCCTCTAATTCTTAAATAAATCATTTTAAGTGTCGATCTGTCACATTACTATAAAAATTAGCAATTGAACTCAACACTAGAGGGAGCATAATGAGAAGCCTATAAGGTAAGATAATTCCAGATGTTATAGCTAAGTTTAACACCTTGAATGAGATATCCCATTTATCCAATTATTATTCCAAGAACTGTTTTTCAATTCTGAAATGAAACTATCTCTCCCCCGCCCCAACCCCCGTTTTTGGATTAATAAAGTTAAGTAGTTTTATTTGGAAGGGGCTTTGGTTAGAAGCATTCATATGTTAACAGAGCAAAACCGGGCAGTTTCCAGGGAAGCTTTCAATATATTATGTCTCCAAGTATTAACATATATTGGCATATACAATTAAAGAAGGTGTCTATACTTTTTCTCAAAGAAGTAGACTTCACAAACACTCACTAATTCCTGAGGGGAGAGTAGCAGGGGTTTGGAAAATGAGCTAATATAAATGGTGTCACAAGCATGAAAATAAAAATCAGTTGCCAGACTTCACCTATTAAAGATGTGCAGGCTGATATTAGAAAGAACAAAAGGCCACATGCATCCTGTTTAAAATAGCCATATTTTCTTTAGGAAACTAAGCTTGCCCAATTCTGTCTCTCTGAAACAGCCAGCATGAACACTGAGCCAAGGGGTGTGTTACCAACCATATGTGCAACATTCAAGAATTGCTTTCTAGGCCACTGATTTCTAGGCTCTGCAAGCTGGAAAAGATGCTTTATCATCACAAAGGATCTGTCATCTAAGCTAGTGCACAATCAGTATGACTCTATTCTTATAAGAACCAGTAAACAAAAGGACCACGTTGTTCTAACATGTCACCTGATGGTGCAATAGGAAAGAATGTATGATGTACTGTGAGTGTTCTTACAATCTGTGAGAATTTGAAGTAAATGCTACAACACAGTAAAAATATCACAACAGTAAAAAAGCTTTATGTTGTGGAAATGAACAGGAATAGAAACGTGGACGTGCCAACAATAATAAAGAAAACTGTTCCTGTTGAAAACCCTGCCTTATGTGGCATAATAATAACCAAGACTAAAACAAGATAAAAGAAAGCTGGTTCCTACCAAATGCAATGCCAGCTTGCTGACAAGAATCAAACTAAGGGCAAGAAGCAGGGATGTAGTCTTCGCCATGCAAAAAACATTCCACTTAACACACAGAGATTGACGATATTCTCAGCTCACTCACTTGCTCTTTGAAAAAAAAACTTGCCTAACAATATGGATGGAATAGATAGGATCGAAAATATGCATGCTGCATCCACAAATAAGTGTTTAGTTGTTCAGCTTATGCCTTCTGAAGGATGTCCAGCAGCCTGGATGCAACAGAAATCAGTAATATGACTTTCCCACAATGCAGGCATTAGCATCTGGTGTTCTTGGGCAGCTGCCAGGGTCCCAGAATGTCTGGTACTGCTTAAAGCCGTCACAGCCAAGTAAGCCAAGCAAGGACCATCAACTGTAGAACGGGCACACCAGAATACACTTTGTCTAGGGCCCCTCAAATCTAGGATCAGCCCTGTTTTTCTATTCCCCTCAACACTACCAATTTCCAACTAAACCCTTTCTGAATTCAGTTGGCATTAACCTGCCTGGAACACTATATAGCTGCCACCTGAATGCTGGCAATATCAGAGGACAATGAATGACCTGTTTCTATGGACTGCTATTTATCAGGTGCTGATGAACGGATCTCAATTTCACTGCAATGCAACATTTTACTTAAGTTGTCTTGGTATACAATTTTTATTTTCTTCAATGCAGTGAATAAATGAAGCCTACTTCTTTCACCATTCTCCTTGTAAGAAAAAAGGGCTTCATATAAGCTTATTTTAACATCTATTTTTTTCTCCTATCTAAAATGCTTTGTTTTAACTCTAGAAATTCCATGACACACATTGCCTTAACTTCAGCATGGTTCTCCAAACTTCAAATCAGTTAAAGAGAAAAAATATATTCAAAACCAGGAAAATACAGCATACTTGCATATTTAGCATTCATTTACAAAACATTATCACTAAGTTTTCTTGCAACAGTAAACAATCAACCTTACTAAGACAACTGAAGAAGGGTAAATCTGCTTAGAGATCTACCAGTTTTAATCAGCCTTGATTTTTAAATTATGATTTTTATTAAATTTTCTGTTTTTCAATTTCAGATAAACATTTTGCATATTTAAGATATAAATTACTTCCTTTCTTCTCTTTCCATGGTTCATTTTACTTATTTTATATCCCTGCATATTTTACAAAAACTATACCAATCAGTTTTCCATTATTACATCTATTAAAACATATTTACACTGTTGAATTTATCTTAATGCTGCAAGTTGTGCATATTCTGCAGGTTGATAGCCTTGGTTGTTGTTTTTTTAAAGGGTCCCTCTGATGTGGTCATTGAACCCTGGAAATTCTGTATGATACTATGAGAATATATCATCTTATATCACTAATCACTTTGCAAGTGATTAAATGAGATCTTGCATAAGCTTTTTTAACGATTATAAATAGCTGGAACAAAACCAGACATTCAAAGTTCCCATTACAACCACTATATTATAGCAAAATATTAACTATCTGAAGTATTGTCAAAGAACATATAAAACCATTCTAGAGAACCAGGAGACTAAAACTTAATTTAATGCCCGCCTTCAGATGATAAGTTAATAACATTCCCTAGCTACTAAACTACAATTAGTATTAGCATTACAATGGATTGTGATATCTGCAGAATATCTGGTACAGAACCAGGTAATGACTTGTATTTATACCCTAAGATCCAAACTTCTGCTGGTAAATATGACTGCTTTGCATGTTAGGCACTAGTCACAAATAAAAGTGACAGAATTAAAAGCAAGTGAGGCATGCTGAATGATTGTACTGATCATTTTCTCTCCAGTATATCCTTTCTAGAGCATGTAAGCAAATCTGCAACATGTCATGTATTAATCAAAAGTTAGGGGTGGGAAGGAAAGACTATAGTTATAAGTGAATAAGTAGTAAGTGAAATGAATAGATTCTCTTCATCTTTTTCTGTAGCAGAGGTGTCAACATTTTGGGTGAGATCCAATGTCATGACAATGAATGTGATGGGGCTTCCTCTTCTGTACCATGCAGCCCCCATGACTCTTCCAATCCACAACAGAGGATTTGTCAACCCCATAAATTGGGGGGGGTCATGGGGGGCTGTAAGGGAGAAGGAAAGGTAAGTTCCATTTGCAGAATCAAAACTCTGTTGCTCAAGTGGGATGCCACACCTATTTATCCCTTGTAAGGTTCAACAGACTTTATCAGGTTTTTCAGGCTCTCCAAAAAATTACTGAATCATTTTTAAGAAAGCAAGTGCTTAGTTCTGCAACAGAGCTCTCCTACAAATGACTCTGCAACATCAGCCTCTCCCTCACCAAACTAAACTTAGTGCAAGCGTCTAGAAGTGTAGAACTTGCAATCTCAAACTTTGAGAACAACAAAGAGGAATTTCTTTAGAAAACAGACACAGCTTACCGGGTTATCAGTAGAATCATCAGCCAATTGTAAACCAAAATAGTCTCTTTCAGTCAGATCAAGATGCTTGAAAACTATATTCAGCAGAACTTGTCCCTGATCATGTTTCTGTAGGAAGAAAATAGCAAATGAAAATGTTTTCAATATGATTCAACCACCACCAAAGCAGGTTACTTTGTCTCTAATCACTACCTGTCCTGGAAAAATTGAGACAGAAACTGGGTCTCTGAGAAAACCTTAAGACTTTTAAATCAGAAACTTTTATTGTCTTTAACCTGAAAATCTGCGTTTCAACTTTGACTTCTTCCCACTTTCAAGCCAGTATGCTCAAGTAGTTGAGAAAGTTAGACTAGGAACTGAAAGATCAGAGTTCAAATCCCTGCCAGCCATGATGCTCACTGGATAACCTTGTGTCAGTCATTCTCTCTGCCTAACAAGACTGTTGCAAGAACAAGATGTGTGTGTGTGTGTGTGTGTGTGTGTGTGTGTGTGTGTGTGTACCACAATGAGATCATTGGGAAAGGTGGGATATGAATTATTATTACTATTATCATTAATAATTAAATTCAGTTTATATCCTCCCCTTCCTCCCAAATAACCCATACAGCAATTTCCTGTTGTTTAAGCTGAAACAAACCTTACCAGACTACTACTCTGGTCCTTTGGAAGGTTTTATGATGTAAACAAGAGACCAGTTCCACTTTTCAACTGCATTGTTTCTTGGTTTATATTTTTGGACTACAATTTAGGAAAAATGGCTTGGATATTCATTTTGAAAACTTACATTTATAGAAACCAAAGCAAGCAAATGACTATATATATGCCAGTTATGCATTTTTAAACCTAGTGTGAATCTTTCAGATCTTTGAATTCTGAAACACATTATGCTTCCATAGCACAGGCTTTGCCTTGTCTTTTGTGGCTATAAAGCCAGTGAAGCAAGGAGCTGAGACTTTCAAAGTGCTGCCAATTCTGAAAACAGTTCCCTGAAATTTTATCAGTCACAGCATCTGAAAAGAACCTCTTAATTTACTTTAAGCTAAAGGACCAGATTGACATACAATTTCTCTTGTCAGCTACTCACGGCCCAAGAATACAAACTGTCTGATAAAAACAAAAGAGCATGCATACTTCAAAATATTTATTTTAAACATGTCTTCATTTGCAAAGTATAACTGAATGTGACAGCGAAGTTTGGCTTGCTCAAAAGATGACATGTTCCTATATGTCTCAAATTCAGATGACTTGTCTACTGCCACCATATTACAATGCAGCCTGTTGGCCATAAAATTGCTAAGCAAGTCTGCCCCTGCCTAAAATACTTTAGTCATGTTTCTACCTCCGAAACCACATAGGTTTGCTTCCTAACCACTCCTTTGTTTCTTTCACGCATTCCAGACTATGTGCTTCCTTTCACGCTACCTTGCATGCTTTGGCCTGTTGGCCAAGTTACTTATGCAGAACTTCCTTTCTGTGCACAATAAATGCCAAGGACCAAAAAAGTTGAGAAACATTTGACACGGAAAAGCTATTTCACAATACATTTTCCCTTTGTAAATTTTAGGGGTCTGAACAGTGTCCTAAGTAGCCTTTTGGCATTTTGTTTTTCCACAAATCTCTGTGTTATTGCATTTCTATAGCTTGCTCATTACAAAAAGGTGCATTATTTGGACACGTGTTTTGATAAAGCTCCTAAGTTTTAACTGTAAAACCCATCATTGGTCTAAATCAGTCATAAGCTGCCTCCATTCAGCAAAGATCAAGGTCATCTCTGTAGGTTTATTACTGACAGACCGGTTAAATTATTGGCTACTGCTGAAATATTCATAAAGCTCAAACTTATTTGCAAAGCAACCTTAAAATATATGTGTATCCAGCACTCAGTGGGCAGGGAGAATAGTGCCTCCATTTGACTTTTAGCACAAGGAGCATTAATAAAAATGTTAAATATGGAGTTATTTGTAGTTATATGCTTTTGTTTTGAATACATGCAATGAGGTTACAATATTCAGAATAAACCATTATGGCAGGAATCATATGTGCACTTCCCTGAAAGTAAGTCCTGTTGAACACTGGGACTTCTGAGAAAATCTGCATAGAACTGTACTGCAAATGTCTTTTGTAAAAGATGCTTTGGGACAACGTCCAAAGGAGTGCATTTTAACACACCTCTGGCTTTTAACACTTGAGATGAATTAAGACCCACCTTATTTCTGTAACTGTAAGTTGCTTTAAACTCTTTTTAATAATAAATAATAATTTCTAAATCGTACGAATGCACTAATATAAAATGTATAACATTCAAATTTATTCTTATTCTAGCTTAATATCAACCTTTATTTGGGTCTCATCATATTTATTTACCATATTTTTCGCCCCATAGGACGCACCGCCCCATAGGACGCATCTAGATTTGGGGGGGGGGAGAATAAAGAAAAAAAAAAAATATTTCCCCCCCAGGCGTGGGGCTGGCACGGGGGAAGCCCGAGCTTCCCCCGACCCCAGCCCCCAGAACAGGCTGCTGCCTGCAAGCCTTGCGCACATTTGCCCGAAGCACAGGGCGTGCTCCGCAGCGTGCCCCGGGCGCACGAGGCTTGCGGACACCTGCGCGAAGCACAGGGCGTCCTCCGGAGGGCGCCCCGTGCTCCACGCTGCAGGCTGCCGCCCGCAAGCCTTGCGCACCCCGGGGGAACTCCCGCAGGGCGCGCAAGGCTTGCGGATAGCTTCCTGAAGCCTGGAAAGCGAGAGGGGTCGGTGCGTACCTACGCCTCTCGCTCTCCAGGCTTAGCGAAAGCCTGCATTCGCCCCATAGGAAACACACACATTTCCCCTTCATTTTTGGAGGGGGAAAAGTGCGTCCTATAGGGTGAAAAATATGGTAAGTAAGGAATCATTTTCAGGGTATAACAAGAGGAAAAACATTTTTAGCTATATTATTTGTTGCAAAGGTTCCTACTAAAATACTGTGTTCTGTAAAGCCTTTAAAACACTATATACATGTACCTAGTGCCAGCACTCATGCAAGGTGAATTTCCCATATCCTCCTCAGGCCATTCCCTGCTGAGAAGCCTCTTCAAAAAAAAACCAAAAACAAACAAACCAGGAGGCCCTTAGGAAAGGACTCTGAATTAATGACCATGTTAATGTAAGTAAATGGATGGCTAATGTATACTATTGATTAACGAAATATGCAAAATCAAGAGCATGTTTTCTAAAGCCTAGGACTCTACTATGAGGCAATTCTAAATGAGATACAACATGTTTCCTAAAATATTATACTTACGTTAACTCTAAAAGCTTGTACAGTATTGTCCAGAAGAAGAATATTGCAGACCACCTCTGTATGCTGTCTGTCTCGTGCCAGCTCAGATGCTCGTACATTGTAGGTTCTGCCAGCAGGCAATCGGAAACGTGCGGTCATTACTGTCCACACAACGTCTTAAGGGGGGGAACAAAGATCATTAACACTTTAACCTTGATAATTCAGAAGTTGAGTTTAATAATAAAAGCTATTCCAAATATATTCTATTTAATTTTACAGACTACATGTATTTTTCCTTTCAAGTTGAAACTAGCAAATTTCTGCCATCCTTGAGCGCCAACTTTAACTTGACCCTTTCTTATTTAGGAAAGAACATTACAATATTATCTCATAGCCACCCATAATTATATATTCTAAGATTTATTTTTTTAAGTCTAGAAAGTCTGCGTTGTAAAATAGATCCAAACGTTCTGGAGGAAAATGCAGGCAAGAGCAAATAAAGCACAGATCATGGGGCAATCTCTGTAAAATCCTTAGCTGTCTTTGAGGGGCCAACTTCATGTATATAGTGTAAAATCCAAGTAGTGCTTCCATATGGTGATGGAGCCATACTGTTGTTTTAAGCAAATCTCACACCACCCATCTACTATGAAAAAAATCATGGCAGCAGTGCACCTTTGAAAAAGCTGCTAGCAATGCCATGGAGATTTTATGAAATGTGTTACGACAACCATACACAGCCATATGACAAGAGGTTCTGATGGCAATCATCTCACTGTAATCTGTATGTGCTCCTAAATTGTAATTATCCTTTTAAATTTATTATATATTATGCAACATAATGGAAATGAGAATGAAGTTGTGTCCTAAAAAGAATGAAAGCCACACCACACTTCATGATTTCCCCCATTAGTTCACAGCAGAAAATTAATGTTTAAAGCAATCCTAAGTACCACCTCTCTCCTTTATTTAAGTTATAGCTTTGACATCTAATTCTGAAAGGTGGAATTTTAAGTAGTCACCTTTCTAGGGACCAGGTTTTCAAGTACTATGTCCAATATGTATTTTGCAAACTTACTGGGCTCATTTCTTCAAACAACTGCTTTATAAAGGTTTATGAATAGTGTAGAAGACAGAAAACAAACTTAACATAATGAACATGGAAAGCTAACTCCTTTTAGTGCATGTAACATCAAACACAATCCAAGTACCCAAATGTAGAGTTTTACAGTGTTGCAACAGTAAACGTCACTGAGTTTAAAAAAAGCTTTCAGAAATGCAGGTTATAAAGTTATAACGCAAACAGTATAAATATAAATGTAAGCAAAGCTTGTTATGCCAAACTACAGATTAATCTTCAGTTAAACAAAATATAAAAGTCAATAGAGTAAGATCAAAGGTTCTGCACTGGCTAAGTACATTTTTTGCTTTGCTGAAAGAACTCTTACTAGAGAAGAACCAGAATTGCCCCAGGAAGTTAAACAGAGATGAAGCTAAAAGAACGTCTGTAGAACCAAGAATGGGTTTTATTCCCTGCTAGTTATAAACTGAGAATAAGGACAAGAGTACCACAGCACTAGTTCAATAAGCACAAGGAGTCTTCAAACTTTTGTTGCCCAAAGAGCAGCCCTCCATGCCATAAGGGAACCATTTTTGAAAACCAAGAAAATTTGTGATGTGGCATGTGGATCTGTTGTTCAAAGAAGAACAGGTACCAAAAGTAGTTTTTTAGACCTATGCTTAAACTTAGATTAGAAAAGAGTAAAACATTTTTTAAAATTTCTATGTAGCCTTGACATATTAATTCATTCCAAAAGAATTTGTTTAAAGCTATCCCTCCATTATAATTTCAGAAATACAATTGCTTCCTCCCTAGTTACTATAAGTTCAGTTCTAACATGCTGAATTCAGCTCAAAACTACATAAATTAACTCAAACTTACATTTTAAAATTAAGTTTTTTTTTAGCATACACACACTCTCACACAAACACCCATCTGTGTAGAAGCACCACTACTTTGTTCTTAAATGAAAGTCAACACTCCGTAAGTTTACACTGATGCTTGTTGGCAGGGAACCACAAAGCTCAGGAAAGAGCCCCTTGGAAATTCAACAGAATTATTTTCCCTTCATGGACCTGCAAGAGAGCAGTTTAAAGGCAAAGAGCTGATTCTTTTTCCAGATCACGACACCCGAGTGATCACAAAGCCAGCAGGGGCAAAGTTTACTAGCTGGAGCTAGAACGCTCTACACAGCAATTTCTACCTGCTGTACAGAAAAGTAATGGGGGATTCTACTACATAATGCTGTATGCAGCAGACAGTTGTGCCTTCAGTCCCTCCTATATTTAATTTTGTACTTAAGAAAATGCTCATTCTACTCAGTTTGCAATTGATTGATTTAATAGTTGTGTTTATTTGTTATTTTAATGTAATTTTTTATGTTGTAGACTGCCCAGAGACAGTATACAATTGATGTGTGTGTGTGTGTGTGTGTGTGTGTATGAAAGCTAGCGTCCTAAGTGTATACAGTGGTGCCCCGCAAGACGAATGCCTCGGAAGACGAAAAACTAGCTAGACGAAAGGGTTTTCCGTTTTTTGAGTCGTTCCGCAAGACGAATTTCCCTATGGGCTTGCTTCGCAAGACGAAACGTCTTGCGAGTTCTTGCGAGTTTGTTTCCTTTTTCTTAAAGCAGCTAAGTTGTTAATAGCCGCTAAGCCGCTAATAGCCGTGCTTCGCAAGACGAAAAAACCGCAAGACGAAGAGACTCGCGGAACGGATTAATTTCGTCTTGCGAGGCACCACTGTACAGTGGTAACTCGGGTTATATATGCTTCAGGTTACATATGCTTCAGGTTACAGACTCGGCTACCCAGAAATATTACCTCAGGTTAAGAACTTTGCTTCAGGATGAGAACAGAAATTGGAAAGCAGTGGCGCGGCGGCAGCGGGAGGCCCCATTAGCTAAAGTGGTGCATCAGTTAAGAACAATTTCAGGTTAAGAATGGACCTCCGGAACAAATTAAGTACTTAACCCGAGGTACCACTGTAATGGTGCAATGACCATCATGCAATGACCATCATGAACCTCGACCTGTGTGACACTCATTTGAATGTGTAGTGTCCAACTGTACTATAACTTGTTCTTGTTTACAGGGTTCAAGGTTATGCAGCACACAGGCTGTAGATCTGGATATACTGTGTCAAGATTCCATGAAGTATAGTCAAAATAAATGCAACCAAGTACCGTATTTTTCGCTCTATAACACGCACCTGACCATAACACGCACATCGTTTTTAGAGGAGGAAAACAAGGGAAAAAACATTCTGAATGAAACAGTGGATGTATCATTTTTGTGCTTCATGCTGTGGCCACAGACATGTGATCTGATGGTGAATTTGGGGTGACCCAATGCAAAAATCCTGAGAATTCCTGTGGATCCATGCTTTGTAACCACGTTTTTGCACCATTGCAGCCCCAGGCAACAGTGGGTGCGTGATTTTTTGGGTGCAGGCTGTAGCCATGGACATGCTATGTGATCTGATGGTGAATTTGGGGTGACCCAATGCAAAGATCCTGAGGATCCATGTGGATCCATGCTTTTTAACCATGTTTTTGCACCATTGCAGCCCCAGGCAACAGTGGGTGCGTGATTTTTTTGGTGCAGGCTGTAGCCATGGACATGCTATGTGATCTGATGGTGAATTTGGGATGACCCAATGCAAAGATCCTGAGAATCCCTGTGGATCCATGCTTTGTAACCACATTTTTGCACCATTGCAGCCCCAGGCAACAGTGGGTGCGTGATTTTTTTGGTGCAGGCTGTAGCCATGGACATGCTATGTGATCTGATGGTGAATTTGGGGTGACCCAATGCAAAGATCCTGAGGATCCATGTTGATCTATGCTTTGTAACCACATTTTAAGTGGGGAGCGAAGGAAAAACAAAGAAGGGACATGAGAGGGGTGTGCAGAGAAGCAGCTGGCTAATAATGCTGGAGAGGGATTTGGGGTGGGAGGAAAGAAAGAAAGGCAAAAGTTCCCCCCCAAGCCAGCCATCTCTCTCTCTCTCTCTCTCTCTCTCTCTCTCTCTCCCTCCCTCCCTCCCTCCCCCCTCTCTCTCCCTCCCCCCTCTCTCTCCCTCTCCCTCCCCCTCCCCCACTCTCTCTCCCTCTCCCCCAGCAGCACCGGAGCACAGAGAGGAATTAGAAAGAACTACACTCTGCTTGGGACGCAGGTGGCGCTGTGGGTAAAAGCCTCAGCGCCTAGGGCTTGCCGATCGAAAGGTCGGCGGTTCGAATCCCTGCGGCGGGGTGCGCTCCCATCGTTCGGTCCCAGCGTCTGCCAACCTAGCAGTTCGAAAGCACCCCCGGGTGCAAGTAGATAAATAGGGACCGCTTACAAGCGGGAAGGTAAACGGTGTTTCCGTGTGCGGCTCTGGCTCGCCAGAGCAGCGATGTCACGCTGGCCACGTGACCCGGAAGTGTCTCCGGACAGCGCTGGCCCCCGGCCTCTTGAGTGAGATGGGCGCACAACCCTAGAGTCTGGCAAGACTGGCCCGTACGGGCAGGGGTACCTTTACCTTTACCTTACACTCTGCTTGCCTGGAGGGGAGGGGCTTTCCCTGCTCTTTGTTCCGTTTCAGCAATCGCAGCAACGAAACAGAGGAGGGTGGGCAGTAAGACCCTGAGGCAGAATGCAGGAAAGCTGCCACTTCCTCTTTTCAGGTTTCCCTTCTCCGTGACTCGCGGTTTGACTTTTGCTTGATTTTTTGGCTCCAGGGACCACACATTCGCTCTATAACACGCACAGACATTTCCCCTTCCTTTTTAGGAGAAAAAATCTGCGTGTTATAGAGCGAAAAATACGGTAACAACTACTATCCAATATAGTGCAGTGAGTCTAGGCTTAAAAAAATAAGCCACATGAACAAATGTTTGAATGAAATTCTCTGTACTGATGGTGCAACAGACTTAAGCTGGGGCACATGTATCTTGCAACATGCTGCCAAAAGGCCCACTTGGAGCTGCCAAAAGGCCCATTTGATTTGGAAGTAAGCATAATCCTAGTTGCTGCATTTTAGCTGCTGAGATCAGATCTCAGGGCAGTGGAAGCCGAGAGGGAGACACACTAGGAAGGTTATGAGTCACTGGTGTGCTTTCTAGGGATGCTGAAA